TTTTCGGCCGGCGCGATTTTCAAATTTTCGGGAGCAAAATATTTTGGGCCAGATTTTAAACCCCCCCCCCCCCCCCCTTGAAAAAATCCTGCGTACGCCCCTGGCAAGTACTATAGATAGTCTATAGGAAAAACAATTTAGCCTTCGGCCCAAGGTTTATAGGGTTGAATTTGTAGATATTGGACATTTAATTTTGTCGGTAATTGGTGGCTAGTTTTGTCGGTAATCGTTGGACATACATCGACAGGATCCATCATAATCAGGATATCGATACGTCAAGGTTGATGGCAAGGTGATCTTGTGCAGTGCAGTCATAGAGCTATATATTAAAGTCACTGAGTAGTCGGCTCTCATGGGGAATTCGACACCGTTCGGGTGTTTACCCAATAACAGGTGTTGTCAATCACCAGGGTTAGCCTTGAGTTTTATGACCATTGGACCTTATGTAATGCTTTGAATTGCCCGAAGACTCTCGAGCTCTCCGAGAGATTAGGGGGTAATTCTTGACTGGACTATGGGTTTGCTGTGTGCAAATTTGTACCCCCATTAATGGTATTTCCACCAAGTCTGGTGTCAGCGAATTATGGCCTTCTGCACATGGAAACTGGCGATCCACCCCCTTTAACAAGGCTCTATGAGTGCAGTTCAGTGCAGTAAATGTGTGCATTAATTATGTGTCGTTGAGCTGTGTTTTGTCTCTCTTGGATTATTTTTGGACAAGCCAATGTTGTAAGTGTTTATACTAGTCTATATCTGTATTTCTATTAGACTCTCTAAGTAACATTTGAAGAATAACCATACGGCTAAGCAAGTGCACTTGCAGGAACGATTGAATGGATTTTTGTTTGCCTCGGTCGCATATTTTGCTTTGCCGTTCGGGTTTGAATTTTATAGCCTTTGTTTGATTTGAGTGAATAGACCCATTGGCGTTGTTATAAATATGGCAAATGAAGAAGGGGTCATAGAAAGTTGGTCAGGTGAATTCTGTCGTGTAAAGCTATGATAAACACATAGAAATACAAGTTTAAGTCAGGAATCAGATAACTATATTTTACTCAAGAAAGTTTTGGAAAGAAGTTAATTTGATACATATTAATGAAGAATAAAATATATGGTCTTAGTTTTGGTACTACATAAGTGATTTAAAGACGAGGCATTTGATTTAATTATTTGATTTGAGTTGATTTGATTTATTGGTTTCTGCATCTTTTTTTTTTTTTTCATCATACATTTTCATGAACATAATATGATTTGATACAATATTTTAAGTGTATATAATTTTATACAGATAATAAAAGAAATTAAACAGATATATTGAATGCATAATTAACATACATTAGATGCAGGAGGGATACAGAAATAAGCAAAGTAGCTTGACGTGCCCGTAGCCCTTAACATTACACGGAATACACGGAAAGGTAGAGCAGATTTTCAAGAACTAATATCGGATATTTTTATTGGAACTTTATGGTGGATTTTATATTGTGTACGATAATTGTGTGGATACGTATACATTTGACGCCTGGACCAATTGGTGAATTTTGCGGACTGATTCTTCTCATGTTTTAGGACTGTTAAAATAAAGTTTACCTGCAAAGATCAACTCGACATTATATATCACAGTCCCACCAATGGCTCACGGAATTAAGACAAACAGGTATAAGGGAGAACCTGGTTCATCCTCCTTTAAATACAAACTACCGAAAGGACTGACTATGAAATGCATTTTACATGCCCTAGACTTAATTGAATGTGCACGAAAAAAGAATACATGAAGGTGATGTTCCTATTGATACTGCACATGATGAACTAACTAAGATTTATCCCCAGTTAAACCCTGATGTTTGTCGCCATTTTGCTGTTATCCGAACTAACACGGAAAATGCCGAAGGTGTCGAAGAAGCCGACTACGAAGTACCGTCACCGCCCTACGTTCGTTCGTTCGTTCGTGTCTCCTTAGATCAAGATTAATGTAATCTTGATCTTCGGAGTAGTCGCTACAACCGGCCGTGTCAGACACGTTGCCCCGGGGTGCGAGATAGGACTCTTGTAGCGTGCCCCCATTTAAAACAATTATACAATAACAGTTAACATTACATTTAATTAATAGTATGAAACTATTAAAATTACTCTCATGTTACGGGAAAAAATATTGCATATATATTATGAATCAATTGATTTGGTCGATCCAGTTCGATGGCACAAACACGTACGGCACTACTGGACAGAGATCCTAATAATTACAGAGCTTGGTCTTGTTGCTCTGTTCGCCAGATAGCTTGGACAGTATATCATGATTCAAAATGTTTAACAATGATATAGATTCTAATAAATGCTGTCTATTGTGTCTCCAAATAATATTATTAAAGATCCCCAGAAATCCTACAAATGTTGCTTGACATATGGACATACAGTACTATAATAATATAAATAGTGTTTACAGTATATAGCTATGGCAACAAAGTAGTTAAAGGGAAGCAGGCGCGTACGCAGGGGGGGGGGGGTGTTTGGGGGGTTAAACCCCCCCCCCTTTGGTATTTTTATGTGTGTAAACCCCCTAAAAAATCCCTAAACCCCCCCCCCCCCTTTGGTGTTTTTTTTTTTTTTTTTTTTAATTATTTAAAAAAAAAAAAAAAAAAAAAAAAAAATCACCCCCATGGCTGACCTAAGAAAGGTGACCTTACCCCCCCCCCCCACAACGGAGCAAAATGTCAATTTTTCAAATTTTGAGACAAAAAAAAAAAAAAAAAAGTGTCCTCTTACCAAAACTACCAATTTGAAATTCGTATAGACCTAGTGATATCATATTCCAAACTTTCATAACTTTCCCATTATTGGTCTGATATATTTCAAACTTTTTCCATTCTTGTTTGTCGTATTTTCGTGCTTATTTCATGCAAATGAACTTATCACAAGGGCGGGATTGCCCTTCAATAATTTACATGAACATGGGATTAAAGTTAAAAATGATGCAGCAAATTTACAGATGGTATGATTACATGTGTACTAAAAAAATATGACTGAATCTACAAAATTCACTTGTATTATCTCTACCACAATAGAACGCTGTGAATTCACAGATAAATGAGTTAGAAATGTGAATGAATAACATGGGTGTAATGAGATATAACCGGATATATGATCACATTAACTGGATAATCATCTTAACGGAGTATACAGCATGATCACATAACCATGTATATGATCACATTAACCGGGTAAATGATCACAGTAACCCAGCAATCAGACTACCAGAATTTATTGTATAGCTAAATTCATATGGTTATGATGGGTAAAACCGTCTTCCTATTTGTTTAAAGGGTTTATTTGGATCACAATTGTTAATTAAAAAAATCATGCTTAGGATACCTGAAAGCCCATACAGTATGTACATGTACATCACAGTATGTATGTGTAACCAGGCGCGTACGCAGGGGGGTTTAATAAACCCCCCCCCTTTGGTATTTTTATGTGTATAAACCCCCCTAAAAAAGCCCAAACCCCCCCCTTTGTTTGTTTGTTTTTTGTTTTTAATAATAAAAAACAAAAACAAAATTATTCCCATGGCTGACCTAAAAAAGGTGACCCAACGGAGCAAAATGTCAAATTTTCAAATTTCGAGACCAAAAAAAAAAAAAAAAAAGGGTCCTCTTACCCCCCCCCCCCCCGCTTATTCAGCGGGCGGCTGAGTCGTTGCGATTTTTTGGGGACAAAAAAAAGAAAAAAAGTGTCCTCTTACCCCCCCCCCCCCCCGCTTATTCAGCCGATGCAAAATGTTCGGCCCGATTTAAAAATGTTAACCCCCCCCCCCCTTGAAAAAATCCTGCGTACGCGCCTGTGTGTAACTACTGAATATAATAAAAAGTACTGCCTTCCTGTAGAGTATGTACCTTGATTACAATCTTAAAAGATCAGCAAACAAATAAAACTTGTAAAATTACCATACTTCTTAATAAGTTGCATAAAGATTATTGAAAAACATACTTCCATATCCTTTAATCTTATGAGTTCATCGTCTTAAATTGTACACTGACGGCTCAAAAAACTTCCATAAATACAAATAATGACTATATATACAAGTTCACTATAGATTACAAACAGACATTAAATACATACCAGGAAGTCCATAATAACATATCTGAATAGGCACTAATTACAATCCTACAATCCTAGATGCACATGTACGTGGTCTCTATATATTTGTATCTTGACTTCATGAGTATTTTAACAATTCTCATTATATATGTATGATTATTCTGTTTTGATGTTTTAGTGTAAGCTTTTAATATTCAGGACCAGGATGTAAACCAGTCCTTTCTGATTTTGTTATCCTGATGAAATATGTTCAAATAAATAAAAAATAATAAATAAACTTAGATACAACAATAAAAAAATATAAATAAAAAAAGAGTGTGACTTGCAGAGAAGAAAAGGAAAGGGGAGAGAAGGAGCGTTGGCAATAATACAATAAATCTCATACATCTGCTGATTGAATGCAGGTTCATTCATGAATGGATAAACGATGCTAGGTCATGGACACATCATTGTTAAATATACACTCAATGTACACACGAACATGAATACAGTAAAGCTTTAATGCCAGTTTACAAATATAGATCTACTTGTATAGGGTATAGTGGTATATTTATGGCATGTACATGTATGATATATTGATATGTGCAGAATATAAAGAATACAGTAGTTGTTTATGCGGATTGCTGAATATTTACACTGTTTGGGATGAAAGATAATAAAGACACATCTGTTGACGGTGGCAAAGATATTTTAGAAGATAGACATATATAACAGGTATTACTGACATACTATAATATGTACATTTAGTGTGTAATAATGCAATGCTTACGGTGTTTATTTGTTCTGTTTATTAAATACAGATTGAACGGTTGGTTGGTTATTTCAAGGAGTTACTACACTCTGAACACTAGGTGGTGAGATGAAAGAGCGCATAAAATTTCAAGATTTAGAATGCCTACATCAGCAAATGTTATAACTCCTTGGTTATTTTCACAACAACTCGTCTCGTAACTGGCTCATGATCTGTCCACATGTAGATGAAAACCGTCATCCATATAAAACATACAAGGTATGCACATTTCTTGACACAATTAGGCTTTTGTATCCACATTACGAAAATTCCTCGTTGTAGCGATTCCCACTTGTATTGAGGGCCCTTTACTCGGATATTGTCTCTCGCTATTGTTTTCGCTTCTTTCGATCTCCCGCGATCTGTCTCTCTTTATATTGCCCAAGCACTTATTGTTATATTGGCATTCATTTTCTTCATTCATTTCTTTCTTTCCGTTGCTTACTTTTTGTCATGATAGACGGTAGTAATATCAGCCAAATTGAATTGTTTTCGCTTCTCTCGATCTCCCGTAATCTGTCTCTCTTCATAATTCTCAAGCGCTGGTGATATTGGCATTCATTTTCTTCATTCATTTCTTTCTTTCCGTTGCTTACTTTTTGTCATGATAGACGGTAGTAATATCAGCCAAATTGAATTGTTTTCGCTTCTCTCGATCTCCCGTAATCTGTCTCTCTTCATAATTCTCAAGCGCTGGTGATATTGGCATTCATTTTCTTCATTCATTTCTTTCTTTCCGTTGCTTACTTTTTGTCATAATAGACGGTAACATCAGCTAAATTGAATTGTTTTCGCTTCTCTCGATCTCCCGCAATCTGTCTCTCTTCATAATTCTCAAGCGCTGGTGATATTGACATTCATTTTCTTCATTCATTTCTTTCATTCCGTTGCTTACTTTTTGTCATGAAGCCGGTATTAACATCAGCGACATTGAATTGTTTTCGCTTCTTCCGATCTCCCGCGATCTGTCTCTCTTTAATTTTCAAGCGCTGGTGATATTGGCATTCATTTCCTTCACTCATTTCTTTCTTTCCGTTTGTTTACTTTTTGTAATAAAGCCGGTAACATCAGCGTCATAATAGACGGTAACATCAGCTAAATTGAATTGTTTTCGCTTCTCTCGATCTCCCGCAATCTGTCTCTCTATATAATTCTCAAGCGCTTAATTGATATTGGCATTCATTATTTTGATTCATTCACTTTGTTCTTTCCGTTGCTTACTTTTTGTCATGAAGCCGGTATTAACATCAGCGACACTGAATTGTTTTCGATTCTCTCGATCGCCAGCGATCTGTCTCTAATAATTCTCAAGCGCTGGTGATATTGGCATTCATTTCCTTCACTCATTTCTTTCTTTCCGTTTGTTTACTTTTTGTAATAAAGCCGGTAACATCAGCGATATTTAATTGTTTTCGTATCTCTCTCTCCCGCGATCTGTCTCTTTTTAAATTTATTAGCGCTTAATTGTGATATTGACATTCCTTTTCTTCATTCATTTCTTTCTTTCCGTTGCTTACTTTTTGTCATGAAGCCGGTATTATCATCAGCGACATTGAATTGTTTTCGATTCTCTCGATCGCCAGCGATCTGTCTCTAATAATTCTCAAGCGCTGGTGATATTGGCATTCATTTTCTTCATTCATTTCTTTCTTTCCGTTGCTTACTTTTTGTCATGAAGCCGGTATTAACATCAACGACATTGAATTGTTTTCGCTTCTCTCGATCGCCAGCGATCTGTCTCTAATAATTCTCAAGCGCTAGTGATATTGGCATTCATTTCCTTTACTCATTTCTTTTTTTCTGTTGGTTTACTTTTTGTAATAAAGCCGGTAACATCAGCGGTATTTAATTGTTTTCGCTTCTCTCTCTCTCCCGCGATCTGTCTCTCTATATAATTCTCAAGCGCTTAATTGATATTGGCATTCATTATTTTGATTCATTCACTTTGTTCTTTCCGTTGCTTACTTTTTGTCATGAAGCCGGTATTAACATCAGCGACACTGAATTGTTTTCGCTTCTTTCGATCTCCCGCGATCTGTCTCTCTTTATATTGCCCAACCACTTAATTGTTATATTGGCATTCATTTTCTTCATTCATTTCTTTCTTTCCGTTGCTTACTTTTTGTCATGAAGCCGGTATTAACATCAGCGAAATCGAATTGTTTTCGCTTCTCGATCTCCTGCGACATGTCTCTCTTTATATTTCTCTAACGCTGGTGATGTAGGCATTCATTTCCTTCATTCATTTTTTCCGTTGGCATAATTTTTGTAATAAAAGCCGGTAACAGCGATATTGAATTGTTTTGCTTCTTTCTCTCCTGCGATCTGCATTCATTTTCTTCATTTATTTCTTTCTTTCTGTTGGCTTACTATAAGTCATATCAAATCCGGTAACATCAGCTAAATTGAATTGTTTTCGGTTCTCAATCTCCTGCGACATGTCTCTCTTTATATTTCTCAAGCGCTGGTGATGTAGGCATTCATTTCCCTTATTCATTTATTTTTTACGTTGGCATAATTTCGGTGTATAAATAAAAGCCAGTAAACAGCGATATTGAATTGTTTTTGCTTCTATCTCTCCCGCGATCTGTCTCAAGCGCCGGTGATATTGGCATTTATTTCATTCATTCATTTCTTTCTTTCGGAATGCAGCGTCTTGTAAATATGCTATTTACACTTGTTGTTCGACTTGAGTTCTTAAGTTGCCAGTTGCTGGTACCACATCTAATAGAGAGCAGGTCCATGCTGAAATCAATTGTCTGAATTCTAGACTAACCCAACGCTCTAGGCTCACCTAACGGTACGCAAGCTCTGTTGATACAGGGATTAAGTCCTTAATAGCCTTGCGTTGACAGAGGGATAAGTTCACCAGCAGATAAAGGAAGGGTTTTGTTTACTTAATGATAATGAATATATCAAAGTGCTTTTAAGCCCAAACTAAAGTCTATGAGACAATTCACTGATTTTCTCTAACGGGGAGTTTTCGTCATGCATATTTTATCATCTGTTCGATTTTCCCCTTGTTAGTTCAAATAAAAGGTGCAATATTAACAATATTTCTTTGTGAACAAAACCTCTAATAATAAATTTAATGCTCAAGTCTTTGAGAAGTGCCTCAATACAAATTATTTCATTCACCTGATAAGAATAATAGTATTTCAATAGACAGAATACGAACTGCATACATTAATTGTTGCCAGGTAGGACAAACATTATGCACTATGAACATGACAGACAAAGAAAGCGGACAAAATATACAGTTTCTCAGGTAGACAAAGGAACATCCCTTCACTGCTATTTTGTGAAAAGGTGAATATGAATGTGACACCTGTTCTACACATTTTTACATAATAGCAGTGAAGGGATGTTCCTTTGTCTACCTGGGGAACTGTATATTTTGTCCGCTTTCTTTGTCAGTCATGTTCATATTGATGGCTTGACCTACCTAGCAAAGACGTTGGTTTTTGGTAACTATTATTCATTTAGCATATTGGCGTCTACCGTGACGGACGGCGGAATGATCAAGTCAAGCGATTTGCGAAGTCTATCTCTGGAAGACTTTGAAACGAAAGCGAAGGAAATCATTGAAAAGGAGGGATGGGACTATTACGATTATGCAGCAGGACGCAAGTGGACGTACAATGATAGCTTTAAGGCATTTGGCAGGTAATACAGTTTGATGTGACCCAGTTCAGTTGTTTGAGTGAGTATATATTTCTGGCAATGGAATTACACTTTCAGCAGAGAGGAACCGACTAATATGGCTACATTCAATATACCTTTGGCTTATTTGTAAGAGCATTAAATTGCCCATTTGCCATGTATTCTTATGGTCATCCCCAAAAGTTCCCGATTATATAATTCAGCTGATGAAATGAAGGGTTTAAAAGCACCACTAAACACCTCCAGTGGCAAATGAGGATATGTATTGCCAAAGGATGTTAGTTCCCGACATGCATGTGTACATTTTTTTTTCAAGTGATGGCGTTATCTTTTGTTTAAATATTCACTTAAATATAATGCATATAAGGTTGTATTATTTCTACGATTGTTTAAAATATAAATCTAGATACAATGAAAATCCATTGTGTTATGATTACAGGTGATAACTGTCACTCTTCAAATCTTAATTAGAACTTGTAATTATACATGTATATCTCATAAGTCTAAAGTTAATAACTCCACCTTGTGGTGATATGTCAGGCATGCATAACACATAACACATTTTTGGAATGTGACTATCAAATGAACGCACGCACGTCTGTTATACTCTATATTCTGCTATATTCCGTCTATTTATACTGTTGTATTGTTTCGCAAAGTGAAATATCGCCGTGGAAACGCCAAATTAACTTGGATGCAGATGTGCTACTGTTATTTTGTGTTTTCTTGTGCAATGTGTGATGTTGTGAACCCGGTGCATATAGACAGTTTGATGCCGGACTAGAGTCTTGGTCCCACCTGTGACATTTTATGATGGGGTGAGCTTATATATGCATGTACATTGTGATCACTGTATTTTCTTAAAAGACTTTTATCGAGAGACTTATTATTATGTACTAGTATATCAACACTGTAGGACGCAATGACACAATTAAAGTCGAATACCCACTCTGGCAATCCAGGAGCTAAGAGTTTTCGTTACAAACTTCCGAAATATATGACTACTGCTAGTCTACGTATAGCCATACAACATCTTCACATTTCATACGAACGCTATGGAAAACACGGTGGAGAAAACCGTATAGACTATGTTACAGATTTATTGTGTCATATTTTACCTCATCTTGACAAGTTTATCTGTGAGCATTTTTTTACCATATATGAATACCCGGTACCAAGTGACACACAGGCCCAAGATGGCGCGGGTAACCCCCAATTTTCCCGCCAAGGCGTCCCAAACAAATCTACTCAAACAGGAGAAGGGAGGATTGAAGATAATCAGAATGAAAACAATTGCAAGACCTGTGGTACAATCACAACTACTTTGGAATCTGTTCAAAACCAACTCCAGGTTTTGAATGAAACCGCCAATGGCATCATCTCGTCAACAAAAGGCTCTAAATCAGCTAATCAGACGACAACAGATAAAGCTCAAATCGATTCCGACGCAAGCACGGAGAAAGATCAGCATTGTAATGAACCTAATAGCCTTACAATAGATGATCAATTACGAGACTACAAAGCAAAACATCAGCTCCTGAGAGCATCAATGGTCACGCAGAATGCCCATTCAACCGATGTTTTGATTGTTGGTGATTCCATGGTAAAGGACATCAACCCTTCGAGGCTATCAAGAAGACCCGTTAAGTGCAAAACATTCAGAGGCGCTCGTATTGGAGATGTTTGTGACATTGTTTGTGAGCAAGCTATTCAGCAAAATGCTAAAGAAGTAATCCTTCATCTAGGTTCGAACGATGTCACTTCACACGACGCAGATGAAATTGTTGCAAAACTTGAGTCCCTGGCAGAACAAATTGTCAAACTAACACCAGCCAAGAAAATAAGTGTCTCGACAATAATCCATCGTCGCGGAGAATCAGCAAGCGATTTCGAGAAAGTGCGCAGTGTAAATGAAATGTTGAAACTTCTAGCCAATCGCCGCAGCTGGGGAGTCGTGGACAATGAAAACATCACTCCTGACACACATCTCGCCGCTGATGGCGTACACTTAAACGGCTACGGAGTACGTGTATTGGCACAGAATATCATCGCATATCTTCGAGGATCCCGCCCAGCGTTTCATCGTGACCAGTTTCCATCAGCTACTGTTTATGTTTCTGATCCGGCTAGTTTGGATAACAAATATCCTCGGCTCCAATCTCAATATCCTGATGCTCCGTCTTTTCAGATGACGAGCAAAGCGAAATTCCGCAAGAAAGCGTCCGACCGTGTTTTCCCACGAGACTGGCTAGATTGTCTACAAACAGCCCGGAGACTCCTCAACAGTCACATAGATTAGACAATAGTCATGAAGACATTGATGACTTCAATCGATCAAGTGATTCAGTTCGAAATAGTGACAATGCAGACAGTAATAGCAATCAAGAAGCCTATCTTGAACTTGCTGATGATGGAAGTATACCAGTTATTTCAAAACGAGGATTACGTATGTGTCATTTGAATGTTAATTCCTTACCAAATAAACTTGAAGACCTAAGGTATTTGTTAAGAAATTCTCCCTTCGACATCATTGGCCTTACTGAGACTCATTGTGGTAACACGGTTAGTGACAACGAACTGCATATTGATGGTTATGATTTACTAAGGAAAGATAGAAGTAGGCATGGTGGGGGCGTGATGATTTATTTGAAGAACACCCTCCACTTTCAACATGTGAAAGGTACGGAACGTGAAATCATTTTTAATTTGTGTTATGTACCGTCCGCCGAACTCTTCAGTTGATTATTTTTATTTAATGTCTGCTATGATGAGTAATGCTCTAGATTTTGATTGTGAACTGATTATATTGGGGGACCTCAACTGTGACCTACTTTCTGACAATGTCGATTCATCGACACGATCTCTTATGACTGTAATGCAGGGATCACTTTTGTCACAGTTGATTGAGATTCCTACTCGTGTGACCCAGCATTCTAAAACACTTATTGACCATATTTATACAACATGTCCGGACGATCACAGTATTTCAGGTGTCATAAAAACTCACATTAGTGATCATTTTTTGATATTCACATGTTTACATTCTAGAAGTGCTGGGAATGTTCATAACGATATCAAATTCAGAAACTTAAAAGAATTTAAGCAGGAAAATTTTGTCAACGATCTCTTTAACTTAATGTTTAGAGAATTAGCTTGTGTTAGCAACGTTGACACAGCTTGGAAATTGTGGTACAATCAAGTAATGTCAGTTATTAATAAACATATGCCATATAAACGCAAAAGAAAGAGGAAAAAACCCTCTCCTTGGATCACAGGTGAAATTATTACATTGATAAATAAAAGAAAGTATCTCCATAACAAGGCTTTAAAGTTTAACTCCTCAGGATTATGGAAAGAATATCGTAGAATACGTAACATGGTAACAAGTTTAACTAAAAAATCTAAACAAAAGTATATACAGGGTTTATTGCAAGATAAGTCTGGTGACCCCGGTGCATTATGGTCTATTCTAAAGCAACTGTCCTCTAGCACTGGTCAGCTTTCCATAAAATTGAATATTAATGATGTTGAAATTTATCAGCCTGAAATTGTTGCCGAAAAACTGAACGACTACTTTATTGATAGTGTTTCAGAACTCCTGGGAAAAACAGATTGGAGAGCTAGTGAAACCACAAGTCCAGATGTAATTGTCAGTTGTCCATTGCCACAGGAGAATTGTGAGGACCTTGATCATGTTGATCGTCAAATTTTTGATATTCCTTCAATCACCTTCGATTTTGTTGTAAAAGAAATTGATAGCCATTCTGTAAAAAAAGCGCCAGGGCCTGATTACATCTCTGTTAAAATGTTGAAAATGATGAAATATGCCACAAATGTAATAAATGGTCTTATTTATATTTTCAACCTTTCTTTGTCAAAAGGGCATTTTCCAAAAGCATGGTGCTTGGCCAAAATTCGCCCTATTTTTAAGGGCGGTGATCGATTATGTATAGAAAATTATCGACCAATATCCTTATTGTCAATTGTTTCAAAATTTTTGGAGAAATGGGTACAAAAGCATTTACAGACATACTTATTAAATAGCGATTTCTTCAGTGAAAGTCAATTTGGCTTTAGACCAAAGCATTCATGTGAAAGTGCTCTATTGTGTATGGTTGATGACTGGGCAACTGAAGTTGATAGGAGTAAATTTTGTGGGGTAGCGTTTATTGATATGCGTAAAGCCTTTGATTCTGTTAACTACGATGTATTGCTGAACAAACTTTCTATGATAGGATGCTCTGAGAATGCATTGGCATGGTTTAAATCCTACTTTTGCTTTAGGGATCAATTGACAGAAATAGGGGGTAAATTATCCAATACAAGGTCAACTATCTCTGGGGTACCACAAGGCTCGGTTTTAGGGCCCCTGTTGTTTACAATATATATTAACGATTTGGTTTCCAGTATAAAGTCAGGAAAAGTTGTCATGTTTGCTGACGATGCAACTCTGTATGTTAGTGTTAGTAATCTTGAATCGGTTGAAAGTCAACTAAATTCTGCAATGAATGAAGTCTACAAGTGGACATCTAAAGATAGATTGGTACTAAATGATAAAAAAACGAAAGTGATGCTTCTTGGTTCTCGACAACGATTGAATACCTTGCAGGATAAAAAAAATATCTGTTATAATTAATGGTACCTTACTAGAATGTGTATCTGAATATAAGTGTCTTGGGGTGTCGATTGATGATACTCTGACATTCAAATCTCATGTTACTTCTATTGCAAAAGTCATGAAACAAAAACTTGGCCTAATTAGAAGAAACAAGTATATATTTAATGTTGATCAACTCAAAAGATTATATTGGGGATTTGTTCTCCCCCATGCATTATATTGTTCAACCGTCTGGTCATCTTCATCCGAATCTAACTACAAAATATTAAACACGCTACACAAGCGCGCAGCATATATTGTAAGTGGATATACTTGGGAAACCTCATCGGAAACAGTTTTTCGAATACTAGCCTGGCCTACTCTAAAAGAACTGTTTAACAAGTCAATATCATGCATGGTGTATAAATGTGTAAGTGGGGTAGCACCATCCCAGTTAAGTAGTAAATTTGTTCTAAATGACAATGTCTCTACACGTGTAACACGAAGCACCAACAGGTTGTTATTACGTATCCCTCAATGCAAAACTCAATTTTATCGGAGGACATTTGTACCAGTTAGTGTAAATGAATGGAACTGTTTGTCTGATGAATGCCGATCTGCCCAGTCCTTAGCCATTTTCAAAAAATGTATCAAACCTTGCAATAAATAGCTTTTTTTTAAATGAAGGTGGAGGAGGGGGTTGCAGTGAGGTCAAATTCATTTTATGCTTGATTTTAATGTAATTTTTAGTTTGTAAACAGGTGGTAAACAGGTGTGTGTGTTAGCTTTCGTTACCCCTGTCATTTCTATAATATTGTTCATTGTCATTTTTATGTTGCTTTTTAAACAGAGCCCTGTTGTAAACCAGCCTATTTTAATGTTTTTAATAATGTTTTGTAATGATTTTTAGCTGAACATGTTACTCTGTATAAAGATGCGAAATAAATAAATAAAAAAATAAATAAATAAAAAATAAGGTACATCTCTGTATACATGCTACAGCGGGAGCGGTCTCGTGTACTGATATTATGTTTCTTTTGAGTTTATAACTCGATGTCGAGCATAATTATTACAGAACCCACTATTAATCATTTCTGTATTGTTTACCATAACCCGCTCAAATCATTATTTTGTTCTACAACAAAATAAAATTACAAAATGTTTTCACAATCGGTATTGTTAAAATTTGCTGAAATTGGATTTATATTTGTATTTCTTGATTCTGTATATATTCATTCCAATTCTGCTATTGTATATAATTTTTTCTTCTATTTTATGACCTGTAAAACATGACAATTCAGCCATCCGGTTGCAAAAATATGTTTTAATAAATCTTGAATCTTGAAACTTTAACATTTTGAAATTTAATAAACCGCTGTATCGCGTCATAGTATGTCTCTTTTGCGTTACTTTATTAGGTATATTATTCGTCCTCGTATAATGCGGGATGTCGGTGAGCGTGACCTTGCAACAACAGTACTCGGCCACCCCATCAGCATACCCGTTTGTGCTGCTCCCACAGCTTTACACGTTTATTCTCATCCCGACGGGGAAAAGGAGACAGCGAAAGGTAATAATGACTTTAGTGTTTTCATATAACGAAGAGCTTAAGCGGGACTGCAATATTTGTAGCTACCTGCGCCCTCTATATAGCAAACACTGCCTCAGCGGTACCCGTTTGTCCCCGGGCCTATGTTAATTGAGAGTTGATTTGATGATCGAGATAACCACCTGTCCGTGACCATGCAGGAAGGTGTAATCCCTCCTGGCCTAACTAGTGCAGATAGGCTTTAAAACATTGACATCCTCAAAAAGCGTAGTAAGGTTTGGATTTCGTTTACCCCTTTATATGGGAAGGGAATGTACAGCTATACCCGTCCGGACGAGAGAGTCGATGTTTAAGCACGAGGGTAGGAAAGTTTGCACCCTCTTAAGTTGGAATTTACTGTGTATGCAGTATTGATTATAGTCTTCAGATAAACATGCTTCACCAACCCAGATGAACGGATGGTTTTACGACAGATACCTCCAGCAATCTTGCTTCGCCGTCAATTTCCTTAAACCTTATCGCTGACTTCAGCCCTCATACACAAACGAATACCTAACCCTATTTCTAAACCTACATCCAACATGACATAAAGCCTTGGATAATTATGGGAATCTATGTAAATGGATTTACTTGATCGACGCTCGGCCTCACATCCATGCCCCCCTCCTGTTGCGACGTACTCCACCCTTTTCCACCCCATCATATTTAGTCTAAATTATGTTATTTGTTGGTGCTTTTCAGGTGTGAAGGAAGCAGGGAGTTTAATGATTCTATCAAGTGAGGCTTCGACCACCATCGCAGACGTAGCAGGAGCGGCACCAGGAGCGCTGCGGTGGATGCAGACCTACATCTTCAAGAATCGAAAGCACACCGAGCACATCGTGAGGCAAGCGGAGAGGGCGGGCTTCAAAGCAATCGTACTCACCGTTGATTCGCCCGTGACTGTCAATTGGGATGATTTGGACGATAGCTTCCTTGCAGAGGGACATGGCAAAACTGATCCAAAGTACAGGTAGGTTGTCCAAATCACTTCTCATCTACATCATAAACCATGGTTATTCTCTATTGTGAAGTAAACATGCATAATAATTCATGCTCTGCCCAAAGAAAGAGAGTGGACATTCTTTTTTATTCAAAATTTAATATAAACAATCAATGAAATAATAATAAAAATTGATGTATATAATTATTTCTTCGAAATTTGAAACTTGTCATTTTGCTCGGGGGGGGGGGGGGGGGGGTAGGTCACTTTTTTTAGGTCAGCCATTGGTATAATGTTTTTGTGTTTTTTTTTCAACAAAAAAAAATACACAAAAGGGAGGGGGGGGTTCAAAAATACACACATAAAAAAACCTCAAGGGGGGGGGGGGGGTTTAACCCCAACCCCCCCCCCTTGCGTACGCGCCTGTAATACGCCATTGTAATATTCACACATTGATACTAATAACTGTATATACTGTAATACAGTATTAATATTACCAGTCACTTGATTCAATTACTATCCTGCACATTATAGTGCACATTCTCCACTCCAGCTATAGTTGCCTCTTTACGGGAACGCACATGCCAATCCAATCCCACTGACCTTTGCATCATACCGGGTACACATTTAGCACGCGGGTGAATCGAATTGAATCGAATTTATTAATTCATCTTTCATTCAACATACATTCAATACATGTCACAGCAGAATTATACATAACAAAGAAGTGAACAGTGACAAATACACATTATGTGGTCGAGAGGATCAATGTACAGTAGATAAATGCATTGTTCAAGGATAAGGAATTAGTATCTTCTTGCGATTGCCACTGTTTATCTTGGTTTTAGGTGTATAAATCTGGACATCGATCTTCCAGAAGTTCATGCCGCCAAAGCGTCGGGGGACACCAACCTCACGGGATATCTCCCAGAACAACATAACTCACCGATCACATGGGACGATTTCAAGTGGCTGAAATCGATAACATCATTGCCAGTCGTCTGCAAGGGAATCCTCACAGGTAAAGTACGGAGAATTTCTGCTGTTCAGATGTATAAAGGTAGCCCTAATACTACTACATCTAGCTGCTGCTACTACTACTACATCTAGCTGCTACTACTATTACTACTACTACTACTACTACTACTACTACTACTTCCACTACCACTACCACTACCACTACCACCACCACCACCACCACCTCCAACACCACCTCCACCACCACCACCACCAACTCCGTCACCACCACCACCACCTCCGTCACCACCACCACCACCACCACCACCACCACTAACACTACTACTACTGCTAATATTACTACTACTACTACTAAATGAAAATAATAATGATGATGAAATATTAAAATTAATGATAACCATTAGACTTGATTGTGTGTTGCGACTATCATCATGGTCAAAAAGACAAAATCAGCTCTGCATTATGTAAATAAAATGCTTGATTATGATAATAATTACAATAATAAAGATTATAAAAAATAAGGATAATAATGATATAATAATAATGAAGATGGTGGTAGTAATGATAATTGTTATAATGATAAGATTAATGATAATGATGTGTGATAGAGTGAATAATGTAGATTTAATGTCTAGCCCAAAGATCGTAGTGCTCGAACCCTCGACCCGTCCATATCCAGTTAATCCAGTAATAAAAGTAACTAACCGCTAGACCACGATACCAGTCCACCTCTTTACAACCGCTTTTTATACGTTGTGTATGTGTATATTTCTTACGCTCATGGCGCTTTCAGCATTGTACATGTATGCTAAACGCTCAAGTTTCAGCGATTCCCTCCATTTATTTGTTAAAATCCATGTTAGTAAAATGGTAATAGGTCAGCAAGATGTTTCAAGCCTTCGACTAAATGAAATTTCTGCAATGAAGAGGACAGAGATGACAATAAAAGATAAAGACCAGTTATAGTCATGCAATTGCATTGTGAAAGAAACGATGCGGAATCGATCAGAAAAGGTTGATCATCTAGCATATAATTATTGGTGTGTACTGCACGGTTCTGGAATCATAAACGTAATAAGAAATTTGGCCCAGTCTTGGTAAAGTTACAAGCCCTGTACACAGAAAGATATATATGGGACTACGCAACACGTGCACGATATCTATCCAATCCACATAGATATAATAATTTACCAAATATATCAATTAGTAGGCGGTTTCTCTGCAAAATTTGTATAATCACGTATTAGTCACAAGATATTCTTTCACATGATTGGTAATAAGAGCTTCCATTTCATTTTTTGAGAGGGAGGCATTTCCAAAACTGGTCTTTACCTTTAATTATTTCATTCCAACACACGGTATTGATGTATTCTTTCAGCTGAAGGAGCTAGAGAGGCAGCAGACGCCGGAGCAGCAGGCATCATTGTGTCAGCACATGGTGGAAGACAGCTTGATGGTGCACCAGCTCCAGTAATATTCTTTCTTATACAGTGGCGTTTCCAAGGGCAGGGCGGGGGGGGGGGGGCACAGGATGGTTCGGCATTGTTATACTATGATTTTGATTTTATTCTAGTTTTCTTTTTTTCTTTTGAAGAAGTAGAAGAAGAAGAAGAAAAAGAAAAAGATTTTAGATATACCTATGCCCCTTTGACATATAAATACGTTTTTTTATTGATTTTATTTTATTTTATTTTATTAGATAGATCCCCAGTCCATTTTAGATTGTGTGCCTCAAAATCAATATTGCCAAGACAGAGTTTCATGTCATCAGCACACAGCAGCAAGAAATTAACATCAGCATATAGGTGGAACCAAACTACTACAGGTGGAAAAGTTTGTGTTTACCTGGACGTACCATCACTCAATCAGGAAAACAGGAGGACATTTAGGATAGGGTTGGAAAAGCCCTGGGTGCTGTTCAAAGTCTTCACTTCATATTGACAGCCAAAGACATTACATATGTTACAAAACTTGAATTATGTAAGATACTCATCCTATCCTGTATGGATCAGAAACATAGATACTGAAAAAAAGAAGATGAGAACAAGCTCCTTACCTTCGAAATGATCTGCCTCCGAAAAATCTGGGGTGTAACCAGACTAGATAAAATAAGAAATACAACAATTTGGGAGACTCTTGACTGGATGAAACCATTCTGTACAAAATAGCCCCCCAAACGGCTGCAATTATCTGGCCATCACGATACCCAAAGATACTCCTAACTTCTAATATTCATGGTGATAGATCCCGGGGCAGACCAGCCAAGTAATGGTTAGATTGTGTAAAGGCTGATTGTGCTACTAGATGTCTAGGATCCCTCACAGAAGCGACCCGAACGTCACAATATAGGAAGATCTGGCTTGAGGTCATGAAGCAGAAGCCATTACACATCTCCCAGATGATGTGGAAGGCTTAGGTCAAGGCTTTGCTTTGCTTGTTTTTGTTTTTTGTTTTTTTCGGATCGGAGGGGGAGCGCCACCTTCCACCCACAGAAAAATGAACAGGGTACACCACTGAATGTGAAATGCCAGTTAACAATGTATGAATGAATTCATGGAAGAGCTCACATGGCTTCATTTTGTCATATTTAAAAATTTCATTATTGATTTATCTTCGCAGATTGATGCGTTATCTGAAGTCGTAGACGCTGTTAGAGGTAGCGATGTGGAGGTATACTTAGACGGTGGTGTTAGGTCAGGCAACGATGTCTTCAAGGCATTGGGGAGAGGTGCGAGAGCTGTCTTTATTGGTAGACCAATCCTCTGGGGTCTTGCTTGTGGTGTAAGTATTAAACAGAAGGCCATCGTTTAAGAGGGATTAACGTTTAGAGAAAGTGTATATCAATACATCACCAATGTATTTTCTTTTTCATCTCATCTTAAAAATCATAATTTTGACTGGCGTGAAGAAGTGGTCTGCATTGTTGTTTCTAATTTTTTTATGCGTTTGTGTTAAATAAATCTATATATAAGACATCTGCTTGTTATCTGTTTCGATCGCAAGTTTGATTTGTTAAAGAGCGCCACCATATTATAATCCTATGCTTAGGCGGGGAAAAAAAAACATATGGACAATAACATCCTGGAAAGTCTAACTTTCTTTCTCGCAATCGTTCCTTTTTTAACGAACTGTTTGTTTTTCATTTGCTATATAATTAGGCTCATCTTTAGAGAATCATTCTATTTTTTTTTTTAAATCTCTGTGTTTCATTGAAGCACATCATGAAATATTATGCAAGTTTTTACACATTATTTTTAGTTGTATCATGTAACCCGGGCGCGTCTTATTTTTTCGTACTACGGCGAGCCCAGATTGAGCTCTCGAGGGAAACCTGCGCATGCGCACGCGGAATCCGGTAGGGTGGTCAATAGGGTGATAGTAATTATACAAATCAATCTTTCATCAACTCATCGTTAGCTCAATCGGCAAGGACAGCGTGTTACTTATAGAACCTTGGAGTTGCCGTGAGGGTTCAAATCTCAGTTTATTTAGTTTTTACCTTTTAAATAGTGAGGCAAAGCAATACATAATCAAACTCTAATTGTTTGTGACCTCTTCGCAAGCTTGAACTATATAAGGTACTCACACTTATTATGTATGAAAATGAGTTCATACTGGAATCCGGGCTCGCCGTGGTACGAAAAATCAGACGCAACCCAGGCTTGGTGTTTTTGCAACCGTGGAGGAAAATCCATAACCAGCTAGTACTGGAAGATTTTAAGTCCTTGGTCTCGCTCGAGGCATGAGGGTCTCAGTCTGAGCTGTGTTATTCCCTACATTCAGTGGACACAAAAACAAATCACATGTCCCTCTCAGAGAGATGATAGAATAAGTAATACGGGCTCAAAATATGTAATTTATTTCTAAAAGTAGGCTTACATCCTGGCCTCTATAGTAAGAGTTTTGCTGGTTCCCGACATTTACATTGTATTCTGTTGAAGATACTGCTATACCTTCCTGTTATTAATGATTGATTTTTCTTCAATAAAGATTTGACATCCTATTTCGCCTATATTTTAAAACTGAGTTTATTATTGCTTTGTCATTGATTGATTCATCATTATTTGTATATTGATTACTTGTAATCATACGTAATGAACTTTCAACTAGCGAAATTCAACATTCCATGTGTAAACCTGTTTTGATTCTCCTCTTGTTATTACATGTACCTGTATATTAATGGTATTCGAAAGTGGTAGATTTTATTTCAATAAATTTATTTTTGATTCATTTGCCAGGGTGCCGATGGGGTCAAGAGGATCCTTACCATGTTAGGCAATGAGCTTAGTGACGTCGTGGCTCTTTCGGGTAAGATATCAAATCATACGAATATGCATGTATAGTTTAGGTTTCATCCTTGCGTCCTACTTCTGAGATTCTGACACCCCTCTTTTCGCCAGATACACACGAGGTGTCGTGTCATCTGCGTTACAAGGGACTTTTAGATTTACACAACGAGAACGTGGACCGCCACATGTGACATCCTTTTAAGGCACTGCCGGGCACGGCCCAGTGCCTTAACACAATGTCACACGCGGCAGTCCACGCTCTCGTCGTGTAAATCTAAAAGTCCCTATTATTATTTTCATGACGACTGTTAGTGGGTGTGCCAGCAATCCAATGCAGTGTTTGCATTGATCATTTTTTGCATTTAAAAATTTGAACACAATGTCAACCTTATATACGTGGTGCGTCAAAGACAGTGCTAATCCCTGACGGACTCCTACGCCAGCAATAGACGCATTGTACGCAATATTATATATTCGATGGGGAGGGGGGGGGGGGGGGAGGTGCCCAATCCTTTAAAAGAAAATATTTTGCTCGGTAGGCTCTTTCAAAATATCAACATATAAACTGTCTGTCCGAAAGAAAGAAAATCCATATTTTGAAGAAGGAAATTACAGGGATTGCATTGGAAAGGATGGGCGAGTATTTGACATGTGGAAAGATTGATCGCCATGATCATGAATCTCCTGATGTTTTGAATTCTGCATGTGAAAATAGAGAGAGAGAGAGAGAGAGAGAGAGAGAAAGGAAAGAACTAAAATGACATGGGTAGGATAAAAGGGGATGTGAGGCGTAGATGAAACGACCACTCGCATTTACAGACTTTCACAAAGGTGAAATATTTTTGGGTCAAGCTCTTATCATTTCGTCAGGTTTTTTAAAATTTTAGCTGAAACATGGAAAGAAGTTATCGGAAATTTGACAAATTTAAGGATATTATTGAAATTATTTTTCTAAATGAAGTTGATCCCCAGCTGTAATCAAAGGACTGACATTTTATTTCTAGTTTCCTATTTTGTGTAACGATTCTCATACTTATACACAAATTAGTCATAGATGTCCGAACTACTAATTGATAAGAATAAATGCTTTTCCGTCCATATATATATATATATATATATATATATATATGATGATGTATTTAAGTTCTATTTTATATAGTTTGAATTTGAATTTAAAACGATATCATGGATGTGCTTTTTTCTTAAGCTACGGTCACAAAGGTTCGTACGAACGCTGCGTTTGTACGAATCTCCCTGTTTTTCCATTGTCTTCCCGAATTTCCATTGTCTGAAAATCGTTCGTACGGTGTTCGTAGCCGTTCGTAATGGCATTTGTGACCGAGGCTTTAGACATTGTGATTGTTTTTTTATTTCCAGGATGCTGTAGTACACGAGACATCCCGCCAGACATGATCGTACACAAGTCTTACTATGCAAGCAAAGAACGTGTCGGAAAAGCCTCCAAGATTTGCCCGAATTGTAGTTGCAAACTATGACGATATTATTCAATACATTCATTTTTTCAATAAATTCTTTCCATAGTAAGGAGGGGGGGGGGGGGGGGGGGGGGGGAAGGGGTTCATCTATGATATTTTGCGTGTGTTTTTAATGATATGTAGAATATTGTTTTATTCTTTAAAAATTGTTGAGATGTTTAACTATTATTTTAAAGATCATCGGTCACACAATTTCGCTTGTTTGAGCAAGAACGTAAAACGTTTATCGTACATTTTGTTTGAATAGTAATCTATCATGGCATATTCCTTGATTATCACTGAAAAAGAAATATTTAACAATGCTTTATCTTTCACAAAAACTCCTTATTTTGACTTAATTGTTTTGTAAGGATTTTCTAATGAAGAAGGTGATTCATGTCATGTCTAAATACATGTAGTTGTGCAACATTTTCAACTTAGGTTTGAACAAGGCGTTGCACATGATGACCTGAATTTGCCAAGATAATTACATGTATTAAAGAAAGGACCAAATACATATTTTCAAATTACCGACCATTTCATTACTTCCACTATTCTAGAAGAATTAACCACGATATTCTCGGTTCAAAACTTTTCAATGGCATGTCTTTATGTATTCATATTTTCATTTACCTTTACCGGATTTCTTGTTGGTTACATCTTTTAGAGCGACAAATATATTCATAGATATAATACCAGGATTTCAACAGACACTCATGTAATTTATGGCCACGATTATTCCTTTCCAAATAATTTCTTCTTATGCAAAGGACCCCCCAGACAACTACCCCCCATACAACCATCCTTCCAGACAACTATCCTAGGGGGTAGTTGTCCAGGGCTAGTTGTCCGCGGGGTAGATGTCCTATACGTGTAGTTGACTGGGGGGTGGTAATCCGGGGGGGGGGGTTGGATGTCCAGGGGGTCGGTGTCCGGATACGCAAAATAATAACTTGACAGGCTGACCCATTAGAGAAGAAAAGCACATTCTCAATAAATTGCTACGTCACGCTCTTATTACCAACACTTTTAATTTTATAAATGGACAGATGAGAGCAAAAGATATCAGAGAGAGGGAGCAGGGTTTTGATAAAAGAGGCTGTGGAGAGGGGGTGGGGGAGGAAGAAGAAATAGTGAGAGTGTGAGAGAGGGAGAGATAATTAACACTAATGTGTCAGGGGGCATTTGGGGCTGCAAGCAAGCCCCCTAAACGCGCGGACTCCCTCCCTCCGAAAGGGGGGGGGGGGTGAATGTTCCTTGGCGACCAACGATTTGAAAATAAATGTGAGTCGCACATTTCTGTTATTTCATATAAATCATACAGTATTGCTCCATGGGAAACAACAACAAAATTTGTAGGTAAAATTGATAGGCCGGATGTTTAGTTTAATACTGGCGATCCGGGAGACAGGAACATTGTAACACTTATCAATTGTCAAGTAAGTGTAAGCACAATAATGTGAATGAAGTGAGATAAAATTGGCATCCAATTTCTTCAATTTTTGATATCCTGTCTCTATCTGTGCTTATAACAAACACTACAAACAATAAGTTAAACATTGTATAACATAATTTTTAGGCAAAACTTGTCTGAAAAGTTGAAGAAACATTATGCAAGGAGAGGCGTTTTCGGGTCTCTTCAAAAATAAATACACAGGAACTTCCACGGGGCTCAACGCCTTTACGCTAAGCTAGCTTCTCTCTCCTTTAACTTAAAACATCGTTTCAGCCAATCATCACAGTCTAGTACAGATACTAACCATTTATTTTTTTTGTCTATTCCTCCTGAATCGTCTATGTTCTCCTCCCTTACACACATCCCGCAATAATCGCGCGACTCCTGAAAATACACCTGTCGAGGTACCGGGTTACGATTAGGGACTTTTAGATATGCACTTCAAAAGAGAGAGAGAGAGAGAGAGAGAGAGAGAAGGGAAAGGGAAAGAGGAGAGAAAGGGAAAGAAAGAAGAGGAAGAAAAAAAAGAGGGAAAGAAGGAGATCGGGGGGGGGGGCCGAAAGGGCCTTGCCTCCCAGCTGTTATCTACCCCCCCCCCCCCCCGTCAAAAATAAGAGAGAATGAAGGAAAGGGAAAGAACAAAGGAAAAGAGGAGATAAAGGGAAGGAACAAAGAGGAAGAAGAAAAGAAAAGAAGGGGGATATCAATCGGGGGATCAGTTGAAATTTTCCGTCCCCCCCCCCCACCCTCGCTCAAAAAAAAGGGGAGGGGGGCGGGAAAGGGAAAGAGGAGAGCCAAAAGGAACAAAAACAGGAAGAAAAGGGTGACAAGAAGGCGGAACAGTTGCGATTAATCCCGCCAAAAACGTGTGGATCGGAGGGGGAGGGGGCCGAAAAGCCCTTGCCTCCCCCTCCCCCCATCAAACTTAAAACAGAGAGAAGGAAGGGAAGGGAAAGGAAAAGAGGAGAGAAAGGGAAAGAAAAAAAGAGAAAGAAGAAAGGAAGGGGGGATCAGTTGCGATTTTTCCCGCCAACAAGGTGTAGATCGGGGGGGGGGGGGGGGCACTGGCGTACTGATACAAATGTTGCTGAAATGACATAATTTTCCGAAATTTTTCCTCAATCTTTTGTAAATTAAACTTTGTTATGCGTTTGTTGGAAAATGGCAAATTCCTAAAGAAAGAAAAAGAAAATAGTAACCTGCCTTTCTCACAAAATAATGAGGTGTCAAAATTGGCTCATCTGACCGTGAATAAATGCATAAAACCTCTGAGCTTTCGGGGGCTCTGCCCCCTGGATTTCACCTAGGGCCCTAAGGCGTGCACCTGCATGCTAATCTGACGGTAATTCAATGCTTAAAACCCCGAGCTTCTGGGGTCTCCGCCCCCTGGACCTCACGCCAATAGTGTCCTGCCAGTGTCACAAACAAGGTATCAAAATATGTTCATCTGACCGTAATTAAATGCCTAAAACCCCTGAGCTTCTGGGGGCTCCGCCCCGTGGACCCCATGCCAATTAATTAGTGACCTGCCAGTGTCACAAATAAGGTATAAAAATATGCTCATCTGACCGTAATTCAATGTACACTGTTGGTCATAATGGTGGAATATTTTTTTAAAACCCAATTTCAATTATAGGATGATTTTGACAATGATTTATTCCTAATAGATTTAGATAATAGTATACATTCTCATATTTTATTGCATAATAATTTGCGAGTGTTTGTTTTGCGTGACTTCTAAAGCATGTGTGTGCTACTATGCTAATCAACTAGGGGACCTACGTCCTTAAGTTATAACCGACAGTAATGAGGATTATTGCCTCACAAAAGGGCACTAATATAACTGATGGACACGGTTTTTATTCTTGGGCCTCACAGTTACGAGGCCATTCCTTAGCCACTGAATCATGACTGTACAGAGCGGGGGCTAGCGTACGTCGCCGCCCCCACAAATACAAAAAAAAGAAAAGAAAATGCAATAAATTATCTATAAATACATACACATGCTTTAGCAGTCACGCAAAAACGAACACTCACAAATTATAATTCAATAAAATCTGAGAATGTATACTAATATCTAGATCTAGTAGGAATACATCACTATTAATTTTTTTCCATAAATCGGGGTAAAAAAAAGGATTATTCCACCATTATGACCAACAGTGTATAAATCCCCTGAGCTTCTGTGGGCTCCGCCCCTTGGACCCCACACCCATTTGTGTCCTGCCAGTGTCACAAATAAGGTATCAAAATATGCTCATCTGACCGTAATTTATTACCCAAAACCCCTAAGCTTCCGCGGGCTCCGCCCCCTGGAACCCCACTCCAATTCGTGACCTGCCAGTGTCACAAATAACGTATAAAAATATGCTCATCTGACGGTAATAAAACCCCTGAGCTTCTGAGGGCTCCGCCCCTTGGGCCCCACACCATTTGTGTCCTGCCTTATTTGTGACACTGGCAGGTCACGAATTGGCGTGGGGTCTCAGGGGGCGGAGCCCATGGAAGCTTAGGGGTTTTTATACATTAAATTACCGTCAGGTGAGCATATTTTGATACGTTTGTGTCCTGCCAGTGTCACAAATAAGGTATCAAAATATGCTCATCTGACGGTAATTTAATGTATAAAACCCCTGAGCTTCTGGAGGCTCTGATCCCTGGACCCCCACCATTTTGTGTCCTGCCAGTGTCACAAAAAAGGTATACAAATATGCTCATCTGACCGTTGTTTATTGCCCAAAACACCTGAGCTTCCGGGGCTCTGCCCCCTAGACCCCACGCTAATTCGTGACCTGCCAGTGTCTGACCGTTAGTAAATGCCTATACCCTCTGAACTTCTGGGGGCTCCACCCCTTGATCCCCCGCGGGGCTTCGGCCCTATAGACTCAACGCCAATTAACGCTAAGTTCTACCTGATAAATACCACCACACCCCCACCATCACCCCACCCCCACCTACTTAGAGAAACGTTCAGCGGGGCCTGCATGTAAAAAAATGGGGGTGGTGCGGATTTTTTGTTTTACCCCCCCCCCCACAAAAAAAACAACACAACAAACAAACAACAACAACAAGAACAAACAAACAAAAATCACATTTTTGCTCATTTCGCCATTGCCGGTGTCACTATTGCCCCCCCCCCCCAAGAAATCCTGGATCCGCGCCTGTTGCTACGGGTGAAGTCCCTGGACTGCTTCGTGAGACGTCCTTTTAAGGCACAAAAGGACGTCACACGTAGACGTGATGTCGACGTGCAAATCTAAAAGTCCCTATTATTTCTCAGCTGAATGGGCGCGCGACACGGAAACAGTCAGCGCCGTGCACTACATAAAACCATACACATGCCCATGAGATAACAGAACTCATGCCTGGATTACATTTGGCCCGGGCGCGTTATTTTTTTCTGCGGCACAGATTGGGGTTAGGTGCGTGTACAGCCTATGGGAAAGTTTAGGGTTAGGGTTAGGGTTAAATGAAGACCTCTTTAAAAAAAAATAAACCCAATCAGTGCCGCAGAAAAAAATGACGCGGCCCGGGCGCCGCATGATAAATTGGTCTACGATTTTTCGTGCGATTTTGGGGGCATCGTAGGAGGCTACGGGCTACGATGTTTGTGTTAACATTATCTACGAGCATCGTGCCATTTCTTGTATTGGCCCTCGGGGCAGACCGGGACACATCCGTACAGAGGCTGCTCGGAGATTGTACGGAAATCGTGCAATTTCAGTGCAACACCCGTTCAGTCTCTGCAACCTCCGCATGGAAATCGTACGGAGCCCGTGCAGCTTCCATGCAGAGGTTGCGCGGAGAAGGCGCGGTGACCGTGCAGCCTCCGTGTCGTTGTTTCGGCGTCTGTTGCCCCCATGTTCCCTGAAAAATCGTGCGTTTGCTGCACGATCAGCGTGAGGCCTCCACGCAATGCCCGTGCGGGGATTGTACAATGCCACCTACGACATGTCTACGGGCTACGGGCTTACGATTTTTCAAATTTGTTTAACTCCCCGCGAAACAAAATCGTAGTCGCCGCGGAGCTCGTGAATCCGTACGAAAATTTCACGGCCGCCTCCTGCCTCCACACGGAGGCAGCACGGAAAAGGGGATACGGGCAGGATACGGGCCCCGTAAACTAATTGCAGGCGAAATGTAATCCAGGCATCACTAAACTAGGTGACTTAAATTGTAATTATATGCCTAATTCGATTCTATCTTTAAAAAGCTAGACTACTACACAAAGCATTACGGATTTAATCAACTGAATAACACTCCGATTCGAGTTCGCGATAGCACGATTACAATTTTGATCTTATATTTGTTTCTATTCGCGATGATAATTTCAAACCAAAACTGAGACTCCATCAAGTGAATTGTTTTATACCGATCGAGAACAGTTTTTATTTTCAATCTGCTACTACGATATAAAAGTGCACAAATAACTTGGCCTTATTCTATTGGCAAGAAGGTTTAATTAACGTTAGTGCATCGACATTCATCAGGTTTAATTAACGTTAGTGCATGATCGACGTTCATCACTTTGATGAATAGGGACCTTTAGATTTGCATGGACTGATACGTGTGACGTCCATTCAAAGCAGTGCATTAAAAGGACGTCGACCGTCGCAATTCCCATTGTCTTCGTGCGAATCTAAAAGTCCCTAATGTCATGCACTAACGTTAATTAAACATTCTTGCAAATACGCGGCAAAGTATAAAACAGAATAGTACCCTCGAGTCTGTAATAATATTGGATTTAATTTAATTGACAAAATGTATTAATTGATATATTCAAATCACAGCCAAAAGCTGACATGTCTTGAATTTAGATATAGAACTGCAACATAATAAGTACATGCAAAATAGTACCGTGTAAAATAGGGAAATGTAAAATAGGGAAATATAAAATATAAAATTCATTCACTAGTAAAATCGTTATGAAAAAAGAAATAAAAAGAAGAAAAAATGAAGGAACCAAGTTATAAAGGAATTGTTCACATACATTTTACAAGCAAATTGTGAAAATAATGATATTGCAAATTGTAAAAAAAACCACTCTAGAGATAATAATCAGGGTACATAGACCACTGTGTTTTGAAAAATTCAATAAAAATGTAAAAAGAACAAACCTTATAAGTCATAAAACATAATTCATAAAAGAAATATTCAATGGAGATAATTAATTGCCTAATTTGTGATCGATAAATTATAAAGTATAAACCTTTTTTTAAAGTAAAATAAAAGTTTATTATTGATATGTCTATGAAACCAGTAATAAAATTCAGTACCGGTATACAATAAAAAATTCAGTAATGAAACCGTTTTTCACCAGTGTCACATAATGTTGATACCTTTCTGATTAATACGATAAAATAAATACAATATCCTCGTCAATAATGCATTAAATGATTTCTATTTACAGAGTGTATATTGTGAAGAATAATAAAACGAGGAACAGATCTTTGAAAATGGCAAGCAAAGTGATCACGTTTAAGTATTATGTTAAAAAGATCTTGAAACACCTGTTCCGAAAAATAAATTAAATGCCAAGAGGATTCTATTTCATTTCATGACTGAATTCTCACTTTTATTTCTAATAATATTCCAACGTATCTCGTTTGTGTAAATCACATCATATAGTTTATGATGCGTTTACAATACACCTGTAAGTATGCAATATTCATATCCATCCTCGTTATGATGGACTTCAGGGCTTCATAGTTCTCATGATGTAGCCCCCCCCCCCCCCACTCCGGGGTCGGAATGACCGCTTGCGTGTTACCAAAATGTCCGGTAAAGGGGTACTTTTCACGCACCAAAGACCGGTCCGAGAAATGTAAAAAAGGGGGTGTATTTGACTTTTCACCCGGAGATTTCTTTAAAAAGGGTTTTTTTTTTTTTTTTTTCCTCTCACCTCTTTGGACTCCTGAGAAATTATTCCGAATTTAGGGGGGAGGGGGTACATTGAGCATTTTTCTGGATTTAGGGGGGTCTCCAAGGCAGGAAAAGCCAGCGAAAATCCCGCGAAGGGGGGGGGGGGGGTTCGGAAATGTTGGCAGTACTCAGATAGGGGATGTTTTAAAAAAGAGGGAACAAGCATACGCGTACCCGAAATAACACTGAGTGGGGGGGGGGGGGGGGGGATGTAGCATGGCACGAAGCTTTTCATATTGAACAAATGAAATCATCAGTATATATTAGTATGTCCATTAGTGACACCACACATGATTATTTAGTTAATCAATACATGCACTCACTTATTCAGTTATTTATAATATCTTTCTTCGTCTAGAGTCTACTGTCACATTTGTGTTTCGCCCCCTTCCCCCGCTCTCTCTCTCTCTCAGGCTCTCTCCCTCTCTCTCATTCTCTCTCCTTCTCTCTCTCTCCCTTTCTCTAATTCATATTATTGTATAACTATGATATAGTATTGCCATTTTACTTCGTAAACTCCATGTAATTCAGCCTTTGGAATGCTATGTGGATTAAGAAAAGAGGAGAAAAACACCTATATCAAAAATATCAATTCCAACCCGAGCTTACTCCGAGCTCATTTTGAGCTCATCTCGATTCCGAGCTCATCCCGATCTCCTTCCAGTCTCATTCCAAGATTATCCCGAGCTCACTCCGAGGTCATTCCTATCTCATCCCGAGCTTTCCCGAGTTTGTTAATTTACTGTATATAGAGCTCAACTTTTCATTCATCACACAATCCCGAGCCTTCTCTTCTGATCATGGAACTTCTCTTTGACCAATTCGTAAAAGCTGTATTCCAGTTTCATATGCTCCTTCATGATTCTTGATACTTCAGGGGAAGGTTTGATTTTGTGCTTGGTTACTGTTGTAGTAAGGTTCTTCTTCAAATTGTCTCCGATAGCTGAAACGTAAAGCAAGATACGAATAAATATAAATGTATAAAAGTAAAAGGAATAAAATTTAATTTGTCAAGGTAAAGACGTTCCTCGGTACTATTCGTGCGCACCATAGCTGCGCAGAGCTAGTTGGGGATGTATCCAACATGCACAGCTCCTGGTATTGTCCATAGTATACACAAAAATATTGACTGCTTTTGTGGGCACGGTTAAAAACATTAACCAAGGTGATCTCGAAACTGTACTGTGACCCGATACGTTACACAAGATAACCAAGGAGCTATAGTTTTGACCGTGAACCGAAAAATAATCAGTATTTGTTTGTACGGGGTACCCATTGTTTATTCTAAAAGAAAAGAGATATCTTAACAACATTTGCCTGACAAAATGAATTAATTTGTAGAGTCTAGGGAAACTAATTTACCCGTCTGAGATCATTGCGCGCCCACTCTATCCTTGTATTGTACGCGCAAGTAGGACTATGTCCGGTCAATATTTGTAGTTATATACCTCACTTAAAGGGATCGTTTAACAATGTTAAATCTGAGATACACGGCCCTACGTGTTATCAGTGTCTGTGATATGGTGTAATATTGAAGCCCTAAAAAAATTGCGATTCAAAATGATCAAGAAGTGCCTCAAAAAAGTAAAAACCTTTGAGTGACCGGTTTTACCATACTCGTTTTCCCCAATAGACTGTAGTGTTATGAAAACCGTCAGGCGAACGGTTTTCAAAATTTGTAATTCCAATCATAAATATCTTGATAATCAGACAGGCGATCGGCTTGTAAAAGTCATGGGGTTCCTGACTGACCTAAAGGTTTATAATTATCATTGCATCATGAGCTAAATCCAGAATTTTGTCTCAGAATCTGAGACAAAGTTACCGGATCCCTTTAAGAAATCCAGCCATCTGATTGGTCGAATTGCATTCATAAACTTCAACTGTTCCTGTAAAATTCTCGGTAACCATGCATAAAACATTTCAATATTTTTAATAACCATGGTTATTAAAAAAAGTTGGTCAGCGTCCATGGTTACCCCATAGGTTTACATGTTAAAAAATGGTTTGAGCGATGGAGGATGCCGTATGTGTGAATCTCGATCGATCTTACCGACAATTTTATCTTGCATTGTTGACATGAAGACGAAAATAAACTTCCAAAAACAAAAAAACAACATCTGCCGATAGATCTTGATCTAAGTTCGTGCCAATATGCATTGCAAAAGTAAAAGAAGAGTCCGTATATGGAGCTTTTGCGAAGCATTCATCACACGCGAAGCCGGTTTCAATCCATTTCAATGTATATATTGGAGAAAACTGCCAAGCATGTTAACGGCGGGCCATAGCCGAGTGGTCTAAGCGTTGGTTTCCGGTGCACCTTTTGTTGTACGCAAGAGTTCGAATCCCGTCTTCGACAAAAATGATAAATATTTTTAATTTTTCATTTTTTAGTCTATTTTTTTCGGCATATAAAAGTATTAATGACTGCTAGTACTAAAAACAACATCTGCCGATAGATCTTGATCTAAGTTCGTGCCAATATGCATTGCAAAAGTAAAAGAAGAGTCCGTATATGGAGCTTTTGCGAAGCATTCATCACACGCGAAGCCGGTTTCAATCCATGTTAATGTATATATTGGAGAAAACTGCCACGCATGTTAACGGTGGGCCATAGCCGAGTGGTCTAAGCGTTGGTTTTCGGTACACCTCTTGTTGTACGCAAGGATTCGAATTCCGTCTTCGACAAAATTGATAAATATTTTTTATTTTTCATTTTTTAGTCTATTTTTTTTCGGCATATAAAAGTATTAATGACTGCTTTAATATTCGAGAAATAGTTGTTTTCATACGCTCTCGGGAAGGTTAGAATTGTGCTATTCCCCTCGGCAAGCCTCGGGGAATAGCACAATTCTAACCTTCCCTTGAGCGTAATAAAACAACTATTTCTCTCAAAGCAGTCATTAATACTATACTATACTGCCCAGCAGTCAGTAGCGAAGTTATTGCCTGCAGTTTTGACCAATCAGAGACCTAGAATTTTCACAAGAGGTATATCATATTTTATACATGATTTGCTGACCCTGCGCAGCTAAGGTGCATGCGCTTGAAGACTAACTGGGGAAACGTCTTTATTATCAGGAATACAATCCATCGTGTAGTCATCAACATTATTATAAGCTACCCTGGATTTCAGTTGTGGAAATTATGGAAAATGTCTTACATAATGATTGGTAAATCTCCAGTGCACCTTTGAAGAAAGATGGTAGGACTCTCTCAAACAACCGGAAGGTATCCTCGAGCTCTTCCAGGATACCCGTGACGATGTAGTACTTGTTGAGGTTCTCTACAGCTTTCTGGAACGCCCAAGGTCTGTCTTTTCTGGAAGAGGCAACCAAGAGTTAAATATGATGATACCGATCAGGGTACTATATATTGTGGGCTAGTGGATAAGTCACCCGACTGCAGATACGGGGTTCAAGTCCCGCCGCGGCACTAATGTCCTTTGGCAAGACGTTAATCTACATTTGCCAATCCTCACCCAGGTGTAAATGGATACCTGATATGCTTGAGCGCTAGTTACTTTGGCAGCTCGGCTACGACCAGGGTAATATGTGTAAAGGGCCATGAGCGTTAGAACCTGACGGATACGGGCGCTATATAAATAACCATATTAATATTATCATTTATTTATATAGGCATACTCTCGACAGTTTTTGTGTATATGGTGTCATAGTTTGCGCACACACACACACACCGGACTTGCTGGAATTACAAATGAATGCGTGTACAATCTTGCACGCAGCGATAAGCACTATAAGGCCACTAGGAAATCAACTTTGAACTTGATGCGAGACATCGGACATCGCCAATTCATCAGATACTGAATTTATTTGATAATGAATTTTGAAGTTGGTGGATTTCATGCGAATAATGTAAGACCTGTGTCGGTGCGCATGACTATAAATCATGATATTACTATTAATTTTTATATAATAAACCGAGCACATAATAATTCTACTTAATATTTACAAGTCTTTAATTTGATTTATGTAAAGCCTTCACAATCTATGAGGAATGAACTATATGGTCAACTTACGTGCAATTCAAGTCTTGCCCGCAAAAGTAGGGGATGATGTAGAACGCTTTGGGTCCTAAACACTCTTCGCTTCCAGACAAAACACACTCGTCAAACGTCTGAAAAATAAGGAAACATTCTAATGATTTGAGAGCGTTGAACTGCACATTATTAATTGATGTGAGCTTTTTAATATAATTTTTGCACTTAGCCGGTATTAATACTCTCCTTCACTCTCCATAACGCAATTTACAATGCACTTCCTCACACGGCATTGTGTGGAAAAGTTTTGTTGTTGATGTTTTTTAATTTTTTTATTGGCTTGGTTTTTTATTTTAGAAATGTTTTAAAGCAGAAACTTTGTGTTGCCGATGTGTTAGACATTAAATACATTTCACCCTTCGGACAGTCTCTGATGTGGAATGTGTGGATGGAAAAAACTACCCGCCCAATAAATGATGAAACGGGGGGAGGGGAGGCAGAAAATAATATGAGAGAAAAAGGAGGGAGAGAGAGAGAGAGAGAGAGAGAGAGAGAGGGGAAGGAGAACGTGACAAGATTATACGACCCCTTACAACAACGCCCCCATTCATTGTCTCGTAAATAGCATTTCGTCGTCCATCTAATGACACCGTTGCCCCCCCCCCTCATCTGCCACTAATTATATCCAAGCTAACATCTTTCTCAAGCATTTGGAATCAAAACTAAAAGGAAATGGCTATGTTTCGTCGCTGTTTTACAAATCTAAATGAAGAAAAGATTGGGACTCTTTACCAATCATTATTGGTTGGAATTTTCATCAACAGCTTGGAGCTCCTACACTAAGAAAGATATAGAGACATTAAAGAAGGTGCAGACGAGGTGTATACGTCTTTGTAGTAACGAGAGGAGACAGAAGACAGATTTGATTGATACTTACAAGTATCTTAATTATATATATATATAGGAATAGTTCAGAAAAGTTCTCCTCCGCTCCAAACAAAGATCTAAGGGGTCATACTAAGAAGCTTTACCAAAGACGTACTCGCACAAAACTAGCTGGCCACTTTTTTTTTCCCCGAGTGGTCCAACCCTGGAACAGCTTACCTCACGACATAGTGTCTGCACCTACTGTGGCTACCCTTTAAGAGAAAACTGAGAGCCCTTCCCAGAGGACAAGAGGGATAATCAACCCAGTATACCAAGTAAGTGAGTAAGTAAGAAATGTCACCTGATATTGATATTTTCCTTTGATATGTCCTGTGCTACGCTCATCTCCAAACCTGCTGTAGTAGTATTGAGATACCATCCGATCCAATGGATCTCGAATGATGTTGATATACAGTGGTTGCGGCATCTGGTGTCTAAGAGAATTAATGGATACAAATAAATATCTGTAAAATTAAAAAATGTTGTCAGGGGAAACTGTTGAAATTGCAATAAAATGCGACAAGAACACGAAATTCATAATAATGTGTTTCCGAATGTGACAGAGTTATAATCTGTTTATCTAAAGGAAAACAATCATTGATGCAAATTTTAAACAGACACAACAAATGATGTCTTGATTGTCATCTGTTGAAAAACCTGACAAAAATGGTCACCAAAGGCGATGTATTCATCAGAATATTGTCACTATTCCTGGGTATGCCTCACACGACTTGCTCGAGGCAATAATTTCCGCTTATTGAGGACAATGATTATGATAGCAGTTATCATCAGCTGCGGAGCTAATTGTTAAAAGTATTTTTTTTTAAAGGGGGCGGGCGGGAATATATCTTCGACCGCCCTGCGTATCATGAATTCACTGTAATTAAATTGGATTGCAAAGGATAAAGCCTTAATTAAAAGAAAGGCGATGAAGATAATAAGAAGTGAAGATGTAAAAGAAAGAGGAAAAAAATCGTTTACCTTTGTAAAATTCAAATCTAGTACTTACCTTGAATAGTCGATAAAATGGATGTGCCTCTGGAATATATTTGGCCTCTTAAGACTGCTTGTAACTTTGACCAAGTGTTCCTATGATTATTAAACAAGACACGGTGTATTTCATGAAGTATGTTAATGTTTGTGTATGTTTTACTTTGAGCCCTGTGTGAAGAATAGTATTGTCTAACATCTTTTATATTTATTTTCTATTTTTATCTATTTTTATTATTACATGAATCTGATAATTTCATATTTGTTATAACTGAACTTGCTATTCTGATTATAGTTGAGAAATAAATAAATCACAAAAAGAATTCTGAATGTTTATCCCCGTTGATGACTCAGTACCCACCCCCCCCCTCCCCCACGTCCTCGTGCCGAAGACTATTATACTAGCCTACCACGACAACAGTACATTCAAGCTTGAATTTGAATAGAAATGAATATGGATCAAAATGGTAATAAATTGCTTTTCATATTTATTTATTTTCAATATATGGGGTTATTGAGTCCTTTGAACAAGAGTTGGGTTTCAAAAGGGTGCACCAAATAATAAAAAACAGTCACAAATCAATCTTTTTCTACAAACAAAAGAGATCAAAGGGGGAAAACAAAAACACAAACAAGCGAAAAATGAGACAATATTAGCACAGTGTACATAAAACTATTATACAAGTTAAATCCTGGGAGGAATTTCAATTATTTAAACATATTTGTAGCTTACACCCAGTAAATAAGATCGATTGATCGATCTGTATTGAAAAACAAGTCAGAAAAAAATCTCGGAACCAGCGGTAGAGTCGCTGTCCGGCAAGCAATAGATGCAGGTTTAAGTCCCGCTGGTTCCAAGATTTTTTCTGACTTGTTTTTCAATACAGATCGATAAATCGATCTTATTTACTGGGTGTAAGCCACACATAATGTTTCAATAATATCGTAAACTGTCAACAGTGGGTTAAAGGGTCTAATTGTCGGTTAAAACTCGTGTAATGCCATACGACCGGTTTGACGGAGGTGATAGGCTGGAGCCTATAGGTATTTTCTCTTACAATAATTGTTATACAAGGTGGCCCAATAAAACGGACTAGCCTATTTCCAATAATGCGAGGTAAATTTCACTGGTACCAGTGCAGGTGGAATCTTTTTAGAAGAATAAAGATTTCACCAAGTTTCAAAAAAGTGATAATAACTTTTTTCTTCTTCTTCTAGACACAAAATGTCCCCTAACACAAAAACCCCTTTATTTTGTTCAATCTTGGTATCATTTCGATTTCATATGAAAAGGTTATCCTTCCGCTGGTCGGAGTTAAATTTGATCCAATAATATTGGAAATATGGTCGTCCGTTTTTTTTCTTTTCGGGCCACCCTGTATAACAAACCTTGTTATGGAAGATTTTACTATTTTAGTCTAGGTGGGGGTAGTAAGAGAGAGAGAGAGAGAGAGAGAGAGAAAGGTGGTTATGCTGAAAGGAATCGAAAAAGTACCTCTGCCGAAGGAGTGAGCCTCGTTCGGTTGTAGGTAAGCGAGCACACGAGATAAAACCGATTACTTTTCGACAGTTCTTGTAGAACATTGATGACTACACGGCTGCCACACTTTCCGACTCTGTTAAACACAATAGCAGGGCTCCCCAATTCCTGGTCAAAATAGAGAAAATAATACATGAAATCACAAATGGGATCTGAAAGTGGGTTCTGACCTTGTCCAGATTATGTCCGTTTTCAGACAAGGATTAAGAGTAATAGTTGAATGAAACGTCAAAGGGGGAAACTGAATTCAGACGAGGATTAAGAGTTGAGAACGGTACGGCGAATCGTCTTCTTTCTCTAATAATGAATTGAAATGGGGGAGGGGGGGGGGGGGGGTGAGTGACAAATAATTTAGCTCCTCGCCCCGGGTTTATAGGGTTAGATTTGTAGACGCCCCTGGACCCAGGTGAGGGGAATGGGTGCCAGATAGGAAGATACTTTTTGGCATGCTTGAGCGCCTTGCCATGGTAGCTTGGAGCCGGATAATACCCCAATCAAACAACGAGGCCGACACCAGTGCCCTGCCCTATAAAGAATTACAATTGATCCAAATAAATTGCAAGTCCTCTTACCGATCGCAATTTTGCAATCTCCTATCTATAGTTTACATGGTTGCAATTGATACCAATTGCATATAAGTTTGTAAGACAGGGCCCTGATCGACACAAGAAAACCAACAAATGACCTGGAGTCGGTTTGGTTGTGTAACTGAGGTATATGATACTGCATGGCCCTCAGGATTAATGGCGATACTAACCTTGGTTTAAAAAAATAAAATGGAGCCTCTATATACGTAGTGCCTCTCACAATATTTTTTTCTCGAAATATCTGAATTATTTTGTATTTAATTTGTTGAAAAGGGTATCATCCTAGTAAAAATTATCGGTTTACCATCTCGGTTTGTTTTCCGGATACTAGTGGGAGTTTCATCCAACCGGCAGGGTCCCACTCATTCCAAAGATAACGGAACTTCTTTTCCCCTTCCAAACTGCTCGCACTCCTATCATTATATCCTCTCATCGCGGCTGCAGGATCCTCTGCTCCCGTATCCGTCGTGGTATTCGACCACAGACCAACTTTCTCGTCATCGTCCTCAGAATCGTACTTTAGATCGTCCATGACATCTCTCCAACTATAGTCATCCTCCTCACCCGTCTCCATGAAGACATCATCGTATTCATTGTCATCGTCATCGTCATTGAAGTCGTAGTCCTCCTCATCATCGTCGTCGTTGGGACCATCAATTGCGGCGATTGAGATTTGTCCGTTTGTAATATGAAGTGACGTTTCTACAGGCCTCCCATTTGCCATGTACAGCTTATATAATGCATTGCTGATTGTATTTCCTAGTTTAATTTGATAGGGCGTCGCTGTAAAATCAAACAAAGAAAAACTTATTAAGAGTTGTGGGGGTAGCAAACACAATAAACAAGAAAATTTTCATAAATCACTTGAAAAGAAATGGTTTCGTAGGAGATGAAAACAGAGTCAATAATATTTGACTGAAACTTGGCTGTAGGGTGAGGTAAACACAACCGGGCTAGCTCGTCCAAATTGTAAAGTTACTCGAAGTGAGGACCAGGGAATGGTTAGAAGTCAGAATTAAATAACTTAGGAAATATATGTATCGGTCTATTGCAAACAGGAGCGTTGATCAAGCCCCCACTCTCCCCCTCCACAATATTTTGAAATTAATTGACTACCAAGTGTAGTGCCAAACTACTATGTTTGCTTGTTGGAGTGCACCCACCGCCTCACCTATCATAAAGGACGATCGAGGCCCCTCTAAATACAAGTTGTACCACGGTCCTTTTTCAATAGATACATAGGCAAATACGGAGTTAAAACACCATCTGCTTCAAATTCAGTTCATGCTAGGGTAAAATAATGTTCTGTTTTTCTATTACTAATCCTGCGAATAATAATAATAATAATAATGTAAATGATAACAATATCCATAATGATAACACTTATTATTCTTATTACGATATTAACAATAGAAGTAGTAGAAGTAGAAGCTGAAATAGTAGTAGTAGTAGTAATAATGGTAGTAGTAGTAGTAGAAGTAGTAGTAATAGAAGTAGTAGTAGTAGTAGTAGTAGTAGTAGTAGTAGTAACAGTAGTAGTAGTTGCAGGTGTAGCAGTAGTATCAATAATAGTAATGATAACAATAATGATAATAATAATAATAACCTCTGCTAAATTTACTCTGTCGGATTTCACTGGCCTCACATGCCAAAAATAACATCGCTTTCCCGATATCATAGTTTTACACATGATATCGTGATGTACAAACAAATGTTACGGCTATGGATGGTGCTTTAAAAAAAATCATAACACGTATAAACTGGATATATGACTATGTTTATACAACACCTACGTGGACCCTTGTCATTTGATTGGAGGATTGTTGGTCACATGATATTCAATAGATGTTCTATTGCACGGGCGTGCATTTTTGGTTATATTCGCCGCGCATTTTTGGTTATATGCAGACTGCGTACCTATCTGCCGTGCGGCGTATATGAATGTAATCGAGAAGGCTCGACTCCAACTTTAATTTATCTTTAATATAAGCAGTAAAGCATAAATTTTGTTGATTAACGTTCTATTATATCTTCTTCGATGTTGTATAAAACAAATAATGAATGTTTTCATTCGTTCAATGGTGCGAATATTTTCATTCGTTGAAAGATTAACGTTAATTCTATTCAACTCGGCTGACGCCTCGTTTAATAGAATGTTAATCTTTCAACTAATGAAAAAATTCGCACTTTTGAACTCATAACCATTCATTATTTGTATAATATAAGAAAGAATCGAAAATCATTACTTGACATAGCCCTAAGTGTGTAAATTTGTAAAATATTTGTTTCTTGTACGGAGGATCATCATTTTTCTTGTGTTTTCGCATATTTTTAAAAACACCCTGTATTATATACTACACAAATTTATTAGGAAATTTCGCATTGTATATACATATACACATGTATGTATATATAAATACACATGTATGATATATAGAATATATATACAAAGTACAAATAATTCAAGTTTTACAATCCTAAGTCACGGTAATATGCGAATTATAATCAAAACAGTTGAAACAAAAATCCCCGAGATCACCGGTTTCAATTTATTTCGTCACTATCTTCTGTCAAAATATATTGAAACTGGTATAAATAGTGTAGAATTTAACCTCAATGGTTGTTATTTAAAATGTTTTAATTATATGTAAATATTTATATACATATATATATATAGGCGTGAAGAAAATTGTCTAGGAACGTGAGACGTAGCTGTACTTTTTTTTATTATACAATTATTGTATTATATATGAATATATTGCATTCATTTACAGCAAGCATTACAATTTACTCGTCTGTATTAATACAGATTACACACTATTTAACCAGTATTTTCTCTCCACCACTAAAAAAAAGAAGAAGACCTAATTACTATGAAATATTACTCCCTATATGGTTAAAAGAACAAACATATCTACCATCCATATTATTCTGTATAGGACCAAGATATATAAATTTGATTATAATGACAGAGGACTACAGGCAATATTACTTTGTCTATAGTACATCCTTGAGTGCTGTCTGCATTTTGTATGTACATGTATATGCATGCATTGGTGCATCGTATAACAAGAATTGAATCACTAATCATGCCTGTGAACGTTATGGTAGCGTATAGCTCAAGCTTGGAAAGACCTGATTTGTTCACCGCATTAGACGAGCGAGTCTTGAGATGGGTATTACGTAACGAAGACAATAGTGAAATCCCGTTTGTTAAGAACATCTCATTATACGTTTATAAACCCTTCAATATGAGATTGCGCGGTAAACACTGTGTAGTAAGGTTATATGTCTTTCTCGAACATAAAGATTGTAGTATGAGGACATACATCTCGCTGTTATCTCCAGACAATAGCTTATCATTATCATTATGATACCATCATTTCCATGGGTGTCGATCCGTAACTGATACCTATTCATCAGGGGGGGGGGGGGGGTGATCTATTCATTCATCCCCCCCCTGCAGGTATTACGTAAGGATCGACACCCATGATCATTTCAGTACTTCAGTACACTTTGGAAAATATCAGTTCCTTGCTGTCCAAAAAATGTGATATTATAAACACCGTACAAGTCAACGTCTGTTTTTATTAAATATGACCCTTCAACACAAAACCAGCAAAAAGTCGTCAGAAAAGTTATTTTTAATAGTTTATGGTTGATTCTGAAAGATGAAATTCTCAGCTTTAAAATGATATATTACTTAAAGAGAAGGTTGAGTTCTGGGAAGAGGTGAAAAATAATTTGTGAGCGTTATCATCATTCTTATTATGCAAGTATGGAAGAACATCAGATATGACACTTTCCCTGGAAAGCATGGCTCTTCAAATGCCTTCATATTCTAAATATGTCATGTAACATCGTAAAAATCCGGGTAGGATTTTTACCCCATGTGTACGTGTAGTCCCATATACATCTTTCTGTGTACAGTGTTTGTAACTTTACCAAGACTTGGCCAAATTTCTTATCATTTTGATGAGTCCAGAACCTTGCAGTACACACCAATACTTATATGCTAGATGATCAACCCTTTTCTTATCGATCCCACACCGTTTCTTTCACAATGCAATCGCGTGACCAGAACTCAACTTCATCTTTAACCCCATTGGGTGAGAGAAGAGAAGACTCATAATAATGTTGCTTTAGAGAAAAGGGCGTTTAAAGTCTGCATTAGTCTATTTAAGCACTCCGATTTCCAAGGTCTTGTGCAGGGTGACAAAAGGAGGATTGAAACTATTGACATGTCTATGAAGGGATGATAAGATTGACACACCAATTAAGCACATCCTGCCTATTGTTTCTCCAAGGATTCATTGTAATAGCTTACTCCGTTTAAAAGTTATTGAAGATTGAAGTGAGACCAGAAGCAAAGTCGTATATAAATAAAAAAAACTACAGCAACAAACTCTAAATCTGGAAAAAAAAAAAAGCATAGGTCTTCAAAGTACCACTTATAATGTTATATACTTCTAAATTTTCAAATTACATAGGAAAAGTACAGGAAATGCTGAAAAATGAAATTTTAACATCCTGACCAAATACACCTACCTGAGCTTTCTCTTAAAGATAAACTCCAGTACTGGTAAAAAAAAAAAAAAAAAATTCTCACAGAATCAAACGAAACTTACACTGAATGTTCAAGATTACAAATAAATGACATGTGCCAAACAATTTTGGAAGAAAATATATACTGGCTGAGTAATGAGCATAGAAAGACAAGGAAATCAAGGTAGTACTAGCCCCGACACCATGTGTGTTGTCCCATATATAGCTTTCTATGTGAGTGCTTGTTACTTTACCAGGACTCGGTCAAATTTATTATGATTTTGATGACTCCAGAACCTTGCAGTACACACCAATACTTACATGCTACATGATCAACTGTTTCTGATCCTTTCCACACCTTTTCTTTCACAATGCAATCACATTACCAGTACTAAAGTTTATCTTTAATGTGAGCAAAATAGTTTTCTATGTTGGACCATAACATTTATTTAAAAAAAAAAGAAAATTACGCAAGCTTTACTGTGCGGCTTTTTCAAACATGCCGATAGAGAGTGAATACGTCATATTACACATTTGCTAGTATCTCAGTGATGTTACCTTATACCATGGTCACTACTTTCTTCATATATACAGTGCGTCACCGTGAGGGCATATAGGCCATTATTAACACAAATGCTAATTTCGTAATCCTACCAGGTCCCTATTTCACTCTTGGGTATTGAGTGGCAATTGTAGATTAATGCCTTGCCAAAGGACATTAGTGCCGTACGTGACAGGCATCGAACCAGGACCTTTTGAATTTCAAGTCAAGTGCTTAAACCACTCGACTACGACACATCTAGAAAAACAGTGAACTTACATGATTCGTCCTGGTGTTGTCCTAGATCTCCGTGGCGGTTTGTTGTCAAATCGGTACCTCGAGGAGCATATCTGGTAGCCATATCATAATCATCTTTTGTCATCATGGTATACAATAGACAGATAGTCAGTGCAATACAGCAAATGAACAATCCTTTGGTTTTAGAGAACGACATCTTGTGAAAATGCCGGGAAAATACGGCGTTTTTTTTAAAGCGCCTTCCTGTCGCCTGTTTCTTTCGACGGTAGAAATAAATACACCGTATGCAACGGGAAGCGTATAGTGAGAGTGATATTTGCACGTTACGAAGGGTCAGGAAAATGTGAATAGGATTGTGCTTTTGTCAATAGCTGATCCAGGGCGCATGGACAGAAAATCTGACCAAACTAAATCTCTGCGAGTCTAGGCTAGGCGGAGCGGCTATTGTTCCCATTGCATAACCATACAATATAGGCCTGTTATTTTGTAGCCGGTTGTACGTGACGTCATAGAGTGCAGAAGTGCTAACGTCATATAAGTATGGACTTTTAGATTTGCACGTCGACAGCTTTGACTGCAACATGTGACGTCATTTTAAGGCACTGCGCAAGCGATCGAGAATGCGTCAACCCTGATTTTCCTAAATCTAGTACATACATACATACATACATATTGATATTTATATAGCGCCTTTACATGCTCAAGGTACTAATATGCCGCGTGCGCATAAAATATACAGTTCCTCAGGTAGACAAAGGAACATCCCTTCCCTGTTATTATGTAAAAATGTGTAGAACAGGTGTCACATGCATATTCACCTGTTCTACACATTTTAACATAATAGCAGTGAAGGGGGTGTTCTTTTGTTGAGGGTAGAATGAGGAAGTGTATATTTTGTCCTCTTTCTTTGTCCGTGATGTTCATAGTGTTACTTCATGTGTTTACCTTCGAGTGCAATCTAAAAGATTTCTAATTGTAGTCAACATGGGCAGTTAAGTACGTTGACACGCATGATCATTCGGCGTTCGCCGTGTTCTCGTCCACTCAATCTAAAAGTCCCTATTATTAGCTCGTCGACGTCGTTTATGTTACGTGTTCTAAAGAACAGAGCCTGGGCATGAGGTTCATCGCGAAAATATTCAAGCGACGGGCTGTCGAGCAGGACAAAGTCCGTGTTTAGGGCTGGTGCCCACCATACCATTGGCATGGATTAGCACAACAGTTTTTTTTTTTTTTTTTTTTTTTTTTTTTGTTCTTCGACTTGGCTGAAGGGGGGGGGGGGGAGTGGGGGGGGGGGACACATGGCTAAAGGAGATTTTGCTGCTTACCAGTAGTATTCGATATTTTAATATGTCACAGACTTTGATTCATTAATAATGTTATTCTAATTCAAATTTATCTTCTCCCTGTTGAATAATTAATTTTATAGGAAATTAATTGGTTATTTTTGTGTATGATTTGGCTGATTTTATCACTGGCAATTACCTAAACGTTATTTTTTTTAAACTCAAACTTCCATCTGAATAAAATACAAGCCTACTTTTCATCCTGTGTTTTGTTAATTTAGTATCTTATGAATCAGGATTTGCAAATGATTGATAACATATTTATGTTGTAAAGTTATTATTAGTTTTGTTACTGTGTAGTACTGTGTATATAGGGTACAGCAATTATTTTAGGAGTGAGTTCTATAGCTGTGTTTATTTTTTTAAAAACCATTGTACTTTTAGTGTATAATAACAGAAATAACTGTATTGTATATGGGATTTTGCAATATCTTTCTTTCTTTCTTTCTATCTTTCTACATGGTTACCTATGAGTGGTCGCATGCCTCTGGTCACTGAACAGTTAGGCATTTCACTTTTACGAACCCTGGCCCATACATGTAGGTAACCATTTCTTTCCTCTTCTCCTTGCTTTTAATTTCCATCTCTTTCTCTATTATTTCTAAGATAATTGTATTTACTATGTTGACTTTGTATATACTGTGAATTTCTGATTTGAATGGCCAAATAAATAATAATAAAATATTGATAATAACCAGATTCCTTGACAACTTGGCCAAAATGACGTCATACTTCTGTACTCTATGATTTTTCCTGCTGTAGGCGATTTAAATATAATTCTTCTACAATCTGTTTTGATTATGATTTAAATTATTATAATTATCCTTTTTATTATTAATATTATTATTATCATCATCATCATCTCTATATCATCGTTCTTACCATACACCATGTTTATCTTTTTTCGCTCATGAATTCGTGCATACACGATAGATTGGATGGCGTTCCTGAGTTCATTTCTCATTGCAGGAAAAATATTTAAACAAAACAGAGCCAGAGTTCAAATCTTCATGTAAAAACGACATAATGCATTGTCACACTGAATTTTGTGCACTCCTTCCCAGATTAAACAAACCGACTAAACACAACTCGACCCTCGTTTCGAAGTAGACGTGTTGTGGTCGAGTGGATACGTCGCCGGACTGTCGATCACAAGGTCCGCGGTTCGAGTTCCGCCGCTGCACTAATGTCCTTTGGCAAGACATTAATCTACATTTGCCACACCCCACCCAGGTGAAGTAAATGGGTACCTGGTAGGAATTTATTCCTTGAAACGCAGCGCGCGTAACAGCTGCACAGCTAAAGCCAGGGTAATTATGCTGCATTATTGTAGAGCGCTTAGAGACTTCTGACAAAGTAAGTGTTAGGCGCTATATAAGCACCGTAATTAGTATCATTATTAAAGTTGGAAGAGGAGAACCATATTTTACGTCATGTTATTTTTGAAAAATTAAAATGTGTTGATGTCTTTCTAGTGATTTATTATCAATATCGTAGCTGAATAATGATTTTTAAAAATAACAAGTTTTAAAGATGAATGACGGTATTAGACAGACTGATTTTTGTTAATATCGTTTCTTTATTCCAGAAAAATACAGTGCTATAATAGAGTACATTATACATCAAATTCAACATCTTATTAAGAATAGAGAAACAAACATTTTGCAGAATATGAGATGAGCATAATAATGAGAAACTTGCAATTGCACCGGGTCCATGGCTTTTAAAGGCAGATGGTAGGTTTGTATACCTTGTTACCACATAATTATATACTCCACGATAGCAACTATACCTTCGAAAAATTAACCTAAGGCAATAAGGGAGTTTACAGATAGCACATGGTACAAATGACCCCAAATATCCACAGATCTTTTACACATGGAGAAGTTCCACTTTGAGCATCTTAGAATAATAACTGCCAAAGTCCTAGATGTGCTTCATAAATACCTTTTGTTTGCCCTCTTGAAAAGAATACTTCCACCTGCGTATCTTAGAATGTACCGTTGGTGCATAAATGAATAATGTTACATAACTTTCATGAGCGCATATCCAGTATTCATCTCTGGTGGGTTTTACCTTTTTGGTACAAATGACCTTTATCCGCCCATGCGCAGATTGTATCTGTAAACTCCCTTATATGGGGCCAGTCACCACGAAATGAGTCCAGTGTAGCATTAGGCTCAATCGTAGTTATAGCGATGTATAGTGTGTATGTACTGAAAATTGATCCACCTACCACATTTAAGATTTTTCCAAAAATCGACTTATTATTTCTTTGTTTGTTGAAAGTTTCATTGAAATCGAATGATGGGAAGTGTGTTGTTGCTATGTTGTTGTTGACCAGACTATAATATGTTACGCATCATTAACTTTACACCTAATTATCTCAAAACTGGGTAATCCCATTGTTATAAAGTCCAATTAGGTTTTTGTTCATATTTCTGGATATAATTTATCAATTTTAATGTGTGACCCCTTAATTTAAAGCTTACTTAATGTAGATTCATATAATACTTAAAAACAGGAATAAAATTTTTGACCAACTGGACTCATTTCGTGGTGACAGGCCCCATATCAATAGCCTTATGCATCACCTATTGAAATGTGCGAACGTGACAATGACGTGTTACGTAATCCAACGAATCTCTATCGGACGTAGACAAATTCATCCGTAAGACTCTAGTCTTCACATTATCACATACGATATTAGACCATTCATTTCTTCTCTCAATAATTATGTTTCACTCATATTCAGTTTTAGTGCACATAATATCCAGTTGATATGAAATACCTCATCTTGACATAATCATACATTCCCCATTCCAGCTTGATTGAAAGTGCTTTCAATGAATTTGAACCATTTAAAATCTTAAAAATTCTTATCACCATCTTGCATAATACTCTTTGAATATCATACATGATTTTAGAATATTGTTTTGGTATCGTTTGACAATCATAAACCGAAATCCTACCATTCGTAACTTAATATCAACTAACATTTACCAGTAAATGTTTAAAGGAAGGCAAGATTCCCTTAACAGCCCGGGGATACTCAGATTTGATTTTGACGAGGGTGTGCCGCTCGCTCAAGCCTCGAAATCCCTACCCATGTAATAGGGGTCATTTTCGGGGATTTTCTCGAAAAAAGACCCATTTTCCACAATTTTCGGGTGTTTGCAGGGCAAACATGGCAAACACCCGAAATTTTTGGAAATTTTGGAAATTTTGAAGAAACGGACCCACTTTTAAGGGAGTTTTTGTGTGAAAATGTCACCCATTAAAACGGCATACCCCTTTATGTGAGTACCCCCTCCCCGGGCTTAACAGTACACAGATTGTGATGCCGTGCATGGGCTACCAAGACAATTAATACATACATTGCGTAATAAAACTGTAAAATACAGTATATATATATATATAACATATACAGTGCGTCCCGGAAAAAACGAAATCGAGAATTATCGATGTTTTATCATAACGTTATCACAGTATTAATTAATAAACGACACATACTTGTAAAACTCTTTTAAATGATGCAACTTATATGATGCATATATCATGCATGAGTGATTAAAACCAATTTGAAGAAAGGATACTTAAAAGTCATTTGACGAATAGTCTCTGAATTTCAAAGAGAAAATCACATTTCTAAAAAGTTCATGTTCTGCCCTTTCATGACACACCTCGATCAGGAAAAATGAGCCAGGAATAACAAGGTTCTGTTTGTTAAAAGTAATGTTTGCAAATCCGTTCCACTGGCTGCTTGCCCTTTAAACAACAAACAAAGAAGACGAAAGACAACTGGTCGTCAACAAAACGGAGTTAAAGGGATAGTTGAGTTCTGTTTTCAGACCGCAAATGCCTTCAAAGTGCATGGTTATTGCTCTTATTCTTATCTATGATATTTCTAGTGCCCTTTTAGAACCTAAAATTTCTATGAACGGTTAATTTTAGACCACAAAATGTGTGAATTTAGCTTATACGATCATACCAATACAGCTCCACTTTCAAAAAAACACGGCGACCGTTAATTAATATTTTAATTAAAAATAACAATACATGGTCCGGCTGGTTGTGCGTAATATAAGCAACACTCTAGCAGCTATATAAACAAAAACAAGTCTGAAATGATAATCGGTTAACAAGGAAATAACAACGCATATCTTGTTTATATAGATGCTTGAGTGTTTCAGAAGTAGGGAAAATTGTAATATAAATGTGTTTTGTTTGTATTTGCCTTCGAATAAATTTCGTTCTCATGAATTCACACCGTGTACCGCGTACCAATTGGTAGTCTTCAGTATAAGTAATTGATACGTTCATCACATGAAGAAAGGTAATTCATTCACGCACTCATGAAAATATAACATCGCAATCCAACGTTTTAATGTCACTTATAGCGTACATATATATATTATGTTACATATCGTGAACATTTCATAATCACATGCATAAAACAATCAGCGTCAATATTTAAATACATTTAAGGTCACTCTTATTCGATTACTTTTTTTCTCTACGAACATTGAATTCCAGGATATTTGTGGGCGTTAGAATATTTACATGATTAAAAAAATCGTCGACGGTCAACGAACCATCGAATCGGTCCCTCCTCTGTGTGTTATATATATGGACCATTTTGACTGATTCGTCAGTCCGTGTGACCGCCGACCAATCATTTATTTGTGACGTGTTGTATCCACATATGTAATAATGTAATTTATTTTTAAATGAAAAAAGAGGAATAAGATGGTGGGTCTTAGTTCCGAAGATTTGTTTAAATTTCTATTTCTTTTGAAATAACCGGGTCTGGAGGAAAGACTACGCTCTATACCCATGTTATTCCACAGGAATGAGATGGTGAGGTCTTAGTTTGAAGATTTTTCATTTTTGTTTTAAATAACCGAGTCTGAAGGAAAGTCTACGCTCTAATCCCATGCTTTATTACCGGGTCTTAATTTCGAAGATGGAGGGGTCTTAGTTTAAAAGGTTTTTTTCTTTGTTTTGTGTTGTTTTGTTTTGAATTTGTGTTTTTTTAACTTTTGAATAACCGCGTCTGGATGAAAGACTACGCTCAATACTCATGTTTTTCCACAGGAATAAGATGATGGGGTCTTATTTTTGAAGATTTTTTAAAAAGTTTTGAAATAACCGGGTCTGGAAGAAAAACTACGCTCTCAACCCATGCTTTATTACTTAGTTTGGAAGATGGTGGGGTCTTAGTTTAAAAGTTTTTTTTGTTTGTTTTTGTTTTTACTTTTGAATAACCGTGTCTGGAGGAAAGACTACACTCGATTCTCATGTTATTCCACAGGAAAAGGATTATAGGGTCTTAGAGTTGAAGATTTTTTAATTTTTTGAAATAACCGGGTCTGGAGTAAAGACTGCGCGCTATACCCATGCTTTATTACAGGGTTTTAGTTTTGAACAAATTCGACAAAATATCACTTCAAATTTATTACATTTGTGGGTAAAGTCATTATTACATTTGTGGGTGATTCGAAATTATTACATTTGTGGGTAAAGTGGTTATTACATTTGTGGGTGAAATTATTGTGGGTAAAGTGTTATTACATTTGTGGGTTAAGTGTTATTACATTTGTGGGCGTTATTACATTTGTGGGTGTAACACCCCCATTTGTGGTTGATTCAAAATTATTACATTTGTGGGTAAAGTGGTTATTACATTTGTGGGTGAAATTATTACATTGGTTGGTAAAGTGTTATTACATTTGTGGGTGTAACAGGGGCGAGGCAAGGTTTCCATCCTTCTCCACACGTTGTTGGCGGGATTAACAGCAAATGATCTATTTCCCCTTGTTTTCACCCTTTTCGCCCCCCTCTTTTTCGGTCCCTTTTAGCTCTCCCTTTCTCCTTTTCCTTCATTCTCTCTTTTTTTTATAGCGGGGTTGGGGGGAGGCAAGGGCAAATGATCCCCCCTTCTTTTCTTTTCTTCTTCCTCAATTTCCCTTCCCTTTATCTCCCCTTTTCCTTTTTTCTTTCCATTTCCTCAGCTTTCTTCTCTCTTATTTTTTTTTTAATGGGGGGGGGGGGGGGGGCAACAGCCTGGAAGGCAAGGCCCTTTCGCCCCCTTCCCCTCCGATCTCCTTCTTCCCCCTTTTCTTTTCTTCTTTCTCTTCTTTCTTTCCCTTTCTCTCCTCTTTCCCTTCTTTTCCTCCCACTCTCTCTCTCTCTCTCTCTCTCTCTATTTTTGCGGAGGGGGGGGGGGGGAGCACATTTTTTTTGTTTTGGCCCCAGAAATTGGAAAAATTACGTCGTCAGATATTTCGTTCAGTGGCTGGGGGGGGGGGGGGGACACTTTTTCATTAAAAAAAAAAATGTTTCCCCTTTTTTTCCCAGGGGGGGGGGGGGGCTCCCCGTCCCCCTCTCCCAAGAAATTGTAGAACCACGCGTTCACATCATTGTTAAACTTGTTACCTTTCCGATTCCTTCAAAATTATTCAGATTTGTGATCGCTTGCAGCTGGATTTTGTCGTCTGCTACCACCTTGTACCTTTTGAGCAGCCTGGGATATAGACTAGCAAATACCGCAATAGCTTTGCAGTTTCATCATAACTATTTTAGGGGCATATTTATGCAAAATAAATATGCCATACATTCCAAACGGAACTTTGTTCTTGACGTCATGACAACGTCAAAACTTTTAAAGATTGTTTGATTGTTTGATTGAATGATTCTAGCGCTATATATATCCACATATATAGGCTGTCTCTACTCTCTACTCTCTAATATGATAGCATAAATTCATTGAGGAGAGTAAAAATTGATTTTTTTTTTTTTGTTTTTTTTTTGTTGTAAAAATATTTTTAATATTTATTTATGTTATAGTATTTCTTTTGTGTATATACATATTTTCCCCTTCTTCTTCTTTTTTTTGGCGGGGGAGGGGGGGGGGGAGGGGGGAGGGGGCGGGGAGGGGAGGGGTGCTTATTCTGCAATTTTGGAGCACGGTGGCCAACCCCCCTCCCCGAGATCGCTGGTAGTCTCGGGATAAGCGGATGGGTTGGGGGAGGAGGGGGGGGGGGGGGTCTGGGGCAATCCTATCTAAATTTTGTATGTGCTTGCCCTATATTAATAAGTTTATGGGACTTTTTGTTCAGGGTAAAGGCTTATACCGTAATAGTAGTCTAAGGCCCGTCTTCGTTCATCGTTCTTGTGGTCAAATAAAGTCTGCTCTATAAGACTAATACTCTGCATGTTGTCATGTCGATGTCACGTCTATATATAACATCGTAAAAATTGTAGAGCACCGAGTTTGAATTGATGAGATGCGATCACTCGAAATTTACTCGACATGGGGAAATTACAGGTATTTGAAGTTCTACTGGCTGGCAACCAAGAAGTCTTTAAGCCAGGAGATGTTGTACAGGGAGAAGCAAGGATCGTTGTATCAGAAGACAAGGGAGATATTCGTGGTGAGTAAATTAAAGAAGACTGATGATATGTGTGAGGTGCGTGTGCATCACTGAAGAGCGAGTTGGGCCACAGCTACTGCCGCCGGGCGAGCGGCGAGCTATACGGCTTGGCCTAGGGAGCCGATAAACTCTCCGTAGCAGAAGCTTGATCAAGTTAGTTTGCGCGTCTAGCGTCTCGCATCTCGATTATTGTACCCTCGACCCTCAGCTCAGCAATGTTTTCCTTTTCTTCTTCTTCTCCCCTTCTTTTTCTCCCCCTTCTTTCCTCTTCTTCTTCTTCTTCTTCTTTTTCTTCTTCTTCTTCTTCTTCTTCTTCTTCTTCTTCTTCTTCTTCTTCTTCTTTTCTTCTTCTTCTTCTTCTTCTTCCTCTTCCTCCTCCTCCTCCTCCTTCTCCTCTTCTCCTTCTCTTCTCCTCTTCTTCTCCTTCTCCTTCTCCTTCTCCCCCTCCTTCTCCTTCTCCCTCTCCTTCTCCTTCTCCTTCTCCTCCTTCTCCTGCTCGTTCTCCTCCTCCTCCTTCTTCTTCTTTTCCTTCTTTTTCATCTTCTTTACCTTCATTTTCTTCTTTATTATTCGAGCCAGGTTCAAAATGAAGTTTTGGTGTCCCTGTATAGAACTTCGAAATGTGATTTTCCTTGGCTCAGGGTAACCACAGTAACTAAGAAGTTACTTGACCTATGACATCCTTTTGCCCCCCCCCCCTCCCGTAATATTAAACAAAATGTATTCTAAATTTCTAGATGATAGATCTAGACCTATCTGGGAGCTTGATCTAGTCTAGATCTACATAATGCGAGGGTGTCTGATCGTGCACCCGATGTTGTGTGCTAAAATCCTTCCTTCCCATAGAGATTGAACGCATCCCTATGTGGTCTACGTGCGTGCATTGCCCGACCATGCAAAATTGGTCAATGATTTTATGAAAAATTTGAAATTCAAACCTTTACTCGTGATCCTGAGGGTGAAACTCAATAAATGTGGTGTCATATGAAAGAGCAGGTTTTTCTCCATATTCCCCATCTATAGGGGGCCACCCCTATGAATTCTAAAAATATGTACGTTAGTGAGGGAGGTTAAATGCAATAAAGTTTGTGTGTGAGTGTGATTGCTGATCTTATCGTGCGTGCTAGCTTCAAGAAAACAGATTACCGGTAGCTGAAAATAAGTCCTTATATTTTAATGTCTTACAATCATTTTTTATTTTATCATTTTATGCTGCTCATTCTATCTTGACACAATTGATAAAGCTTGATTGTACATTACCCCTATACAACAACTCTGTCTATTAAGATGTGTACACACGTAAAGTAGTACACATGTATTATGACTTGTTCATGTACAGTATGTATTTACTTGTTCATATCATCATTACACAGAGGAGAAAATGTCACCTTTTCCATGTAAAATTATCCTTGTCTAATCTTGATATTATACCAGAGTCTTGTAGGCCTACTATACCGTGGTAATTTTTGATGCGTCAACTTTTAATTCTGCTGTGACATGATATTTGTTGTTGTTCAACCAATGGAAAAATAATTTCTGTTCTATGCCAGATAAATCAATAAATTAAATTCTTTATATCTGCACAAAAATTGTGTAATTCAGCTAAGCTCTGTATCGATCTGTTAGACAGATTTTCAATAAATAATACCATTGAATGGATACTTCTATGTACATGTACATGATTCTATTTCTTTATATATTCTTATAAACATAAGCTGAATTATGTAGATCTACATGTATGGTCATATGATGCATTACGATAAAAAGAAGAAAAAGATCTGTTTGTAGTACAATGTAGAATTGATGAGTATAATTTTCTTCATAAGTAAGTGTATTTTAGATGCACAATTGCACATACATGTACACTTTATCTGGTATGAACAGTATGCTACTGGTACAGAAAATGCCCATGTATTGTACACCTGTACCTTGACATGTACTGTACACATTAACCAATTATGAATCTACAAACGTGTGTACATAACTGATGCATTCTTATTGCCTGTAAATTGTACATAGTGGCTCTCTGCCTCACCACTTTGGTTTAATTGCCTTAATTACTTACACATACATGTACATGGTTTGACATGGTTTGAACTGTTGAAAGTAATAACTGACGCTCTCATTAGGTGACCTGCACTCCTACACTTTGATAAAATTCCAATTCAAGAGAAATTGGATTCAACTTAAGTATGTTGGCAAGAGATGGGTGGTTTGGAGCAGCAGAACTACATAGCACAGTCGATCACTTCCCATTAATGATGAATCAGTATATAGGAGCTCTGTCCTAATACTTGGCTGAATCTAAAGCCACATTGCGTAGTACAAACCTATTCAGTTGGGGGGGGGGGGGGGAGATTTAACCCTTAGGCCCGAATTCACAAAGGAGGTTTAAATTTAACCCATCGTTTAAATTTAACCCATCGTTTAAATCTTCATTTACACAACCCATGGTCTAAAACTAGCCCCAAATAAGCCTAACACAGTAAGAGGTCAAATAGTAGACGCGTGCAAGGCAAGGTACGCTTAAATTGCGCAACTTTTAAACCATGGGTTATGTACATTAAATGAGGGTTTATTTCAATCATGGGTTAAATTTAAACCTCCTTTTGAATTCAACTTTTTTCTCTGAAGTGCTGTTTTGCATTTTAACTCTTAAGTTTTGACTTTCTGTCTGCCATGTCACATAGTTAAATCTGAAGTTATGAATAATGGCACAAGAAACGAAACAGGAAAAAACGAATTGAGGGAACATTTTCACTGGAATTCAATATGCACTCATTGATCACCATTTTACTTTGAACTTTTTTTTGCAATTATTTTAGAATGAATACCTCAGTAATTCATACACATTTTGTTTCTAGAAATCTGGGTAGATACTCTGAAATACCGATTCTCATGCACTGTATATAATCTACATGTATTTCCTGTTCTATTTTCCAGCTCTGTATTTTAATGAATATTGAATTAGATAAGCCAAATTACCTGTACAATAAAACATACGATACCTAATACTTCCTGAATTCGTTTTTAATTGTTTCTATCTTCAGGTACTTCCTCTGAACAGATTAAAGAGTACCCTATCCTGTTTCCTCTATACAATTTTGAGTTTCATTCAGGATTTATGTAGTTTACATTCTGTTTTTAATAAAATTACAAGTTAAACCTAAAAGGGTGTGTGTGTGTGGTGTGTGTGTGTGTGTGTAGAGAGGGGGGGGGGGGAGTAGAATCCTCTGTCACTCCCTCCCTCCCTCTCCCCTCACACAGCTTTCATGACTTACACCTGTATAGCTAATAGAGTTTTACAGTGCCTTTACATGTGCCTACATTTATGTATCAAGCCAAATTCTAAATGTAATATGTAACAGGCAGATCCAGTCGGCGGCGAAGGGTGGGGCCCCCATTCAGTGAGAAAATATTTAGAGGGGAGGAGGTAGTGAGCACTATTTTTTTTTTTTTACTCAACACCCCCCCCCCCCCCCCGACACACACACACACACACCCTTGGGCTAAAAAAAGGGTAAAATTGCCCAATCTACAAATCTCTACACACTGTGGAATTTGTATGAACAGGGAGATTTGTACAAATGCATCGTTTGTATGAACCTTTGTGACCGAAGCTTTAGAGAGTTAAAATTTGCAAATGATAATGCTATGTTTGAAACAATGTTTGAAACTTTGAATGAACCTGAGAGTACATTCGCATACTTGTTCAAATTTGCTGTTGTTTCTTTTTGAATAATAAGCTAGTATGTACAAGTATACATTCTATTATAGATCTCTTTTACATTTTGCTCTTCCTACACTGCATAGGTATTCAAATAAAATGCGTTGGTAAGTCGTACACACATTGGACAGAGTCTGAGGGGAGTGGAGACAACCGAAGAACGGTGAGCTACACTACCAATCATGAATACTTCAGACAGGAGATCACTCTGCAAGGTGCAGGTGAGTGGAAGGCTATTATAAAGACTCTTAGGAGTGTGCTGTCGTGGGGGAATTGGACACCTTTGGGTATTTATCCAATAATAGGTGTTTTAATCACCAGGACTAGCCCTCAGTTTTATAACCAACATGGCACCAATGTCCTTTGGCAAGGCATTAATCTACATTTGCCACTTAATACCCAAGAGAGAATTGGGGACCGGTAGGATGACAAAAGCATTTGTGTTAGTAATTGCCTATGCCCTTACGCTGACCATATGTGGAATACTCCCCAGGGAGTGGAGATGGTGCACATTGTGCGTGAATGAATCCGATGACCGGGGTAATAATATCTGTAAAGCGCTTAGAGACGGTATTCCCTATTAAGTGCTATATAAATCAAGATTTTCATATTACCTTACTTTCCCCCAACGTGCAAGAATCCTTCAAGACTCATCTTCAAGAAACTAGGGATATTTATATTTTTTAATTTTTTTTATTTTGGTCCCGCTTTTGAGAATTGATATTCAGGAACTTTTTTTGTTCTCCAGGAGCGGATAACACTACTGCAGACCGAATCAAACTGACTGCGGGGGAGCATCGCTTTCCCTTCCAGTTCCAGATCCCAAATATTTCTCTGCCCCCGCCGTTTGAAGCTTCTTACGGGTATGTAAGGTACTACGTCAAGATAAACATTGACCGACCGTGGAAATTTGACCATCACACTCAGAGGCTATTCAGCATCTTCACTGTGAAGGATCTGAACTACGAGTATAATGTACTGGTAAGCTTTTGGTCCTCTTTGTTTTCTGGATGAGAAACAGCAAGGGGTAAGCTGTTTAGCTTTTGAAATCTCTAAAAAAAAAAAATGAATTTGCCAATGTTACCGGTAAAGTGAAATGGGAATCTAATTTTCTTTGTCGATAATTGGAAAGGGGCTTTGAAAATATTAGCTAAAAATATTATCTCACTGATGAGGAAGTTCTAACTTATTTAATGATTTTTTTTTTTTTTTTTGGGGGGGGGGGGGGGATAAGATAACATGTATGGAAAATTTTCAATTCTTTAATGAAATAGCTTTTCCAAGTCAACAAACTATGGTATGGAGAATTCCCAGTTCTTTAATGAAATAGCTTTTCTGAGTCAACAAACAGTGGTATGGACTATGGAAAATTCCCAGTTTCCTCTCTCTCTCTCTCTACCTCTCCCTCTTCCTCAATCTTCCACTGGAATAACATTGTCTCTTAGAAAGAGAAGTAGGCTCAACTTTTTCTTTGAAGTGCTGTTTTGCATTTTAAATCTTAATTTTGACTTCCTGTCTGCCATGTCACATAGTAAAATCTGAAGTTATGAATGGCACAAGAAACGAAACAGGAAAAAACGAATTGAGGGAAAATTTTCACTGAAATTGAATATGAATACATGCATTTTTTGGGGGTGACATTTTTGTGTTTGAAACTTTGAACAAAATACAAATAAAAGTCTCTTCCAATATACTGACTGATCACTATTTTGCTTTTAACTTTTTTTCTCAATTATTTTAGAATGAATTTCTCAGTAATTCGTACACATTTTGTTTCTAGAAATCTGTGTACCGGTAGATGATACTCTGAAATGCCAATTATCATGCACTGTAATTGTATTTTATTTCCTGGTCTGTGTGTCTAGCTCTGTCTTTTAATGAATATTGCACTTAGGTAAGCCTATTTACCTGTACAAATATGTAACCTCTTACGATACTTCCTGAATTTGTTTGTAATTGTATCAGTACTTCCTCTGAATAGAATAAAGAGTACCGAACCTGTTTCCTCTTTACAATTTTGAGTTTCATTCAAGATGTATGTAGTTTACATCCTGGTTTAGATTAAAAATATAAGTTAAACCTAAAAGGGTGTGTGTGGGGGGGGGGGGGGGGGGGGGAGGAGAATCCTCTGTCACCTCCTCCCTCCCCCTACCCTCCCTCAGCTTTCATGACATTATGGCCAAAAGTTACATGCATCTATTTAAAAATTTACGAGATAGACTTACATCTAGGAGGATATGAAACTTTATGGGCTTATTCATTAGAAAAATGCCCTTTCTGCATTTATGTTCCAAAGAAGTTTCAGAATTTTCGTTTATCCATGGGTGAGATCCCTATTGGCTGATAGAGCACAAACATACCCTCGTCTGTTCATCATATCAAAATTTTATACGCAAATCCATGAGAATAAAACAGAAACAATAGAAGCCCAATGGAAGAATGTTCTGTCAGGTTTTGAAGATAAATTGCTCATTTGATTATACTCAGTATTTATTCAGTCGAGATTTAAGAGCATTCCAAATTTGCATTGTAATCAATTGGGAGGCGAGTCAACAGACTGTTGGTCAACAATAAAATTCTCTGTTAAATATTTACTTTTGATTTATCATTGTTAATTTGTATTTTTGCTGTACGTTTTACAGTGTGTCCCAGAAAAAAAGAAACCAAGAATTATTGATGTTTTATCATAACTTAATACAAAATTTTGGGAAATTTTGAAAATTGGGTGTATAGTGATTCTTTACAATTTTGATGTATTTGGATGCCCCTGTGGATGTATTATAAGCCTATAAAATGTATCTCCTAAAACACTTCTGCTTTTGAGAAAAATTGATTATAAAAATTTACCGGTGCTCCAGGTAAATTTTTGATAAATTTGACAATGGTACCTGTAGCTGCGACCATGAAAATATCAGAATATGTAGTTGTGATATATAATTTCCAAATGGGAATGGCTAATCGGTCGATTTTAGTCAGGAAACATTGTTTTAGAGCTTAATTAATATCTTGACCTTGAGAGGGAGCTATACAACATATTGAGTTTATTATTTAATATTTCATAACTTTAGACTCGATTTCAACTGCGACAACGATCACTGAAAATTGTAGGATCCCATATGCTTTGATCGATCCAACATGTTCATTTGAACCAAATTCATGACACCATACTGAAAATTTGTATTACCTTTAATCTCAATTTATATAATTAATAAATGACACATAGATGCATGTCATATGATGCACATTTCACGCATGAGTGATTAAAAAGAATTTGAAGAGAGGGTACCAAAAAGTCATTTGCCGGGCGCTATCTGAATTTCAAAGAGAAAATCACATTTCTAGAAAGTTCATTTTCTGCCCTTTCTTATGACACCTCAATCAGGAAAAATGAGCCAGGAATAACAAAGTTCTGTATGTTTAAAGTAATGCTTGCATTTCCATAATATGATTAAACAAATTCGTTCACCCTGGATGCCTGCCGTAGCAACAAACAGAGTTGACAAAAGACTTACCGGTAACTCTGTTTCATTGACGATCAGCCATATGCATGAAGTCTTTCATCTTCTTTGTGCATAACACACGTAATAGGGTGACATGTAGATCTCTGCGTGTAAGTATCAGCTTGCATGGCGATGTAGATATACAGTAGGCTTGCGGGTGCACCATGTGAGAGACAGAAAGAGGGGGAGGATTGAGGAGTCCTGAAAAGTAAAGACTACACCAACAGTCCTTTTCAGGACTACACACCCTCAAGAAAGATTACTGAGTGTCCTTTTCAAGACTCCTAAACCCTCCCTCTCTCTCTCCCATGGTGCACCCGCAAGCCTACTGTATATGTAGATGTCTGTTTGAATGCTTTTGATTAAAAGGTTCCTCCTAGTCACGAAGTTAGGAAGACAGTATTTTGTGTTTGCTGCGCTCCAGGACTCGTTGTTCTGAAGGGCAGTTTGAATATTTATATCTTTGTTTTGATGTTTTGCTGTATACTTAGGTTCCTCAAAGTCACCAAGTCGAGAAGACAGTATGCTGTCTTTGCTGCGCTTCAGGACCCATTGTTCTTAAAGGAATGATTGACAAGAGGGGATATGTACCAGGAGAATACATATTTATTTCATTGGATCTAAATAACAACAGTTCTAGGAGGATCATTGACATCACTGCAAAACTGCAACAGGCAAGTCTAAGCACAAGATATACATGTACATAGAAGAATATTGTACAGATAATATACAGGACCAACTGGAAGTCTTTGTGATAGAGAGTGGGACAAAAAAAGATTGTGGAAGCCTTTGTGCTGCGCATTCTGTATCAGTGAGCTGCCCATTTAACCAGCATTCATTGTTTATTGATGAGTGCAAAAACAATAGAGTAGGTCTGTATTCCATGCAATGTGCAGGGGATTACAGACATACATGTACTATGTTGTTTTTTCTCTGGAGAAGTGCTAGTCTACATGCTCAAACTCCTGGAAAAGTGCCCTGATCTCATCCTTAGACTGCCACGGTAGGCTACCTAGTACATTTACATGATTGAAAACCAACAACTTTGCTTCACGGTAAAGTGTACTGGATTCATAGACTTTCAATTGTTACATCAGTAAGGGCTTTAGCAAGAACTATCTACACAAGCTGTACCTTCCGAAATATCTAGATAGCCAAGGCAAGAGGGTGTTTGTACTCTTTCAACGGTACTGAGGGTGGATAATTGTAATATCAAATACAATTATCCGTTCTACCGAGAGGAGAAACCCAAGGGTTTGGCATAGATTTTTGTTTCATGTCTTCTCCAACCTTTGATGTAATGCATGTAGCACTTGACTGTGTCTTTCGATCTCTTGCAGAGAGGGCATTTCACTGCCCAACGTCACGGCACTGGCAGAACTCACACCAGACAGGCAGTCAAGACAGTGGCTGAACTGAAGCTAGCTGGCTGCGAAGCCATGGGGTCGGTGAACTACGACAGGTTGAAGATGTTGATCCCTCCTATCCCTCCCTGTGCTTACGAAAACTGCCCAAACATTAAACTCGAGTACTATGTTGAGGTAAGAATGTAAAGAGGGTGATAGTCCTTTAAATGTCATTCTTTGCCACCTGAACTTGAACAACATGTAGAACTTGTTTATATTCATTTCCCCGGCTACCAATATTGAGAGAGTATGACCTGTAGGTATACATTGTAACCAACCAAAGTAGCCTAAATGTACATGTGCATGTATGTTTCATGTACCATACTAACTGAAGAAGTAGTTATTTAAAGGCCAATCCAATCCTTGTAATAAGTTCATTTTGAAAGAAACAGAATTTCGAAAATTTGAAATAAATTGGACCAATAATAAGGAAGTTATGAATGTTTGAAATACGAGATCACTACATTTAGGCAAAAGTAGCAATTAGGTTAGTGGATTTTGATGTACTCAGGAGTCGGGAATAAGTCTACCCTTTGTCGTGTATGAAAATATCATTAATTTATGTTTTTATCCCAAGTGGGTTCACCCTTGGGGCACTACTCAAAATATATTATGGATAGTATATTATTACAGGTTCTCTCCAAAGAATCTCTCTCTCTCTCTCTCTAAGTGCCATATCGATTGACTTTGGCGGTCGTGCTGTTCCACAACCCTCGGTTCCTAGCCTTCTGTATTAGTACCACTCCCAGTTCTTCCACTCCTCTCTCTTCCAACAATTTCTGCAGACTGTCCATCCAAAGTATCCTCCTTCTTCCCCTACTCCTTCTTCCCACAATTTTCCCTGTCAGTGCAAGATTCTCTAGGCCTTCTTTACGTGTAATGTAATCCATGAACTTCAACTGCCTAATCAACATCTCACGTATCATTTTCCTGTGCACTCCAGCTCATGTAAGAACTTCCTCATTACTAACTCTGTCAGTCCAGGGGATTTTCATCATTCTTTTTAGGAACCACATTTCGCAACTTTCCAAACGCTTTTTAGTATCAGAGGCTAAAGTCCACGTTTCACTACCATACATAAGAATAGACAATCCAAAGTCATACATATTGAAAAAGAATACATTTGAGTCATTTTGTGTGTTTGAACAAATGGGAAAGTTTTCCAGCACTAAATTACAGTGACAGTACCGATTCAGCCAATTTGAAGATCCCATACGTTTCTAATTCCAACGTTTAAAAAATCACAGTTTTCTAATTTTGTGTCAGATTTCTGCTTTTGCTTCTACTTCTCTGAATTTTCCTACTTCTTTTTAGATTGTTCTGCTTTTAAGGTTGGATTTCCCTTTAAAACTGAATAAGTTTATCAAAAGGGCGCTAGCTCTCATCCTTAGTTCCAAACATAGGTCTTCCCAGTCACAGATGATTGCACTACATGTATATCCACTGAAAGATCCTTGTGTAGTAACTATACACCAATCACCTAATTGATACTGAGACTAAACTGACAATAGAGAGAAATGGAGAGATAAAAAAGATCAGATAATGTTAACCAGTCTGGAAAACATAAATGATGAACTACATGCTCTGTTAGGTTGAGTTTTGTTATTGACATATCGAGGGGTCAGTGACACAAAGACGTAACTCCATTTAAGCCATTTTGAGAAAAAGAGGTTTATTTGTCACTGAGCACTTGGGCCTTAAGGAGTTAAGTCTATGTTTTACTAGCCATAGACTTCAATGGGGTGTTAGACGGAGTTAAGTCTTTGCATTTCCTGGAAAGCCCACATTTTTCTGAACATTTTGATATCACTTAGTCATTTTGAAAAAATATGGAGTTACCCGGTACATCTTTGTGACACTGAACCCTTCAATATATTGTACATAAAGAGGAAGGTGTTGCAAAAGGGGAGTGTAACGGTGCATTGCAGGTTTGTTGTTTGTGGTAATACCGGCATCTTTGGGTATGATACCATATGAGGTCAAATAAGCAGTAAAGAACAAAGACATCAATGCAAATTTTCTCATCATTGTATTTTCTGAAATCAGATTGAGGGAGATGTTGCAGGAACACCTATGGATGCTGAAGTGAAGCTTCCACTTGTGATTGGCACAATTCCAGCCTTCCAGCACACCATAAAGGATCCTTCTCAAAACCCTTATGCGGTGCAACCCATCGCAGGCCAGCCTGGGGCACCCCCGGGAGGGCAGCCAGGATTCCCTCCACAGGGGCAACCGGGATATCCTCCACAAGGGCAACAGGGCTATCCCCCACCAGGACAACCTGGAGTGCCCCCACCAGGACAAGGGTATCCCCCACCTGGGGCACCCCCACCAGGACAAGGGTATCCCCCACCTGGGGCACCCCCACCGGGACAAGGGTATCCTCCACCAGGGGCACCCCAACCAGGGCAACAGGGCTATCCCCCACCAGGACAACCTGGAATGCCCCCACCAGGACAAGGGTATCCCCTACCCGGCCAAGCTGGGCCACCCCCACCAGGGCCAGAGGGATACCCTCCACCTGGACAACCAGGAATGCCAGGAGGAGTGTCTGGTGAAGAGGGTAAGAATTGGTATAAAGATGCTAAACAGATGGTACCTTGTGTATCTTTCTTTATCTTTGAATTGTATTACATTTTTGATACATTCATGAAATATTTATGATTAATTTGATGCATCTTAAACATCGTGTTGTATTCCTGTAAAATATATTTGAACAATTATGTAATGTAAGATCTTGGCCCTGTTGCACAAAACTTACCATTGAAACTTTGATTTTGATTAGCTGTTGAGCCCTGTTACCATTGTAGTTGCCATTGATGGCAAAGGTACCATCAGTGGTAAGTTGATTTCATGAAAATGTTAATCCATTTGGGAGTCATTGTGTCAGAAGTACAGAAAATGTTCAAACCAAATTCAAACAGAAGTTGAAACAAGTTTTATTGCAATTTTTGTATAACTGTGAAAATGATTATCTTGCTTCTGGTTTAAAGTTGATGCAAAATTTACTGGAGAGATTCAAAACATTGGTCCACTTGATAACAATTGAATTCCAACCAATGTAATACACACATAATTAAAGATAAAGTTGAGTTCTGGTCATGCAATTACATTGTGAAAGAAAAGGTGTGGAATCAATCAGAAAAGTTGATCATCTAGCATATATGTCTTGGTGTGTACTGCAAGGTTCTGGAATCATCAAAATGATAAGAAATTTGGCCCTGTCTTGCTAAAGTTACAAGCACTTTACACAGAAAGATGTATATAGGGCTACACGAACATGTGGCATAAAAATCTGTCCCGATTTGTATGTTGTTACATGCCATATTTAGAATATGAAAGCATTTGAAGAGCCATGCTTTTCGGGGCACATTTTTTATCTGATGTTTTTTCATACTTGCATAATAACGATGATAACGCTCACGAATTATTTTTTCACCTCTTGTCAGAACTCAACCTTCTCTTTAAGTTCATGTAGGACTTTGATTTTCAAAGTATAAATGATAGCAATGTGTGTAAATTTTCTTTCTTCTATGCTTCATTGTGTAACTGCAGGTTTGGCCCCACCTCCAACATATACAGCTGCTGTTGGAGGGCCACAGGAGGTTTCAGGCGAGAAAGGTTCTTTTGGCAGTGTCCTGTACGCACCGCAGTACCCTTACTACGATCCAGACACGCTGTATGCCTCCATGGGTATTCCAGTGGGAGCGACCACTTCATCAGCAGACGGAGGGCAACCACCCCCAACAGTTATGCAGCCAATGAGCATTCAGCAGCCACCCCACCAGACCTAACCAGCCTGTGGGCATTCAGCAACCATCCCACAAGACCTAATCAGCCTGTGGGCATTCAGCAACCTTTCCACAAGTCTTTATTAAACACCGGGCATTGAGTAACGGTCTTGTAGAAATACTCGCCCATTGGGCATTCAGTAAACACCCTGCCATTCCTAACTAGCCTTCTCGACATACTGCAAAAGACTTACAAATATTTTTAAGACAATGAACTTTCAGCAATAGTCCTACAATGCCAATCAGCCGATGAGAATTCAGCAACCACCCTGCAACTGCTAACTAGCCAATGGACATTCAGTATCTGCCGTACCACTCCTCACCAGCTAATAAACATTCACTGACAGCAACACCATTCCTAGCCGGTCAGTGAGCATTCAGCTAGCTCTGTAAAATGCCAAACCAGCCCACAACCAGACCCCACACTCCATGTAATTCTGCAAAATTTTCCAGGAAGACCGACCCATCTTATCCAGAAATGAAGGGCAACCACCACCAACGATCATTAGCCAACAACCATTCAGCAATTGAATGACCAATCATCATGCATTCAACAACTACCCTGCAGCCCCTAACCACACACCATGCATTTAGCAACGTTCCTGTAGCAACCGTCTTAAAGAACTCTAGACGATTCGTCATGCATTCAGTAACTGTCCTGCAACCTCCCCAAACTATCCGCTAGGCATTTGAGTTTATTTTCAACAAAAAAAGTTTATCTTTTTGTTAGGCTTTGGTTGACCAATGGAACAAATAAGGATGGCCTCAATTGACTTTTATCACACACACACACAACACACACAGTGCTCCTGGATACCATACTCCAAACACTGTGGTTTTCATCCATGAAACAGAAAGAGTTTAGCATACATTGTAAAAGTAGGTGGCAAATATTCTACTAGTATGTCTCTATTAAAGCGGGACTGCACTACTTGCGCCCTCTATATAGCAAACAATGCCTAAGCGGTACCCATTGGTCCCTCATGATCCCGCTTTTCTTATGTTAAATGAGAGCTGATTTGATGAGATAATCACCTGTCAGTGACCATGCAGGGAGGGCTAATCCCTCCTGGCCAAACTAGTGCAGACAGGCCTTAAACAGCAGATGATGATAGAATGTATTACTGAGATAATTTGAGGTGGAAACGATTATGACTTCTCTGGTGAGCCTATCTACCAATTATAGCCATGATGCATATAGCAGGTACTGTACTTGCTGCTAGAAATCAGGGTTTTCTTATGTTAAGTGAGAGCTGATTTGATGAGATAATCAGCTGTCAGTGACCATGCAGGGAGGGCTAATCCCTCCTGGCCAAACTAGTGCAGACGGGCCTTAAACAGCAGATGATGATAGAATGTATTACTGAGATAATTTGAGGTGGAAACGATTATGACTTCTCTGGTGAGCCTATCTACCAATTATAGCCATGATGCATATAGCAGGTACTGTACTTGCTGCTAGAAATCAGGGTTTTCTTATGTTAAATGAGAGCTGATTTGATGAGATAATCAGCTGTCAGTGACCATGCAGGGAGGGCTAATCCCTCCTGGCCAAACTAGTGCAGACGGGCCTTAAACAGCAGATGATGATAGAATGTATTACTGAGATAATTTGAGGTGGAAACGATTATGACTTCTCTGGTGAGCCTATCTTCCAATTACAGCCATGATGCATATAGCAGGTACTGTAATTGCTGCTAGAAATCAGTGTTTACATGGGCATGTAAATTGTTTAGAGTTTCTTCAATTTTGATTCTTAACAGATAATAGTTTGCATTATTTGATTACATTAGCATTTTGATCAATGTACAAACAAGATATATAAAAAAAAGTTTGACATGCAAAAGGAACATGGTATTTGATATCTTGTTTCTAAAAAAATAATGATGTTACTTGTAGTAACACTATCAAGAAACTTGTTGATCATAAAAAGAGGCATGTATGTATAAACGCTCAAAGAGGAATTTAGAGTATGACAAATGTAAGTGTATTTACATATACATGTATTTATATTATGGTACTAGGTCGAAAGACTGCAAGCTGAGTTGATGAAAAGAGGTTTTATGTACAATTCATTAAATATTTTAAACTTTGAACTATAATGCTGATTTCTTATTTAATGTTACATTTAGTATGTCATAAAGCTGAAATATAATGTTGAACTGAAAGAGCTGACTTTTAAGAGATACAGTCAAAAAACCAAAATATGAAGCTGAACTTTTAGGATAAGTTTTATATGTACAATATGTACATTTATTTTGTAGTAAGAATTGTTATATTTAAAATGTTATGCTCAACAACAGTTTAAAAGAAATAATTTGTGTGTTGTCAGGTATGATGACAGTGTGAGCTTTACATGATACACTAGGTTTTATAATATATCAGGGTTAACCAATGATACTTACGATTAAGCCATCCATTCAATTTTTTACCAATTTTGACTGATGACACCAAGAGCTTTCAGATACTACAAAACAGTACTTTGGTCTGGGTCACGTCTGTATGTTTTTGCTGTTGTCTTTTGTACTTTGTTTATTGTTTTTTCATTGTAATTATTATTGTTTGTTCTTCGTCAACTCCAAGGACATACAAACGTTAATTATTATGTTACAATTTGAAAATGTGACAAATTATTTGTATCTTTGGATATATGTCCGGGGTAATAATATATATATATCTGTAAAGCGCTTTGAGAGGGTCTTCAGTCCTAAAAAGCGTGACATAAGAACAAGCTAGTATTAGTATTATTATAAGATGAGGTAATTTATTAGAACTATAGTTCTAATAAATTACCTCATCTTGATGAATATTAATTTAAAATGCGATATATTCTTTTCTTGATAGTTTAGTAATTATTCTGTGTTTTTATACCACCGTTCTGGGTGTGAACTTATTGTATGACTCATTATTTCCATCTTTGGAAATATATATGCTTATCCCATCAGCATCATGCTTTCCCCCTTCCTTTCTCTTGTGTTCAATTTAGATGTACTTGTACTGGCTTGCTTGACCTTGATGTATGTTATTTCAAGATATGATATTATTTTCTTGATAGATTAGTCATTATTCTATGTTTTTAATGAACTATTGTATCGTTAATGTGAGATGATGAGGTAGATCAAAAACATGTTCATATTGTGAATCTGTATAAAAGGATAATTTTTTTTCAATCTTTTTTTCCAAAAAGTTTCAGAGAAGATCATCAGTGACAAAACCTTCAGAATAGGTATCTTGTAGATAGTCATGCTTTACTAGTCATTTAGGTGAACACTCTTTCTTATATATTGATTGTGAATGTAAAGTTTTTACTTGTGATTTTACATTGCCTTATCTTAAATTTAATGTCCAAGAGTTAAATCATTGATTGTTGTTCAATTGATTTATAGCAAGTTTTACTTTTGTACTTATTGATAATTGATCTGAATCTTAACTCATTAACTGCCCTACTTGGCACAAAATGGTAATGATATGTAACATACGTTTTTATTTCTTTTAAAAGGGACTGCTGATTTGACATAAGTATTGCAGGTTTATTTACAACAGAGAGATATCATATAATTATATAGAAAGAGTGAGAGAGAGGGAAAGAGAGAGGGGGAGAGAGAGAAAGAGAGAGAGAGAGGGGGTAGAAATATGTACATACCGGTACATGTCTATGTTCATGTACATCATTCGTCGGAAGCTGCATTTCTTTATTTATTAGTTATTTGTCATTAGTGTATTGTAGTGTTACACGTTTTGCATCCTGTATATTGAGTAACAATTATGGAGTAGTCTTACCCGCATTTATCTCATTACTATTTATTCATGTGCGATCTATGATACCAAATATATTACCGTAATGCTCGGTGTACCTACATAAGTATTTATGTTGTATAACAGAGTCCAGAAGCCAATAAATAGTAACAAGAATAATACTATTTGTTCAATGATTATTGTTTATTTCCTTTATATGATTCAATTAAATTGGTAAATACATGTGCATTCCATTGTGAAAATCTTCAGATTGTGTACATGTACATTAAGAATTGAAGTACGTCATGTTTGAGTTAGAATTTGAGTTTGAAGGTTATCATCCAAACAAAAGTACACTATATAACAATCAAATGTGAATAGTTGAAATTGAAAGGATACATGTCGAGACCTACCTTTGATTGAAAATTTGTAAAATAGAAAGCTTTTGCTAGCTGTGTTGAGATTTTACCACTTTCAACTGTGTGAAGGTATGATGCTGCCAAATGTTGTAGTTTTTCCCTTATAATTTTGTGCAATTTCTTGCTGAAAAAAATGGGTATTTTTGCACAAACAAAATGATTTACAAATGTAAACATATACCATACTCCATAGTAATATAATAGATATAATGACTGCCATGACAGGAATAGTTGTTTTATAGGCTCAAGGGGAAGTTCCATCCCGATATCACCCTGAGGCGTGCCGGGGGGCGATAGCAAAATGCAACATCCCCGAGAGCCGATAAACAGGGATGCCAGTTTTCAGGCAATATCTTGAATTCAGGCCCTGGCGAGTTATTTTCAGCCCATTGTTTAGGCCTTTCTTGTGTACAAAACAGCTCATTCTAGGTGATTTTCAGGCCCTTTGAACAATTCTAACTGGTATCACTGTTATAAAACAACTACTCCTCGAATGTTAAAGCAGTCATTATATCTTTTATATACCGGTACTGTAAACAAAAAAAGGGTCACAGAATACATGTGCGACTTACCAATCATGGGGATCTCACATCAGATTTAAGCTCCATTGCAGTAGAGCAGGAAAAGCAGAAGTAATGAATATCTAATCATGGGGTGCTCACATTTAAAAACAGCATCAAACTGTGCTCCAGTAGAACAGGGAAAGCAGAAGTAATGAATAACAGTTACTTATGGCGTAAAACTCTAAATTCGCAACATATTTACACAGACTGCGAGAGTCTCGATTACTTGTAGATGTTTACAATGCAGTTCTGGATATTGAATGTAGGGACTTGGACCTGCCGGCCGGCTTGAAACGAGGTGTTGATAACTTGCAGATAGTCTTCGAATATTTTTACGGAGAATTTCACGGACATTTTGATGTTCTTAATTCAGAGCTGCCAACTAGTACGGATTTTCCGTAATTGGTACGGAAATTAACGACCATTACGGAATGTTGTCTCAAATTACGGATTTAAAAAAAAAAAAAAAAAAAAGATTTTTTTTTTTTTTTTTTTTTTTTTTTTTTTTTTTATTTTTTTTTAATGAATTAAATATGATTTATCGTAGCGAGTGCTGTGAATAGGAGCCATTTTTCATGATAAACTGTGTTGTGATGACCTGAAATTCAATACTTAACATCTTTGTGTGAGTAAAATCACCAAAAATTTCAGATAATCATGCGTCCGCGCAGTGTTGGCGTGTCGTTTTTTTAGATTCATAGCGCCGCATAAGAAATTACTGATTTATACCCCAAATTACTGATTTTGAGCCTTGTGATTACTGATTTTCTGTTCTGGAGGTTGGCAGCTCTGTTAATTGCTCTCCGCAGAATTAATAAAGTCTTTATTGGTTACAGGCGCGTACGGTACGCATGGGGGGGGGGGGGGGTCTTACCCCTCTCAATTTTTTTTTTTTTTTTTTTTGGGGGGGGGGGGGGGGTGTTTTTTGGAGGACCCCCCCCCCTCATTTTTTTTAAAATAAACAAACAAAGTATATTATTTATAGTATTTATAGTATTTATAGTAATCGGTGACCCCAAAAAGGTGCTATTACCCCACCCCCACCCAGGCGCGGATCCAGGATTTCTTAGGGGAGGGGCGCGATTTTCTAATTTTAACCCCCCCCCCCCCCCCCGTTGAAAAAAATCCTGCGTACGCGCCTGATTGATCTTCATCAAGAAGTTCAAATCTAGCAAAAGTCTCTTCCGCCATTTTTACCTAATTCTTTGGACATAAAATAAAGTTTAGAAACTAAAAAATCAGAGATTCGATGTAGGCCTATAAGATCTTTGTTCGTCTGCGCTGTGTGCAATTATAAAACCTAAAATGTAGCTACCAAATTAATCGCAGACAAAAAGCACTGTATGGTAGCCGCGGTCGCACAAACTAAGTTTTAACACGTAAACCGATGGGGATCGCAGCAGCATTTTACTACTTTTCCGGTACCCGGAATCTTGCGGGAAACTCGACTCATGGACTATTGACCCGCACTGGCATTGTTTGTTTCTTTACGGGAATGGCTAAAATCACGACTGAAATTTCGACCAATCAGATGGCTAGATTTCTAAATAATAATACTAATCTTTTAGTCCACTCCGAATTTTATTAAACCGAAATGAAAATTCCTTTTCCCCAATTGATCGTGACCCCTGCAGCCGCTGAGCAGCGCCAGATCGACGTTGATAAGGTAATATAATAATAGGAAGGAAAGATATTGACAACGAGACTGAAAGACTGTAAGAGTGTGTCTTAAATAAAAGCATCCTCAATGGGGAGCAGCAAAGTTGACAAGCAGACGATTTTGGTGATATGAAATGTATTATTACTGATTTGCAAACTTTCGCACACACCTATGACCTTATAAAACAATTAGAAGGCCATGATCTGTATCACCCCTTGGGCGTTGTAACTCTGGAATATTATGAGGAAATAGGGGGAAACGGGACTTTAAATCACAACCCAAAAATCCAAAAATAACCTCTATCTGGTAATATCAACATGTTTTTCAAAATAAAATACATTTACAGTATACGAAACAACAACTTCCGAGTATAAGCCAGAACTGCACATCTATTTTCCATGATTTAGGCGAGTTATTATCTTCTGCGCATGTAGATTAACATGTGTAAAATTACTATTTTGATTCTGTCCCGGCTTTTTGGCGGTGACCATGATGAGATCAAAGTGTAGAAACATGTACGGAATGTTATTGAGACGACATTGACGAAGACAATCACAATGAATTCGTTAAGAAAACGGTAAATGTCCACTCGTAATAGGTCCGAGATTATAAAACAAAGACAGTCAAACAGACAGACACACACACACATACACACACTTTTTTTTTTTTTTTTAAATTTTTTTTTTAACAATTTTGTTTTATTTCTCCAGATGTGTAATACAAACCATGACATACAATTGAATAAAATAAACGTGTTCAATATTGATGCTTTTACATAAACATAATTAAACACAAACTTATTTGCAGTATAATATAACTTAACAACAAAGTAAACGTATAAGTACCTAAACATAATATGTCAATTGTAAATGTTATTTACTTATATATTACCAAAAAAAAACAAATCTGGAGATAATTTTACTGAAACAATCCTGCCCCCTCCCTGCCCCCTACATCACACAGACATACTCACCCTCTATCACACAAACATACTCACCCACTCACACACATACTCACCCACCCACCCACCCACCCCCCCCCCACACACACACACACGCACGCACACACACGCACACACACAACACACACGGTGACAATTGTTTCATAATTTCCAACTTTCTGATTAAGCATTGATTTCTATCAAGATCGCTGAATGTTTAAGTGGCATAACCCTGACAATCTTTTCCTTTTAATAGTACACATTCATTACCACCATAATATCATCATCATCATCATCGTCATCATCTCAATCTTCATCATCTTCATCATTATCATTATCATCATCATCATGAAGCACAACATCCGCCAAAACGCACTATAGAAGACAGCGGCCACTCAACTTTTCGTACGAGAACAGGAATTCCCGACAAAAAGTAACAGTTTGGGTGGGCCTTGTCGGAAATGGAACGCTCATTTGTGTGCGTGTGCGTGTTTTTTATGTGTGCGTGCGTGCGTGTGTGTGTGTGTGTATTTCTGTCTGTCTGGCTGTCTTTTTTCAAACACTATTTCATTCCTCACCCAGCAACTTGGCGCAAGTGAGATCTGGCAGTCTTGTAAAGAATGTCTGATGTTCAGTCATGTATGCAGAGATTCAAATGAAAATGGTACCTAATTGTACTGGGAGGATACTTCTATCAAGACACATCATGAAACCCATGATTAGATATTCATACTTCAAACAATACAACTTATAAAAAGTGGAACACATTTTCTGACTCACCTTGTATAGAAACAATGATATGAAGGCAGAAATATGGGAATCTAGAAGAATCTCTCGTAGGCCTATATCCCAGATGCTATGGAGGTGGTTTTATTTGTATTTGTAAAAATTACACAATATGTAGTTAACCTGAAACTTGACGATGGCCATCTGTTAGCTTACCACTTTTTAGTGATACGTTATTTGCCATATTTGTGATATTACTGAATGGGATAATTATCAGAGGTGAATGGGGCACATTTCAAAAGTAAAAAGGGCACTTACTAGAGATAAAAAGGGCACTTATGAAAATGTAAACTTATTGCAAAGGGAAATTGGGACTTGTCGAAGGAAAAGGGGCATGTGTTAATATAAAAGGGGCACTTATCATAGATGAAAAGTAATAGGGGTACTTTTCAAAATAAAATGAACACTTTTCATATGTAAAAAGGGGCACTTCTTACGAAGTTATATGGGCACTTCATACAAAGTTATATGGGCACTTCTGCTGAGTAAAAAGGGGCATTTTGGGGAACTTGATAAAGTGCCCCTTGTCCCCCCCCCCCCCCACGGAGTACCGCCTCTGTCTCTCTGGAAAATAAGTCTTATTCGATTCGGATTGCTACTAAAATCTCTCCTACTTGGATTCTTCGTTTTGAGTGGGAAAGAAAAGCAATAAATATGCACTCAAAGACTCTCTGTCAATATTTGCTCACCCAATACCTACTTAAAGATCTGTACCTCATGATAATTTGGGAGCTCAACCTCTCGAATTTGTCAAGGCTCTCAACAATTATTATTCTTGATGATAAACTTCAGAGAGGCACAATTCGAAAAAGAAATGCAAGAACCCCCCCCTCCTCCCACACACACACACAAAAAAATCTTGTTGAACCTCACCTTCCCATCATTAATTATTACCTTTCTGATTCCTTCAAAATGATTCAGCTTTGAAATCGCTTGTAACTTCTGAGCAGCCTTGGATAAAGACTAGCAAATACCGTCAAAACAGATATGAAATAACTTTGTAGTTCATCATAACTTTTTAAGGGCATATTTGTTTAAAAAATAAGTTTTCCATACTTTCCGAACGGAACTTTGTACTTAATATCGTCAAAAAAAAAATATATTTATGATTGTTTGATTAAATGATTTCAGTGCTATATATTCCATGGAGGTGGTTGACTAAATCAAGGGCACATTAATATAAAAAAAAATATATATTCCCTACTTCTCGAAAGGAGCCTTGTTTTTGATGTCATGACGCCAATAAAACTATGAAAGATATTTTTGATTGTTTGATTAAATGATTCTAGCGCTATATCCACTGAGGCGGCTGACTTCAAGACATAAACATCTTTTTGAGATAGCAAAAGTTGAAAGGGATTTTTTACTTATCTATTATATTAATTTATCATTATCATTATCATTATTAGTAGTAAGTAGTAGTAGTATGATTATCATTATTATTATCATTATTATTATTAGTATCATCATTCTTTTTGGAGGGGGGGGGGGAGGGGTTGCTCTCATACACACTCTCATATCCACCCGTGTCTAATCTGAAACTAACCCTAATAGCGAATCGCAGCTTTTCTGAAATGGACTCTAATGGCGTATGTATATAATAGCACCTGAAAAGATACCCTTTTTTGGTTTTTGTGCGACCAGTGCTTAAAAAAGCCTTTTTAGGGAAAACGTCGACGACGCCGTATAGCTTAAGGAGGCACCCTTTTGACGACTTTTTTGGGTGTGGGTGCGTGAGACTGAGGATGGGGGGGGGGGGGGGTGTAGGGGCTTATCAGGCAATTTTAACAGCGGTGACCACCCCCCCCCAATGTTATGCTTCAAGAATCGGTAAAAAATATAAGTCCGAATCCAACTCGCAAATCCAATAATTTTGGTGGGGAGGGGGGGGGGGGGGCTAATATCAATGAGTCAAAATTGCAACAGCTTCCGCGCTTCGCGAAGGGGGGGGGGGGGGAGAGCCCCCACCCGCACCTGACTCACCCCTCGGCGCTCCATGCCTCGCTGAGTCCTGAGGCCGAGCTCCTCCCCCCTCCCCCGTCCTAAAAATCTTCGTAAACCTTTGCTGATTATACAAATATAATTGGCCCTCATATTAAAAATAAAAAGATTGCCCGTCATAATAAATAATAAGTTTATGGGCCTTTTCATGTCACGTATAGTTTATAGCATCGTAAATATCATCGCAGAGCTCTGTATATTAGAGCTAGATGAGTTTGTGTTGTTGATGTGATCACTCGCAATTCACTCGACATGGGGAAGTTACAGGTATTTGAAGTTCTACTGGCTGGCAACCAAGAAGTCTTTAAGCCAGGAGATGTTGTACAGGGAGTGGCAAGGATAGTTGTATCAGAAAAAAAGGGAGGTATTCGTGGTGAGTAAATTAAAGAAAACTAATGTATGATACATAACAAAAGAGTGGGTTAGACCCCCCCCCCCCCCCAAGTCGAATGTCATGCCAGACTTTGTTGTGGCATCAACATCAAGATTTTTGAAATTTTAGCATAATTTCAAAAGTGTTTGTTCAAATTCCACGAAACAAGTACCTAAGGGTTATCAAGTATCACAAATCATATGACACAAATTCCAGGTCACAAAGTAAAGGTCAAAGGTCATTTTAGGTCAGTAGACTTGGATTATGTTTTCATAAGTTAATATGATAATCAATAAATCAATTTTTGTTATTCTTCATATTTCATGAAAGTTATCAATCTTGGTACAAATAATAGTAAATAATTCTTTTGATGATTCTTAGCCAATATTCACTTCAAAATGCTGATTATATATATATTTTTGTTGTTGTTGTTTTGTTTGGGTGGGGGGGGGGGCATGCTAATGGGCCACATTGCCTATAAATAATGTCCCAACCTCAATTTTTCCTCATATCGAATTGCGTAATGCAGGTGAAACCGCCAAAATCGTTTCCATTGATAAAGGTTTCTACTGGGTATACTTAGTATTTTTACACCCATGTTCAAACCATTTGATCCTACTGGTTTCTAGTGGATTCTACTAGTCTTCAAAACCATTAGAATCTACTGGTTTGTAAAGGTTTTTAATGGTTTCTTCTGGTTTGACCTTACAGTTCCTCCTGAAACCAGTAGACTCTACACTGGTCTCTGAAAAACCAGTAGGAATCAAAATGATGTCTCAACTGGTTTCTAAAGCGTATCGGGTTTAGCTGTCGTCAGGCTGGCTGTCATGCTTTCGGAAATAAAATCATCCTTACTTTTTATATCCGAGAGTGCGGCGGCTGACACAATGCGCTTGCTTGCTTCGTTATTTCTATTTATATATGTATATGTATGTACAATGTAGTAATTTATCAATATCTGTAATGTTCATTTACCAGCTGAGCACCTTTCGTACAATAATTTGGGTAAACTCATAAATAAATATTCCCACTTGTACTCCTACATTTTAACCTCTGACATATTTACCTCGAACATTATTACCTCTGACATTGTTACCTCTAATATTTTTACATCTGACATTTTTACTTCTGACATTTTTACACCGAGCCGTATTTGATATAATTTGAAGATGGTAATGCTAGTATGCTACCTTATTTAATTACAATGTTTGAATGAACCTGAGGAGTACATTTGCGTGCCCGTTCGATTTTGTTGCTGTTTCCTTTTTGATAATAAACTAACATGTACAAGCATAAATTCTACTATAGATGATGATCTCTTTTACATTATTTTCTTCTTCTTACACTGTAGGCATTCAAATAAAATGCGTTGGTAAGTCCTACACACATTGGACAGAGTCTGAGGGGAGTGGAAACAGTAGTAGTAGTGTGAGCTACACTACCAATTACGAATACTTCAAACAGGAGATCACTCTGCAAGGTACAGGTGAGTGGTGGGCTATTATAAAGGCTTGTAGGAGTGTGCTCTCATAAGGAATTGGACACCTTGGGGGTGTTTATCCTATAACAGGTGTTTTAATCACCAGGTTTGGCCTTCAATTTTATAACCAACAAGCTTTATGTACATGTAATGCTTTTGCATGTTCTCACAGTTAAGCCATTACCTGACACGGCACCAATGTCATTTGGCAAGGCATTAATCTACATTTGTCACTCAATACCCAAGAGAGAAATGGGGACCAGGAAGGATGTCGAAAGCCTTCGTGTTGGTAATTGCCTATAGATAAATGGATTTTATTAGGATCTTCGTGTCTGGCAGTTAAAAACTGAAATGAAAATGAATTACAACAAAAATTTCCTAACATTCACATAAAAATATGTGACCAATAGGTCACTTCCACAATGCCCTCAAATGCAATCGAACGGAAATAGCAACAAGCTTTTACACTCGCCCGCCGAGAGACGCTGCACTCCAATAGCCAGAACGCGGACCGCATACATCTTCTGCCGCTAGACCGGGCAAGCTATAATGCTCGTCCAACCAAGCAACGACTTAAGCTATGGTCGCATCACCTAAAAGTAGCCTGCTCGGCGTTCGGGCGGCGAGTTTAGAGCCGAATTCGCCCAGGCATCGAGCGGTGGCCGCCCGGGCACCGCTTGATTTTATGGAGCTCTCACACTCTGCCGTGTAGGCCTACCGTCCACCTGCCGGGCTATTAAAAAAACAACAGAGTCCAGAACGTTGGGTTTTGAGCGAACTTGTCCCCGGCCGCAAAAAAAAAAATCATAAAATTAATCTTTTCACCGTTTCGTTGCCATCTTCTGACCGTTCTCACCGGGCGCATACCGGGTGTTGAACGTGCTTCTACCGTCTTCACCGCCCAGATTGACTTTTGTTGAAAATTTTGGCCGTTTCCATACCGGGCCCATACCGGGTCTCGATACGTGTGCACCGGATTTGTAGCAGCCACCTACCAGTCACTTAGCGTCCCCTCACCGCTCGGAGCGTCCTGTGAGCGAGTCCCCGGACTGCTGACGTCATGACACGACTGCCATAAATACCCCGATTTGAACGGCAACGGTCAGCCCGCTCTCCATTTTTCATCACCGTTCTGTAACGGGTTATGAGCGTGTTGTGAACGTGTTCATACAGTGTGACCGTTTTCATAACGTATTCATACCGTCCTCATACCGTTCAACACCGTCCTCTTGCCGCTTACTTGCGGCCGGTGCCAGCCGGCCAAAGTTTTGAACATGCCCAAAACTTACGCCGGGTCCCACCGGGTGTAAATAAGCGCCAACGCCCTATTAACGTGTTGCCCGCTTTGATAACGAACCACCGTGTGCCCTCGCCGTTCTCCACCGTCCGCAGACATTTTCGCGCACGGTGGCACACGGTAGGCCTACACGGCAGAGTGTGAGAGTCACTTTAGGCCATTGCTCGGTTGCTGCTGAATTTTAAGCGCGGAGTTAAAATTCGGGCGGCGCCTGCTCACTTTCACTTGCCGCCCAAAGTATGCTCGACGCCCGGGCACCGACCTAATCGAGCGTTCGCCGTCGAGCGATTTAGGTCAAAAATCGAAGCCGCTGGGTCAAAGGCTGCTGAACGTTCGCCGCCCGGTCGCCGCCCGTCACTGGGCCCGTCACTTCGACCTAGCGGCTTTGATTTTTGACCTAAATCGCTCGACGGCGAACGCTCGATTAGATCGGTGTCCGGGCGACGAACACCCGGGCACCGAGCGTATTTTGGCGCCCCGCCGATCATCGGCCGGTTGCCAGGCAATTTACTTTAAATTAGCCAGTGGCCGGTGAGAGACCGCTCGGGTATCGGTCGGTCATCGGTCGGTCACTGCCGGGACGCCGCCCGGAAGTGACTGGCGGCCGACGGGAAATCGACAGGGCATCGCCCAGGCATCGCTGGTGCTCTACAGCATGCTTCTACTTCTAAAAAAAAAAAACCGTTGGGCGATGTCTAAATTCCAGCGGCGACCGAGCAGGCTACTAATCGGTCGGTCGCTGCTCTGATTTGTGACCATAGTTTAATGCACGCAATGCGCACCCGACCACCAAAACACAGTAAGCCTCGACAGGCGAATGCTATCCTTCATCTTACGAATACTTCAAACAGGAGATAACTCATTTAGTAGGAATACTCGCCAGGGAGTGGATATGGTGCACATTGTGCGTGAATGAATCTGATGACCGGGAAAATAATATCTCTAAAGCTCTTAGAGACGGTATTCCGTATTAAGTGCTAAATAATAAATCAAGATTATTATTATAACCTTACTTTTCCCCCACGTACAAGGATCCTTCAAGAGACTAGGGATATTTCTTGATAGGCCATCGGGTTTGCTGTGTGCATACTTGTACACACATCAATGGTGTTTCCACTAAGTCTGATGTTAGCGAATTAAGGCCTTCTGAACATGGAAACTAACGAATAAGCATGTTGCCGAATCCTTGCGATGTGTACTGTTTAACAGCATTGAATGACATTTATCCATTTCATTCCTGGATGATTCTCTTGTAGAGTAGTTGAGTGGTTTTAGCACTTAATTTGAAATGAAAAGGTCGTGGTTTGATCCCTGACACAGCACTAATGTCATTTGGCAGGGCATAAATCTACATTTGCCACTCCATACCCAGGAGAAAATGGAAACCTGCTAGGATGACAAGGCCTTTGTGTTAGTAATTGTCATATCCCCCTCACAGTAGCCATATGGTAGGAATACCTCCTAGGGAGTGGAGATTGTGCACATTGTGCGTGAATTGATCCGATGATCGCGGTAATAATATCTGTAAAGTGCTTTGAGATGGTATTTGTATTAAGCGCTATATAAATCAGATTATTATATAATTATAATTAAGGATCAAAGGTCACAGGGGCATAAAAGTGTTACTGTGACATCGTTAAAATCATTGAAGCAATTCAAGCCAAATTGGGATGAAGTTTCTTTGAGGTCAAATGTAAAAGATCCTAGCAGGTTATGAAAGTGAAACAAAATTAAGTTTTAACTGTGATTATTCAACTAAATATTGAATTCTGTGGACCAAATTGGCATCAAATATGGGTTTCTGGACATTTGGGTTGGAAATTTGGGTTCTTGAAGTCTGATATTAAAGGTATGATATAATAGAACAATGAATATACATATAGGTAGAGGCATGCTAGAGATGCCGTTCTATTATTTTGGTGGGGGCGGGGGGGAATTGGTCCCTTTATTGAGAATTGATATTCAGGAATATTTTCGTTCTCCAGGAAAGGATAACGGGTCTACAGACCGAATCAAATTGACTGCCGGAGAGCATCGCTTTCCCTTTCAGTTCCAGATTCCAAATATGCCTCTGCCTCCACCGTTTGAAGCTTCTTACGGGTATGTAAGGTACTACGTCATGGTTACAATCGACCGACCGTGGAAATTTGACCATCACACTCAGAAGATATTCAGCATCTGCACTGTGAAGGATCTGAACTACGAGTTTAATGTATTGGTAAGCTTTTGATCCTCCTTGTTTGCTGGATGAGCAACAGCAATGGGTCAGCTGTTTAGCTTTGGAAATCTAAACAAATTTGCCAATGTTACCGGTAATGTGAAATGGGAATCTAATTTTCTTTGTCGTTAATTCGAAAGAGGCTTTGAAATAAATAAGCTAAAAATATTATCTCACTGATGAGAGAGAGTTCTCACTGATTTAATGATTTTTTATTTATTTATTTATTTATTTATTTTTATTTTTTTAATTATTTTTTTTATTTATTTATTTATTTATTTATTTATTTATTTATTTATTTATTTATTTATTTATTTTTTTTTTTGGGGGGGGGGGGGCAATAAGATTACATGTATGGGAAATTCCCAGTTCTTTAATGAAATAGTTTTTCTAAGTCAACAAATAATGGTTGCATATGAATCCCTCGCATTCGGCTCCAGTGAGACTTTGCCTTCTTCGTTAAGCCTCAACCGCCAAGTCCTAATGCAGAGGTAGGCTTTAGGAGATGAGCAAACATCATGTAAATGCGGCCAGGAACAGACTATGGAACTAGTCTGCCCACTCCTGCTAGAGCCATGCACCCAAGATGACCTGGAAGCCGTGAACTGCCGTGCCAGAGCCTGTGTGGAGCGCTGGACGGGACTTGTGAAGTGACCTTCTAGTCACCAGGTTTAGAAGACAATGTGTTGCCTCTGCTGTCCTTTAGGACCCCCCTTTTCTGAAGAGACTTAAAGACCAGATGAAAACATTTATTAAAAACTCTGTAAGTTCCTTGCCGTGCATCAGGACCATTCTTCTTAAGGGAATCGCAAACAAAACTTGCTATCAGCCAATGTCTCTTTATAGGCTCTTTCGAGGCTACACACACGTAATAGGGTGACATGTAGATCTCTGTTTGAATGCTTTTGATTAAAAGATTCCTCCTAGTCAACAAGTTAAGAGGACAGTATGCTGTCTTTGCTGTATTTCATGACTCATTGTTTTGAAGGGCAGTTTAGATAAGAGAGGCTATATGTCATGTGAATATTTATATCTTGTTTTGCTGTTTTCCTATATACTAAGGTTCCTTCTAGTTACCAAGTTGAGAAGACAGTATGCTGTCTTTGCTGCACTTCAAGACCAATTGTTATGAAAGGAATGATTGACAAGAGGGGGTATGTACCAGGAGAGTACATCTTTGTTTCATTGGATCTTCAAAACAACAGTTCTAGGAGGATTACTGACATTACTGCAAAACTGCAACAGGCAAGTCTAAGTACAAGATAATTTATAAACATACAGTGTAGAAGAATATTATGCATATACATGTAATATACAGGACCAATTGAAAGCCTTAATGACAGAGAGTAGGGGCAAAAAGATGGTGGAAGCCTTTGTGATGCACATCCTGAAAAGCTATCACAGTGACACAGCATCAGAGTTGTAGCAGACTTACATGAGCGAACAAAAGAGCTGTCCATTTACCAGAATCCATTGTTTTGATGAGTGCAAGAACAATAGAGTATGTATGTATCTCATGCAATGTGCAGGGGATTACAGACATACTGAATTGTTCTTTCTCTGGAGAAGAGCTAGTTTACATGCTCAAACTTCCGGAAAAGAGACCGGATCTCATTCTCAAGCTGCCATGGTACTTGATATATTTACATGATTGAAAACCAACGACTATGCTTCACTGTAAAGTGTACTGGCCTCAAAGACTTTCAATTGTTTCTGTACATCAGTAATGGCTTTAGCAAGAACTATCTACACAAGCTGTACCTTCCGAAATATCTGGATAGCGAAGGCAACATGGTGTTTGGACTCTTTCAACGTTACTGAGGTTGGATAATTGTAATATCAAATACAATTATCCGTTCTACCAAGAGGAGGATCTCAGGGGTTTGGCATAGATGTTTTGTCACGTCTTCTCCAACCTTTGATGTTATGCATGCATCACTTGACTGTGTCTTTTGATCTCTTGCAGAGTGCACATTTCACTGCCCAACGTGACGGAACTGGCGGAATTCACCACAGACAGTTGGTCAAGACTGTGGCTAAATTGAACCTTTCTGGCTGCGAAGCGATGGGGTCAGTGAACTACGACAGGTTGAAGATGTTGATCCCTCCTATCACTCCCTGCGCCTACGAGAACTGTCCAAACATTCAAGTAGAGTATTATGTTGAGGTAAGAATGTGAAGAGGTTGATAGTCCTTTGTGAATGTCATTCTGTGTCACTTGAACTTGAACAACATGTAGAACTTGAACTTAATGTTTATATTCGTTTTTACCTGGCTACTGGGATCGAGAGAGCATTATCATGTAAGCAATCCCAATAGCCGAAATATACATGTACATGTATATTTTATGTCCCGTACTATCTGAAGAAGTCTGTATTTAAAGGATAATCCAGCGCTTGTAACAAGTTAATTTGAGAGAAACAGAATGGCTAAAGTTTGAAGTAATCAGACCCAACAAAGAGAAAGTTGTGAATTTTTGAAATCTGAGATCACTACATCTAATATGCGAATCTCAAATTGCAATTTGGTCAGTGGATTGTGACGTAGTCGTGGATAACCATCTTATAGTGTACAAAATTATCATGAATTTCTGATTCTTCTCCCAAGTGCCTTCACCCTCTGGGCATTACTAAAAATATATTTGGAGAGTATAATAGTACAGGTACGTCGAAAAAGATCATCCAGTCATCATAATTAAAAACATAACATTTTAGAGGTGACGTCACGCTATGAAAGCTACAGGTTGTGCCGCTTAAAACTTGCTGATAAAATCCGTCGAAATCTCATCGATCCGTGATGTTTTACACCCGGAAATATCAGAATTAGCATGAGCAACCGTCGAAACAAAAAACCATCGGAAAGGGAGCCTTATTCTCTTCGTCAAAAACACGGAAAACGAGATTTAACATCTTCCCAACCTAGCAGCGGTGCCGCACAGAAACCAGCAACCCAAATCACAGAACAAAGCTCACGCCCTGTTTAGAACGACATTATGGCGTCGAATGGTAAGTCTGTTAGTCGCACTGAATTTCTTGAATCTATTAACAAAATTATAGAGAAACTTGATAGTGTTAATTTGAATGTAACATCAATGAGGAGTGAGATAGCAGAAATCCGTAAGACGCTAGCCGATGTGGAAACTGCGGCCACGGACACAGCAGCAAGGCTGACAACCATAGAAAATGTCACTTTGCCTAAAATGGAGGAAAAAAAGGAAAGAATCTGAAAGTGAGTTGAGAGAGATTATTCTTGCGATGGAGATTCATGACAGGAAGATGAATTTGTTAATGTACGGCGTCGCAAGAAGCAACGATGAATGTGTGGCTAATGTTGTTCGGAAGAGCTTTGAGGAGATTGGGTTTACACATGAGGAAGCTCAAAACGTCATAATTGTGAATACACATCGACTTCGTCGACGGCCGTTTCAGCACGTTCAAGGAGAGGAGCAAAGGATGCCTACACCTGATCCCATCATAGTTCGGTTTGCCATCACGCCTGTCTTGTCAGCATACCAGAAGTTGCGAAAACCGGATACAACGAGGAATCAAGGAGCACCCCGCCCTGCTCGCCCAGCTTTTAGAATAGTTACTGATCTACCTGCAAAGTTAAAGAAAGAGCGGTTCTTGTTAGAGAAATCATCGTATCAAATCAGACGAAATGATCATAAATACACCAGAATCCGGCTGGTGGGCACCAAGTTGCGACTAGAAAGTAGAGAAAAGGGAACAGCAATGGCATGGAGGCAAGTGGTTGATTAAAGTACAAAAATGCATCAAGCATATGTCAAACAGAATTCACTGAAGAAACGAAAACACCTTACATTTCGACATTGTAAGATTAATGAAACTGCCCTGAAATGAGGACTTACATGAGCCATAAGTAGGGACTTTTAGATTTGCACGTCGATAGCTTTGACTGCAACGTGTGACGTCATTTTAAGGCACTGCGCATGCGTTACGTCGTGTCAGTCTGCGATCGAGAATGCGTCAACCTTGATTTTCCTAAATCTAGTACATACATACATATTGATATTCATATAGCGCCTTTACATGCTCAAGGTACTAGTATGCCGCGTGCGCTTAAAATATACAGTTCCTCAGGTAGACAAAGGAACATCCCTTCCCTACTATTATGTAAAAATGTGTAGAACAGGTGCCACATGCATATTCACCTGTTCTACACATTTTTACATCATAGCAGTGAAGGAATGTTCTTTTGTTGAGGGTAGAATGAGGAGCTGTATATTTTGTCCTCTTTCTTTGTCCGTGATGTTCATAGTGTTACTTCTTGCATGCATGTATATCGTCGAGTGCAATCTAAAAGATTTCTAATTGTAGTCAACATGGGCAGTTAAGTACGTTGACACGCATGATCAGTCGGCGTTCGTCGTGTTCTCGTCCATTCAATCTAAAAGTCCCTATTATGTCAGGAGGCTAAGGACCGATTTTTTTTCCTTGTTTTTGCCTTCGGAGAAAATAAATCGGAATAAGTCTTCCTCAGAAAAGAAAATACACAGGTGTGAATGTTTGTTCTACATAATGTATGCCAGTTCGAAATACCTGGAGACGAGTACATAAGAAGTGAATCTTAATGATGTGTATACACTGAATCGGTTTTATGCGGTTTTTTGTTTGTTTCCTGTTATAAATATGAACGAGATTTCGAGTACCTATGACTTGTGAGGCGGTAACCTTCAATTGAATCTTATAGGACGACTCAGCATTTAATGTCAAGCACCCACGGCACTGGAGAAATGAATACTACCTTGTCCTTATTTGAGAATACTATACAAAATGACTGTCAAGAATTTGAATTCTCTGGATTTTCATTTTTTTCATCTTAAAAGTAAATACTGAATTGCTTGTTCGTCAGTGCTGAAAGAAATGACTTTATTCATTTAATTTATCGAATTGGTTCTTTCGTAAAAAAGCGATGTGTATCGATACAGCACTATTCTTTTTGTTAAGTGATAATATATAGATATTTCGGAAAGATATGAGATCATATAAATTGGTTTCTCTTTATGCTGTGAAGCACCAGTATTGCAAATCTAAATGTGAGTGTTTAAATTTGATATATCTTTGATTTTCTAATGTAATCAATATATCAGGGTAAAGTAAAACAATCAGCAACTTCTGTGACATAGATCAAGATCATAAAAGAGTACCCATCATTTGCTCGTGTTATATATATAATATACAACTTATGTGTTTAGTACTTATTGGTGTTGCTATTGGCTGGATGCCTAAAAACTGATGTTGAGTACTAGTGTATGTCTATTACATAATCTGCTAAAGATTTACATGTAATAAGAATAGATATAAGAGCATTTTTAATGATCTTTTTCCTTGTTATTAAGGATGCATATAAGAAAAATGACAAATCTTCTTGAACGAAGCTGAATGTTTTGTTCTCCTGTACCTCCGGAAAAAGGTACGAAAAGAAATTGGTTCTTATTAAAATAAAAAATTGCTGTCTCTTTCAAAGAGAAGACGTATTTAATCAATAGTTTTAATCATATGAAAGCAACGTGTTCTACACAGATTAATTCTTTTTTGAAGATGTCAGAATATTGATGTGAGACTTATGAAAGGCAAGAGATCATATAGTTTTCTTGTTCTTTAATTCTCAGAAGCAGTTCAACTGTATAATTTTAAATACGTTGATAATCATTATAAATCCGAATATGGAGGTTAATATTTTAATTATCTTTGTTTTTATATCTTGTTATCCAAAGCCAGGTTAAAGGAATATCATATAGCAATGTATATACATGTATGATACGAATTAAGACTATGATCAAGGGCTAGTCGTTTCCGCAAAAGTACTACGGTCAAGCTATCGATCTTTTTATTATATTTGACCTCTTCTGTGAAAGGGGAATTTGTATTTAGGTTACCCGTGTGAATCATAGGAGGTCGCACATTTGTAAATATGTAAAATAATTAAGTGTATACATTTCCAGGACATGACAAAAGTTATCATACAATAAGCAGGATTGTGTGTGATTTAAGCCGGTGTACCTTCTTTCAAGGGAGAAACGTTTGATACATTTCCCCTCTTAGTTGGATTGGTGGGGTTTCGGGGATCCACAGCAAATATGTGGTCACCTGTAGCTGTCTTAGTATTGCGTCTTGTCTCACTATCAGAGACATATGTGTTTTTGTTTTGTAGTTTCGTTTGTGCTAGACATCGCTGTAATTGTCATAGGTGTTGCAGTGTAAGCTGTTTCGGTGGACTAGTGCTTAGTGCTGTCAGTGTTATTTGTTTGATGTTACAAAAGAAAAACTCCACAGGATTTGATTTTCATAGTACCGAGGTAAAGCTAATATTCAATGGCTAGTTTCAATATAATTTCTTTGAACTGTCGAGGTTTGGGAAATAGCGAAAAAAAAATGATGTTTTAGAATTTGTTAAGTTAAAAAAGTTCCAAATATGTTGCTTGCAAGATACACATTTTGTAGCTGAGGAAGAAGCTTCTATAAAACGATTTTGGGCAGATAATTGTTTTTTCAGCCATAAAGCGTCAAATGCCAGAGGTGTTGCTATTTTGTTTGGGGAAGGGGTGCAATTTAATGTAAATAAGATTGAGCGATCAAAAGAAGGGAATTTTGTTGCGTTAGACCTACAGATATAAAGCTATGACATAACATTAATATCCTTGTATGGTCCTAATCACGATAGTGTTAGTTTTTATGCAGATATTGAAAGACTTGCTTTGGATTTTGATAATCCATTAATAATTTTATGCGGAGATTGGAACTTGGTTCAAGATTTTGATAAAGATACATTTAATTATATTCGCCTTAATAATCCTAATGCCAAGAAAAAAGTCGATCAAATGAAGAATGATTTAGATTTGATAGACCCATGGAGAGAATTACATGTCCTGGAAAAAACGTTTACATGGCGGCAACCTACTCCCTTTAAGGCGGCTAGATTGGATTATTTTTTGGTCTCCACTAAACTACTGTCACTCGTTAATAAAATAGAAATTTCACCTGGGTACAGATCCGATCATTCCATGGTCAAGCTATCTTTGAATATAAATCATTGTAGGGTAGGTCGAGGTTACTGGAAATTCAATAATTCGTTGTTAAGGGATGATAGTAAATATGTGGAAAAAATTAAAGATGTCATTCAACAAACGATTGAGACCTATTTTGTCCCATATAATAACAATGAAAATAGATTTCAGGTAGAAGGACAAGATACACAATATGAATTTACTGTAAATGATCAGTTATTTTTTGATACGTTGTTGACCATAATTAGAGGTGAAACAATTTTATACTCAGCCAGAAAGAAAAAAGATTGGTAAATTTAGAATATGATTTAGAGAAAGAAATTATAGCTTTGGAGAAGGCATTGATATAAAAAACGGACAAAAATAGATCTTCAGTCATATTAAATGAAAAGAAAGTTCAGTTAGAATCACTAAGAAAAGAAAAAAATGGAAGGAATAAAGATGAGGTCTAAAATTAAATGGATGGAATATGGCGAGAAACCATCAAAATATTTTTTGAATTTAGAAAAAAGAAATGCTGTGAATAAACGTATATGCAAATTGGTCACTACTGAAAACAAGGAGATAACATCGCATGATGATATTATATCAGAAGTTGTATTATTCTACTCTAAATTGTATAAAAATAATCCTGTTGTTGATGTAGACTTAAATACAATATTAAATGATCCAGATATAAGTAAATTAACCGCTTCAATGTCACAGAAGCTCGAAGGAGAACTCTCCATCGATGAAGTTCATCAAGCACTTATAAATATGAAAAATAATAAATAACCTGGTCTAGATGGATACACCGTCGAATTTTTCAAACATTTTTGGAAAGAATTACACATATTTTTAGTGTGATATTTGAACTCTGCATATTCATCCGGAATGTCCTATACACAGAAGTTAGGAGTCATAACTTTAATTCCCAAAGGAAAAAAAGATAGACATTATTTGAAAAATTGGAGACCCATATCTTTATTGAACGTGGTGTATAAATTAGGTTCCTCTTGTATAGCAAACAGATTAAAGAACGTACTTCCTTTTCTTATACATGAAAACCAGAAAGGCTTTATGTCAGGGCGCTTCATTAGAGAGAATATCCGTTTGTTATATGATTTATTATTGTATACTGATATCAATGACATTCCTGGTTTATTGCTGCTTATAGATTTTGAAAAAGCATTTGATTCTATTTCTCATGATTTTATTAGAAAAGTATTGCACTTTTGAAAGTTTGGTCCCTCTATTGTATAATGGGTTAATGTATTCTATGAAAATGCTCAATCCTGTGTATTAATCAAAGGACACCTGTCTCCAAGATTTTCAATAGAGCGAGGTTGTCGTCAAAGAGATCCCATGTCAGCTCTTATCTTTCTATTATGCGCCGAAATACTAGGTCTCATGTTTAGAAATTCCGATTCCATTGTTGGTTTGAGCTTACCTGGTAGACAACTTAAAATAATTCAATATGCAGATGATACTCTTTTAACATTGAACGGGTCAGTAATGGAATTAAACAGTGCATTAAACATTTTAGATAAATATAATGCAATGTCTGGTTTTAAAAGTTAATATACAGAAGACACATGCGATTTGGATTGGAGGATTTAAAAACAAGAAAGATGGTGTTCTTTTGAATAGAAATCTAAATTGGGTGTTTGATGATTATTTCAGATATTTAGGTATAGACTTTTGTACGGATTTGCCCAAATTGATAATTCACAATTATAATGAAAAATTTAAAGAAATAAAAAGTCAAATGACATCGTGGTTGAGACGATACTTAACTGTTCTTGAAAGAATCACTGTCGTCAAGTCATTGTTGGTATCCAAATTAAACTACCCTTTTTTGTCCCTCCCTAATCCTGGTAAAAATCTTTTGAAAGATATAAATGCTCACTTTTATAGATTTATATGGGGGGAGAAACCTGATAAAATAAGTAGAAATCAAATGTCACAAAGTTACTCAGACGGAGGGGTTAAAATGATAGATATATACACACATTGCCAATCATTAAAAATTTCCTGGATTAAGAGATTAGTAATTGGCTCAATAGATAGCAATATCCTCTGTCTTTTGTAATCTTTCTTGCCTGAACGGCAAGATTTAAAATTATATATGGGAAACAATTATTTTCGGGAACTGGCAGGTAAAACAAAGAACCTTTTTTTTGAAAGAAATGTTCATGGCTTATAGTACGCTCTTGTCCATGCATCATAATAACATTTCTTGCCAACCCTTATGGAATAATGATTACATTAAAATAGGCAATAGCTCAATATATAATAAAAAATTGTGTCAAAAGGGAGTTCGTTTTGTTAACGATATTTTAGACACAAATGGTGATTTTTTTCTCTCTGGAACACTTTTAAGAAAAGTATAATATTCAAATAATTTTTCTTTTTTAACGTGGATTATGCGATGCAATTAGACAAGGGTTTAATAATTGTACTATTTTTAACAAGGTGCCACAACCTCTTTTCCCAGATACAACGGCATTTATTATGAAACGTATTAAAGGATGTTCACATATCTATGCAATTTTATTAAAAAGAAGAAAAGGACTATGTAAAAGTTTTCTTAAATGGAAATGCATTTTCGACCTGAATGATAAGAGTTGGGAAACATATTGTTCTATTGGATTTAATTGTACCATTGATGTGGGCTTACGATGGTTTTAGTTTAAAGTCTTGCAACGCATATTATATATGAACGATCTATTGTTTAAAATGAATTTAGTCCCAAGAAAAGAATGTACATTTTGTAATGAACAGATTGAAACAGTTATACATCTGCTATGTGATTGTACGCATGTTAAAAATATTTGGGGTAGGTTTTTTCATTTTTTCATTACAAGATAAATTATTTGGTTTAAAAGGTTCAAATAATTATGCATTGAATTGTATTCTGATTGTGGTGCGACAGATGGTGTATACTTGCAAAATAAAGAAACAATTGCCCGTCTTTGATAATATTAGAGTTTCGATTATAAATTACTTCAAAAACGAAAAGTATATTGCAAATTCGAATTGTAGAAATAATAAATTCACATGAAAATGGTTTCAATTCAAGAATTTGTTTACTTAAAATGATATTTTTTCTGTATTTGTTTTTCTTTCCATGAGTGTTAGAAATGAATTATTGATTTGTTAGTTTTCTGTTAACTCAACAGCTCAACAATACTTGTATCTTGAAAAGCCAATTTTATTTCATTTATGTTATTATGTAAATTACCTTGAATATATATTTTTGTATGTGTTTCAAATGAAAATCAATAAAATCTCTGAGGAGGGAAAAATATGAAGAAAAAAAACAAACATTTAAGTCACTTTGTGTGTTGGAACAATTAAAATTAAAAGTTAATTTTTTTTAATTTCTTAAGTTTCTAATGTTTTGTCATTTATAGTCTGCTTCTCTGAATTTTCCTCCATCTTTTAGAGTTATTTGGTGTTAGGGTTGGGTTTCCCTTAAAAACAGAAGAAGTTTATAAAGGGCACTAGCTCTCATCCTTTGTGCATTATCTAGGTCTTTCCAATGACAGATGAAAGCTATATATCACCTGAAAAATTCCTGTGTAGTCACTGTAATACCCCCAATCTCCTAGATAATACTAGAGTCAAACTGGCAAACGAGAGAGAAAAAGGAAGATCAAATTACAGTTACCAGTCTAGAGCAAATAAATGCTGAACTAGATGCTCGGCGACTGTTTTATATTGACATATGATGTACACAGACAGGAAGGTGGTGCATAAGGGAAGTATGAAGGTGCTTGACAAGGTTTGTTCTTGGTATTAATGCAGGTACCATTCGAGCATGATCCCATCTAAGATCACCAATACAAAAGAGAACAGAGACATCAATGGAAATTTCTTCTTCTTATATTCTCGAAAATCAGATTAAGGGAGATGTTTCTGGAACACGTATAGGTGCTCTTGTGAATCTTCCAGTTGTGATTGGCACAATTCCAGCCTTCCAGCACACCCTAAATGATCCTTCTCAAAACCCTTATGCAGTGCAACCCATCCCAGGCCAGCCTGGGGCACCCCCGGGAGGGCAGTCAGGATTCCCTCCAGGGGGGCAACAGGTATACCCTCCAAAGGGGCAACAGGGCTATCCACAATCAGGACAACCTGGAGCGCCCCCACCAGGACAAGGGTATCTCCTACCTGGGGCACCCCCACCAGGACAACCTGGAGAGCCTCCACCGGGACAAGGGTATCCCCCACCTTGCCAGCCTAGGGCACTCTCACCAAGGCAACAGGGATACCCTCCACAGGGGCAACAGGTCTATCAACCTGGAGCGCCCCCACCGGGACAAGAGTATTTCCCACCTGGCCAACATGGGGCACCCCCACCAAGGAAACAGGGATACTCTCCACCCGGACATCCAGGATTGCCCCCACCAGGGGCTGGGCCATCTGGATACTCCCCACTAGGAGGAGTATCTGCTGAAGAGGGTAAGAATTGGTATACAAATAATAATCTTGAAAAAATACAACGTAGAGTATGTAAGATTATTTTAGGGCCTAGTTACATTACCTATGCTAATGCATGTCAAGTATGCAATTTACTAACTCTTGAGGAGAGGAGACTAGCACTTTGTAGAAAATTCGCAAAATCCCTTTCAAATCACTCTATTTGTCAGACCTGGTTACCTAGGAAAAAAAACACTAATATCACTCTTCGCCGTATTCCCATTTATCAACAATTTCAATTCAAAACGAAAAGATTTAAAAATAGTCCACTGTCATTTTTAGTTGACATACTCAATAAAAGTTGGGAAAAATTGTTTTATTTTGTACTTTTATCGTTATTGCAGGTATACTAAGTGCTTGTATCCTCCCCAAAGCAGGCTGTTTAAAATGTACCTATTTTAATCTTTTTACCATGCTTGTATTGACTTTTATAGGACATTTGTAAACAATTACACATGTATTTCTGGAAACTTGCGCAATGTGTTTATGGATTTTAGTTACAGAATCTAAGTCTTATTTTTGATATTGCTAGTTTTTTTACACGTATATATTTAAAAGTGTTATTTATTGTGCCGAACATGTTAACATGAATATTCCAGCCAAGGCTGTCCTTCATGTACAATTGTATTTGTATGAACCATGTTTCTGCTATAATTAAAACCATTTTTGAATTGAATTAAAATGAATAAAAGACGCTGAAACGATACCTTGTGTGTCTCTCTTTCTCTTCAAATATAATACATTATTATACATTAGGATACATTAATGAAACATTTATGATTCATTTAAGGCATCCTAAACATCATGTTGTATCCCTTGAAAATATATTTGGAAAGTAACTTTTACATTTTGAACAATTATGTATTGTCAGATCAGTTGATTATTATTATACATTATGATACATTATTGAAACCTTTATGATTCATTTAAGGCATCCTAAACATCATGTTGTATCCCTTGAAAATATATTTGGAAAGTAATTTTTACATTTTGAACAATTATGTTTTGTCAGATCAGTTGATTTCATGATGGTTCGAATCAATTTGGGAGTCATTGTGTCAGAAATATGGACAATTTTTAGTTAAATTCAAACATAAGTTGAAGCAAGTCCCATTGCAATGTTTAAACGTGAACGTAATTATTTTACTTCTAGTTTAAACTTGTATGCGAAATTTACTTGAAAGGTTCAAGACTTATTAACAATTAAATTTCAACCAATTAAATGCACACTTAATTTAGATCATGTTAGACTCTGACTTTCAAAGTATAAATGATAGTAATTTATGTAATTTTTCTTTCAACTTTGCGAACATTGAATAGCTGCAGGTTTGCCCCCACCTCCAATGTGTAGAGCCGCTGTTGGTGGGCCACAGGAGGTTTCAGGCGAGAAAGGTACTTTTGGCAAAATCTTCTATGCACCGCAGTACCCTTACTACGATCCAGACACGCTGTATGCCTCAATGGGCATTCCCCTGGGAGCGACCGCTTCATCAGCAGATGGTGGGCCACCACCCCCAACAGTTATGCAGCCAATGAGCATTCAGCAACTGCCCCGGCCATCAGACCCAATCAGCCAATCAGCATTCAGCAACCACCCCAACAGACCTAATCAGCCAATCAGCATTCAGCAACCACCCCAGCAGACCTAATCAGCCAATCCCCATTCAGCAACCGCCCAACCAGACACAATGATATCAAACAGCTTGTGTGCATTTAGCAACTATCCTACAAGTCTTTAGTAGACACCGGGCATTTAGTAACGGCTGTATAGTACTAATCAACTCTTGAGCGTTCAGAAACCACCCTGCCATACATAACAGGCCATTTGGTCATTCAGCATTCAACCCTGCAAGTATTTAAAGGTAAAGACCAGTTCTGGTCATGCGATTGCATTGTGAAAAAACGTTGTGGAAACGATCAGAAAAGGTTGATCATCTAGCATATAAGTATTGGTGTGTACTGCAAGGTTCTGGAATCATCAGCATGATAAGAAATTTGGCCCAGTCTTGGTAAAGTTACAAGCACTGTACACAGAAAGATGCATATGGGACTAAGCGTCACGTGCGCGATATCTATCCGGTCCGGATAGATATAATAATTTACCAAATATATCAATTAGTAGGCGGTTTCCCGGCAAAATTTTTATCATCACGTATTAGTCAAAACATATTCTTTCACATGATTAGTAATAAGAGCTTCCATTTCATTTTTTGAGAGGGGGCGTTTCCAAAACTGGTCTATACCTTTAATAGGCAAAGAGCCTATTAAGTAACAGTCCTACAATGCCATTCAGTCGATGAGAATTCAGCAATCCACCCTGAACTTCGTACCAACCATCGGAAAGTCTGCAACAGCCCTACAAGTCTTTAGTCCCTGAGCATTTAGCATGGTCCTACAACTCCTGACCACGCAATGAGCGTTCAGAAAAGAACAGAAAATAAAGCTGAACTTTTAGGATACGTTGTGTACATGTACATGTTTTCGTGTAGTAAGAATTGTTATATTAAACATGTTATGCTGAACTACAGTTTGAAAGAGAGATTCTGTTGCTGTCAGCTAGGTATGGTGACTATACACTCATTTAGTTTAATTTCGTCAAATGATGACAATGTGAGCCTTAAATAATTTAATAGTTGTTATAATATATCAGGGTTAACCAATGATACTTAAGAAGCCATCGTTCAATAATTATTCACCAATTTTGATAGATATGACACGAAGAGCTTTCAGATTTTGTTTTATGTCTTATGGTCATGGGAAAACGATTGGGAAAATTCAAAAATGGTTGGGAGAATTTACTGTAAGAGGGTGTTGCACAGTGACACCTTCAAAGAAAACCATAAATATCTTGGACGTGGTTTGAGAATTTTTTCAGGATTTTGTGCATGTTAGAGGGTTAGTACAGTAGAAGGAATATAATGAGAAACATTTCATCAACCTTCAACAATGTTTGTCACTATAATAGCCCTTGTGATATTTCAGGATTAACCAATGTTACTTAAGAAGCCGTCCATCCAATTATTCACCAATTTTGGTTGATATGACACGAAGAGCTTTCAGATTTTGTACATGTACATTACAAATCTCAGTATGTCATGTTGAGATATACGTGTGATTGAAAATTTGTAAAATTAGAAAGCTTTTGCCAGCTTTGTGAGTGGTTCGAATTTTTCAAATGTTCGATTTTTTTCTTTTAATTCTGCAAATTTTCTTGCTGAAAAAGATGGTCGTTATTGGCATCGTGTGAAAGATGTTGGTTTCCATCATTATTATTGATGTAAAACAGTAGAATTGTGTTTGACATTTTAGGTTTACGAACCCTCGGATTTGATGTATACACTATACACTTTATAAAAAAGCTATTGTTATAAATAATACCTTGTTATAATCATTGGTGAGTTCGATGCATCTGATTGGTATATTCGATGTGCTACATTCATGTATTTAAATAGTATAGTTTGCCTACATCTATTTTATCTCTAGGTCTCTATTTGATAGTTGTAAGTAAGTGGCTATCATTTTGTTTAGTGAATTTATATAAGTTGTTGCCGTCTTGTTTTAAAGATGAAGTTGAGTTCTGGTCATGCGATTGCATTGTTAAAGAAACGGTGTGGAATCGACCAGAAAAGATTGATCATCTAGCATATAAGAATTTGTGTGTGTTGCAAGGTTCTGGAATCATCAAAATGATAAGAAATTTGGCCAAGTCTTGGTAAAGTTACAAACACTGTACACAGAAAGATGTATATGGGACTACACGAACACGTGGCGTAAAAATCCTACCCTGGATTGTTACGATGTTACATGACATATTTAGAATATGAAGGCATTTGAAGAGCCATGCTTTTCAGGGAACATGTCTTATCTGATGTTCTTCCACACTCGCATAATAAGAATGATAACGCTCACAAATTATTTTTTCACCTTTTCCTAGAACTCAACCTTCTCTTTTAAGTTTGGAAAAGGTGTATCCATGAAGGATTATATCATAATTAGTATATATATGCAGGATGTAGTTTTATATTGTATAAAATATATCGATATTCAGTTTTAAGGAGATTGTATTTTTTTTTTTTTTTTTTTTTTGGGGGGGGGGGGGGGATGATATTAATGTAAGTGTTAAATATGCTGATTATGTTGAAAAAGAGTATGTACTGTATGTACCTTGCAATGCAATCAGCATTAGTCTGTGTGTTATGTACTTGTACTTGTTTCGATATGTAGGGATTCATATGATTTAATTTCCATTTTCTCTTCAGAATTATAAGAAGTGATTTAGCAATGTAAATAAGCGATGCGATACTTAAAGCCCCTCTGCACTAGTTTGGCATGGAGGGATTAGACCTCCCTGTAAGGTCGTTGGCAGGTGGTTATCTCATCAAATAAGCTCTCAATTAAACTAAGAAAAAGTGCCGCATCATGGGGGATCAACGGGTACCGCTTAGGCAGTGTTGGCTGTGTAGAGGGCTCAAGTAGCTATAGGTAGTGCAGTGGGCATTAAAGTTAATACGAAGGTGTGGTATGGGGTCATGAATTTGGTTCAAATGAACATATTGGAAGCGGCCTATGCGATTTTACAATATCCCTCTCAAGACTGATATTACTTAAACTGTTTCTTGACTGCAATCGATCGATTTACTATTCCCGTTTGGAAATTATACATCATAACTGCATATTCTGAGACTGTCATGGTCGCACCTAGCATGGAACGGTCTTAGGGGCTATTTGAAATATTTGAAATTAACCAAGGAGCAACGGTAAATTTTTGATTATACAATTTCTCGAAAGCAGAAGTGTTTTAGGGGCTACATTTTCTAGTGCTTATAATACATCCACAGGGACATCCAAATAGGCCTATATCAAAATTTTAAAGAATTCCTATCCATCCAATTTTCAAAATTTCCCAAAACTTTGCATTACCTTTAGAGGGACCAATCATCGTTAACAGGAATTGTAATCATTTTAAAAATAATGCTAATAATCAGTATATTGCTAGTATGTATAAAGTGATCAATTAATAATCAACAGTACACCCCCAAAAACTAACAACTACAAAATACCCAGCTATCTGCAGGTAAAAGGTTAAAGAGCATGAAGGGAGTGACGGAGAACTTTACATTCTGCATGCGGGGATTGCATTTAGGTGTGTGTTCAGCAATCTTCTCATAATGTGCTTTCCACTTTAATGAGAGTATTGAAAATTTGAATTTCTTGTTAAATAAGTAGTGATTGATGCTGGTATGAATTATAATAGTTTGCTTGCTTAGAATAACAAAAAGTGATTGGTTTTAATATTTGTATATGTTGATGATTGGTCTCCGTAAAAGTAAAATGATAATGGTCTGCTCACGTGATTTCTTTGTGGATTTTCCATTCCTGTCTTTTGTTTAGCAGATGTTTCTGCATTTATTGATAAATCAAATATAAAGCATTCAAATAACAATAATAGTATATAATATAATTGATTTACATCAAGAGTGACAACTTAATACACACAAAATAAAATATTAAAAAAATGCATAATTGAAAGCTTGAAAGTATGGAGGTAAGTAAAAATAATCAAGATAAATGCAGAGGCCAACTATCATAAGCAAGGAAGCTTGAGTCGATAGCAGCCGGGAAGGGGGGTGGGGGGGGGGGGTACATGGCGCTGTTTTAGGAGAATGTAGGGGAATAGAGAGTCACATATAAAGATTTTGTTCAGAAAGTATCTGAATAAAAAGTGGAAAGAAATTAATAAAAGAAAAAAAAAGAAGAAAAATGTGCAAGTGTGTGCAAGTGGGTGTGTGCAGGTGAAGTCTTCCAAAGAAGTTGCCATAAAAAAATTGTGACACACTTGGATGTTACAAAATGAAAGAAGCTGAAGCGTGTCGTGCATTTGTTTTTGTTTAAGAAAAAACATATTTTGAAGCAAATGTGTGATCAAATATATTACCATATCTAACATTATTTGGAGGGTGGGCAGAAAAAAATACCTGCGAACCCAGCGTTCGGATGACGCTAATAATGTCAATAGCGTATAAGTACTGTATTGATCAATACTGAATTGTATTTGTCTTTACACGTTGAAGTATTTTTCTTTCATGACTATTGCCAAAGGACATTAGTGTCTTTTTTTTAGTCAGGGAAAATTTTCTTCAATCAGTAAAAATCAGTAATCCGGGAATTTCATCTCAATCTCAAGTGGAAGTAGTACAATAGTGTCAAAATTACTGTACTGTAAATTGTGCCGTTGTGCTTTTAGCTATACTGTTGAAAAGGTTTCAAACTGGGAATAAATCGAAATAATGTTTAATTGGAAATGGTAAGGGCCTACCTGGAAGAAAACAGATGATTTTATTCTCATGAAGTGCTGGGAACCGTATTGATCAATATTTCCATTTGTTAACTTTCAATTAGAGTTACAGCAATCGCTGAAATTAGTAGATGTTATGAATAGAAATGGCTGCATTTTGCTTGAAAATGTATTGTACATGTACATTATTTATGTATCAGTATATTGCGTAAATTAGTAAAGAATTTGTTATCTCTGCAAAATGTCGAGAAACGATGGATTTGTTTTGTATTTATTGTTTTTGGATACAATGTTAATGTGTCTTCAATGTCTCTACGTTTTGGTACAAAAGAACAGCTATTATTTTGCAGCAACTTTATGTACTTTATTTGGTTGATTGGGCCTTTATAAATAAAGCGATTCTTCTGTACTAGTACTGATCACTATATGATTTGTTATGATAACGAAATAAAGATTAATTCAAGCGGAGGAGGATGTCGTCATTAATTTGTTTTCTCATCCAGAACTTGTTCATCTTGGATACGTGTGCCTGTATGTGTGGTCGATGGAATTCATCCTGTAAAAGGGGTTGCCCTCCTTTTAATCGTAAGTGGCGCTATGGCAATCTCTTCCATGTACAGAGTTTGACCAACTTGGTTGGAGCAGGGAGATGTTATCTCCATGGCTTGAGCAGGGAGTCTCGATCACCTCCCTGGCAGAGGCGATGGAGCGACTTCCAAAGTGGGGACCAACAAAAAAGGCCACTTGCTGGAAAAAGGGCACTTTGAAAAGGAAATCCCAAAGCGAAATATAATTTTTTTTTTAGACATTGGTATATACCTCATATTGTGATTACATTATCAGGGATGATTTCCGCAATATTTGTTTCTCTGTATGCATCATATAAGAAATTGCTTAAGCATCATACTTTGCAGTCGGTGTGATGGTCTAAAATTCATTTGCGAGCGAGCAAAGCGAGCGAGGATAAATTTTAAGATTTGTGAGGTCGCAGTGCGAAATGTTACATCTTGTAAAGAGGATAAACCCAATCCTGATGGGCTATGAGCAGTTGAGCACATTCTCATAACGGAAGACTGAAAAGACCTTTGATAAGTTACATAATTATAACATCTTTATATAGAGCGGGCGTAGCGAGCGAGGTTTGGGGGAAATTGCTCTTAGTCGCTTGAATTTAGGGGCTCGTTTAATGACGAGAGGAAAAGGGGACACTTATCGAAAGGGTTAAGACACTTATTAGAAAAGGAAAGGAGCACGTGTCAAAGTACAAAGGCTAATTACCAGAGGTGAAAATGGGGGACTTCATATACCTAAAAAAAAGGCATGCACCAGGGATGAAGAGAAAATGGGCAATTGCCGACGGAAAAGAGGCACCCATCAGATTTTGATAAGGGCATTTATAAGAAGTGAAAAGGGGTATTTATGAAAAAGGGATAGGTTCCTTATTAGAAAGGGGAAAGGGGTACAAACCATTGTTGAAAAGGTAATTATCAGAGGTGAAAAGGGGCACTTATCGCATCTGAAAAAGGGCACTGACCATATATGAAAAGAGGCACTTATTAAAATGACAAAGGGGTACTGATGATAAAGGGAAATGTGCATTTGTTGAAAGAAAAGGGGCACCGATCAGTTTTTTTTAGGGGCATTTACCGGAGTGAAAGGGCATATGGAAACGTTGTATCATCCGCTCAATCTGACTTGCGTGCATAGAACAAATAAGCATTTTTCCATGGAAAAGTGAAGTTTTCCCAAATGTGCTTTTCTTTCCAGCATTGGGGCGCCCGGAAGTCACTCGGGTAACATTTCATAAAGTATAATATAAAAAGACCATATGCAAATTTTCTGTACTTTTGTCGGAAAAAATACATTTATCCAGCACAATGTCGTCTCTTTTTGCGTTGGAGAAGAGCAAATAGCGAGTTTCAATCACACTTTGGCCGCTCTCGCAAGCTCTCACTCGTTCACTGTGGTCAAGAGACTTTGGGGCAAGCGGTTAATGAAAATAATAATCGTTAGCTTTCTTCTGGTATCAAACTTGTTTTGATTGATTGTATAATTTTATCGGAATAAAGGAAACAAAAAGGCTCGACCAATAACTTATCAGCGTCTGAATTGACCTTTTAACCTTGAATTCCCTGATGCAAGCGCACTAATGACGTCATCTTCGCTAAATTGGTGTCTTTTATTGTAAAATGCGACACTTTCACAATGTTTATACATCTTTTTTTAATTATTTGTAAGATATAACATATTTTTTCTGATACCACTGAAGTTGTGGTTTTTATTTAATGAGTAATTTTAAAATAAGAGCCATTAAACTGTTATAATTTACTGGATCGTAACATTAATGTCACAGGGTAGAAAGATGCATTTTCCAACCGCGCCGAATTTAATTTACGTTCCGACATTTTGTTAAATGGGTTTGTGTTGTTAAGAATCTACTGCTTTCTGCTCCAACAAACGTCCACATGCGGAGTCATTTATCAACTAAATTATTCAAATTTATGGATGCTTCCTAGCTTCCCAGGTGTTTGTGTTGCTGTTGAAGCATTTCATTCACCTGCTATCATTCTTTGTACTCCAATTGCCAGAACGCAAATTTCATTTTGGTTTTATAGTTTCATGCAATAAGTAAGTCAATAAGAAAGTATGTTCTGCACAATAAAAACAATGTGTGTCCCTATTGTACAATGTAATGTGTCCCCTCATTTTGTAATAGTTAATTTACCTATTCACATAATGGAACTACATGCCCGATGAAGCCAGTGGCCTGTGACCCCTTAGCACTCAACACCGTGTGGGAGTCAGTTCGTGGTAAAATTCTTTTATGAGACAATGAGAAGGGGGAAGTGGCTCTTATTAAAAATGAAAAAAAAGGCACACGTTAATATAAACGGGGCACATTTCAAAGATGAAAAGGGGTAATTATGGGAAGGGGAAGGGTCACTTATACGAAGGAAAAAGAGCATTTATTAGGAAGGAAAAGGGGGACGTGTCAAAATAAAAGGGGCATTTATAAGAGATGAAAAGAGCACTTATCAGGAGGGGAAGGGGGACTTGTCAGAGTAAAGCGAGTATCTCTCAGAATTGAATAGAGTCATTTTAATAATAATAATAATAATAATATTTAGTTTTTATATATCGCTTATCACAAATTTCTCTAAGCGCTTTACAATATACTATTACCCAATTGAAAGGGGCACTTATGAGAATGAAAAGGAACTATTTTCATAGATGAAAAGACCAGGGGCATTTATGAGAAGGGAAACAACATGGGGTATATACAATTGTATTACGATCAGGCGCGTACGCAGGGGGGGGGGGGGGGGGGGGGAGTATGTATACGAGTGGCTGGTTTGCAATAAGCTGTCTTTGAATATTTCTAAGACTAAATTTGTTATTTTCAAAAATGCTAGGAACCTAAATCCTGTATATAACAATGTATCTATTTGTATCAACAATAGATTAATTGAACAGTGTAGAGTTTTTAATTACCTTGGAGCAGGCGCGTAGGCAGGGGGGGGGGGGGGGGTTAAACCCCCTTTCGTTTTTTAAATGTGTGTTTTTTGAGCAACCCCCCCTTCATGCCAATGGCTGACCAAAAAGAGTGACCTTAACCCCCCCCCCCCCCCCACCTACGGAGCAAAATGTCAAATTTTCAAATTTCGAGACCCAATCTGCACGCTGGGCTTAAAAGGGATGGAGGGGGGGGGGGGGGGGGGGCTCGAGGATCCCGATTCACGCCGTTTCGTGGGCCCTGATATGTAGGCATCTCAAGAAGCATTTTCTTGAATGGCTGTAAATTTAGGAATTTGTCATTTTCCCACAAACGCATAATTTTTTTTTTAATTTAAAAGTGAGGAAAAATTTCGGAAAATTATGTCATTTCAGCATTATTTGTAAACCATCGTTATGGAATTAGAAATAAACCACGTTTGAATTTTATTTCCCCAAAGCCCCCCCCCCCCCGATCTACACCTTGTTGGCGGGAAAATTGCAACTGATATCCCTTGCCTTTCTTCATTCTCTTTTTTTTCCTTTCCCATTCTTTCCTCTTTCCCATGCCCTTCCCTTCCTTCTCTCTCTGTTAGGTTTGCTGGGGGGGGGGGGGGGAGTTATTTTGGCCCCCAACCCGCTCCACAGATTGTTGGCGGGATTAACCGCAACTGATCTCCCCTTCCTTCTTTTCTCCCTTTTCTTTTCTTCTTCCTCTTTTTTCCTTCCCTTTATCTCCTCTTTTCCTTTTTCTTTCCCTTTCCTTCCTTCTCTTTTATTTGTTGATGGGGGGGGGGGGGGGGAGGCAACTCCTTTTGCCCCCCGATCTCCTTCTTCCCTCATTTCTTTTCTTCTTCCTCTTCTTTTTTCCCTTTCTCTCCTCTTTCCCTTTCCCTTCCTTTCCTTCTCTCTCTCTCCCTTTTTCTTTTTTTGCGGGGGGGGGGGGGGGCAAGGCCCGGTCGCCCCCCTGGATCCGCGCCTGACCCCAAGCCCCCCCCCCCATTCTCCCACCAGAGAAAAACAAAACCTTGTTGAACCTCACCTTCCCTTCATTAACTTTTACCTTTCCGATTGCAGCTATATCAAAATAGACTTTGTCGTTTGCTATCGCCCTTTACCTTCTCAGCAGCTTGGGATAAAGACTAGCAAATACCGTCAAAACAAGAATGAAATAACTTTGTAGTTCATCATAACTTCTTAAGGACATGTTTGTTTAAAAAAAAAGTATTCCATACTTTCTGAACGGAACTTTGTTCTTCTTGATTGTTTGATTAAATGATTCCAGTGCTATATAATCCACAGAGGGGTTGACTTAATCAAGGACACATTATTAAAAAAAAGATATATATATTCCCTACTTTTCGAACGGAGCGTTGTTCATGACGTCATGACAACATAAAAACTATGAAAAATATCGTTTGATTAAATAGTTGTAGCGCTATATCCACTGAGGTGGCTGACTTGAAGATAGGCCTATAAGCAAACATTTATTTGGGATAGCAAAAGTTGAAAGAGATTTTTAATAATTTGTTACATTAATTTATTACTATTATCATGATTATCATTTTTTTTTTTTTTGGGGGGGGGGAAGGGTTATCTCATACACAAGTGATATACACCGTGTCCAATCTGAAATTGACCCTACTGGCGTATCACAGCTTTACTCAAATGGACCCTAATGACGTATCTCACCTTTTCTGAAATGACCTTAATACGGTAGTTATCGCACGTGAAAGGGTACCCCTTATTGGGTTTTTGTGCGAGCACTCTACTAGAGCTAGATGAGTTTGTGTTGTTAATGTGATCACTCGATATTCACTCGACATGGGGAAGTTACAGGTATTTGAAGTTCTTCTGGCTGGCAACCAAGAAGTCTATAAGCCAGGAGATGTTGTACAAGGAGAAGCAAGGATAGTTGTATCAGAAGATAAGGGAGATATTCGTGGTGAGTAAATTAAAGACTGATGTGTGGACTTGGAATATATTTAATATGATAATCAATGAATCAATTTGTGATATTTGGTAATATTTCATGAAAGTTTTCGTCTCGGTAACAATAATAGTAAATAATTCTTCTGAAGATTCTTAGTCAATATTCACTTCAAATTGCTGATTGCATTCAGAGGATTTCATTGGGGGGGGGGGGGGGGGGCTGCTAATGGGCCACCGGTCCTGCCTATAAATAATGTCCCACACTCAATTGTTTATCATATCGAATTGCGTAATGCAGGCGAGACCGACAGGAGCGTTTCCCTTGTTAACGGTTTCTACTGGTTTGACCATAGTGGCCCGAATTCACAAAGCAAGGTTTGAGCTCAAACCTTGGTCTGAGCTCAAACCTTGCTTTGTGAATTCGGGCCAGTAGGTCCAACAAACAATGTTTGAATGAACCCGAGGAGTACATTTGCGTGCTTGTTCGATTTTGTTGCTGTTTCCTTTTTGATAAAAAACTAACACGTACAAGCATAAATTCTACTATAGATGTCTTTTACATTTTGTCTTCTTCTTACACTGTAGGCATTCAAATAAAATGCGTTGGTAAGTCCTACACAAATTGGGCAGAGTCCGAGGGGAGTGGAAACAACTCACGTAATGTGAGATACACCACCACTTACGAATACTTCAGACAGGAGATCACTGTGCAAGGTGCAGGTGAGTGGTGGGCTATTATAAAGACTCTTAGGAGTGTGCTGTCATGAAGAACTTGACACCTTTGGATATTTATCCAATAATACCGTAGGTGTTTTAATCAACAGGATTAGCCTTCAGTTTTATAACCAACAAGCGTTATGTACATAGTAAAGCCATAATCCCCGACATGGCACCAATATCCTTTGGGAAGGCATTAATCTACATTTGCCACTCAATACCCAAGAGAGAAATTGGGACCAGGTAGGATGACAAAAGCATTTGTGTTAGTAATTGCCTATGCCCTTACGGTGACCATATGGTAGGTATACTCCCCAGGGAGTGGAGATGGTGCACATTGTGCGTGAATGAATCCGATGACCGGGGTAATAACATCTGTAAACCGCTTAGAGACGGTATTTTCTATTAAGTGCTATATAAATCAAGATTTTCATTATTACCTTTTTCCCCCAACGTGCAAGAATCCTCCAAGACTCTTCTTTAAGAAAATAGAGATATTTATATATTTTTTTAAATATTTTATTATGGTCCCGCTTTTGAGAATTGATATTCAGGATTTTTTTTTGTTCTCCAGGAGCGAATAACACTACTGCAGACCGAATCAAACTGACTGCCGGGGAGCATCGCTTTCCCTTCAAGTTCCAGATCCCAAATATTTCTCTGCCTCCGCCGTTTGAAGCTTCTTACGGGTATGTAAGGTACTACGTCAAGATAAACATTGATCGACCGTGGAAATTTGACCATCACACTCAGAGGCTATTCAGTATCTTCACTGTGAAGGATTTGAACTACGAGTTTAATGTACTGGTAAGCTTTTGGTCCTCTTTGTTTTCTGGATGAGAAACAGCAAGGGGTTAGCTGTTTAGCTGTGGAAATCGCAAAAAAATGAATTTGCCAATGTTACCGGTAATGTGAAATGGGAATCTAATTTTCTTTGTCGATAATCGGAAAGGGGCATTGAAAAAAAATCAGCTAAAAATATTATCTCACTGATGAGGAAGTTCTCACTGATTTAATGATTTTTTTTTTTTGGGGGGGGGGGGGTGAGATAACATGTATGGAAAATTCTCAGTTCTTTAATGAAATAGCTTTTCCAAGTCAACAAACAATGGTATGGAAAATTCCCAGTTCTTTAATGAAATAGCTTTTCTGAGTCAACAAACAGTGGTATGGACTATGGAAAATTCCCAGTTTCCTCTCTCTTTTCCTCTTCCTCTTCCTCAATCTTCCACTGGAATAACATTGTCTCTTAGAAAGAGAAGTAGGCTCAACTTTTTTCTTTGAAGTGCTGTTTTGCATTTCAACTCTTAATTTTGACTTTCTGTCTGCCATGCCACATAGTAAAATCTGAAGTTATGAATAATGGAATAAGAAAGGAAACAGGAACATTTTACTGAAATTGAATATGCATACATGAATTTCTTTTGGGGTTTTGGTTTAAAAAACCAAACTTTGAACACAAAGGTGTCAAATAAATGTCTCTTCCAATGAACTCACTGATCACCATTTTACTTTGAACTTATTTTCTCAATTATTTTAGAATGAATCTCTCAGTAATTCATACACATTTTGTTTCTAGAAATCTGTGTAGATTATACCAGTACCAATTCTCCTGCACTGTAATTGTATTTTATTTCCTTTTCTGTGTGTCCAGCTCTCTCTTTTAATGAATATTGACTTAGGTAAAGCCTAATAATTACCTGTACAAATATGTAACATACCTACGATACTTCCTGACTTTGTTTGTAATTGTATCAGTACCGGTACTTCCTCTGAATAGAATAAAGAGTACCGAACCTGTTTCCTCTTTACAATTTTGAGTTTCGTTCAGGATGTATGTAGTTTACATCCTGGTTTAGATTAAAAATATAAGTTAAAGGTAAAGACCAGTATTGGAAACGCCCCAATTTCAAAAAATGAAATGGAAGCTCTCATTACCAATCATGTGAAAGAATATGTTTTGAATAATACATGATGGTAAAAAATTTGCCGGGAAACCGCCTACTAATTCATATGTTTGGTAAATTTGTTTCTCTCATGGTCTGTGAGAGATATAGGGTAGTCCCATATACATCTTTCTGTGTATAGTGCTTGTAACATTACGAAGAATGGGCCAAATTTCTTATCATTTTGATGATTCCAGAACCTTGCAGATGCTAGATGCTAGATGATCAACCTTTTCTGATCGATTCCACAATGTTTCGTTCACAGTGCAATCGCATTACCATAACTGGTCTTTACCTTAAAACCTAAAAGGGTGTGTGTGTGTGTGTGGGGGGGGGGAGGAGAATCCTCTGTCACCCCCTCCCTCCCCCTTTATGACCAAAAGTCTTACATGCATCTTTTGATACAAATTTGTTTACGATTTCAATCTACGGGTATTGTGCAGCTTAACAAAAAGTTTTCTTTCATCCGAAAATTTACGAGATAGACTTACATCTACGAGAATATGAAACTTTATTGGCTTATTCATTAGAAAATTGCCCTTTCTACATTTATGTTCCAATGAAGTTTCAGAATTTTTGTTTATCCATGGGTGAGATCCCTCTTGACTGATAGAGCACAAACATACCCTGGCCTGTTCATCATATCATCATAAAATTTTATGCGCAAATCCATGAGAATACAACAGAAACAATAGAAGCCCAATGGAAGAATGTTCTGTCAGGTTTTGAAGATAAATTGCTCATTTGATTAGAATGTTGGTTAACAATAAAATTCTCTGGTAATTATTTACTTTTGATTTATCATTGTTAATTTGTATTTTTGCTGTAAATTATACAGTGCGTCCCAGTAAAAACGAGACCGATAATTATTGATGTTGTATCATAACTTAATCACAATTATAAATAATAAATGACAGATATTTGTAAAGCGTAGATCCTCTTCTTTCATTTGATGCAACTCATATGATGCATATTTCACGCATGAGTGGCTGAAATCAATTTGAAGAGAGGGAACCCAAAAGTCATTTGGCGGACGGTATCTGAATTTTCTTAGAGAAAATTACATTGAGTTTGTGCCCTTTCATATGACACCTCAATCAGGAAAAATGAGCAAGGAATAACAAAGTTCTGTTTGTTTAGAGTATTGCTTGCATTTCCATTGTTTCCATTGTATTAAACAAATTTGTTTTCACTGGCTGCCTGCCGTAGCAACAAGCATAATTGACAAAGACTAAACTCCGTTTCGTTGACAATCAGCCATGTATGAAGTTTTTCATCCATGGCTGATCGTTGGTTATTTCATCAGATCAGCTCTCAATTAACATGAGAAAAAGGGGACCATGGGGGACCAATGGTTGTCGATTAGGCACTGTTTGCTATATATAGGGGCGCAAGTAGCTATAAAGAAGTGCAGTGGGGCTTTAAGGGACAGTGGGGCCAACCAAATTTGCTACAGTTAATGCCTCTTTATAAGCTCTTTCGAGGCTACACACACATAATGGGGTGACATGTAGATCTCTGTTTGAATGCTTTTGATTGAAAGATTCCTCCTAGTCACCAAGTTAAGAAGACAGTATGTTGTCTTTGCTGCGCTCCAGGACTCATTGTTCTGAAGGGCAGTTTAGACAAGAGAGGCTATATGTCATGTGAATATTTATATCTCTGTTTTGATGTTTTGCTGTATACTTAGGTTCCTCAGCGTCACCAAGTCGAGAAGACAGTATGCTGTCTTTGCTGCGCTTCAGGACCCATTGTTCTAAAAGGAATGATTGACAAGAGTGGATATGCACCAGGAGAATACATATTTATTTCATTGGATCTTCATAACAACAGTTCTAGGAGGATCATTGACATCACTGCAAAACTGCAACAGGCAAGTCTAAGCACAAGATATACATGTACATAGAAGAATATTATGCATACAATATACAGGACCAACCGAAATTCTTTGTGACAGAGAGTGGGGCAAAAATATTGTGGAAGCCTTTGTGGTGCGCACCTAGCTGTAAAGCTTTCACAGTAAGCTGTCCATTTAACCAGAATTCATTGTTTTGATGAGTGCAAGAACAATGGAGTAGGTCTGTATTCCATGCAAAGTGCAGGGGATTACATACATACTATATTGTTCTTTCTCTGGAGAAGTGCTAGTCTACATGCTCAAACTTTTGGAAAAGTGCCCTGATCTCATCCTTAGACTGCCACGGTAGGCTACCTAGTACATTAACATGATTGAAAACCAACAACTTTGCTTCACGGTAAAGTGTACTGGATTCAAAGACTTTCAATTGTTAATGTACATCAGTAAGGGCTTTAGCAAGAACTATCTGTACAAGCTGTATCTTCCGAAATATCTAGATAGCCAAGGCATGCAAGAGGGTGTTTGGACTCTTTCAACGGTACTGAGGGTGGATAATTGTAATATCAAATACAATCCTTTCTTCCAAGAGGAGGGACCAGAGGGTTTGGCATAGATTGTTGTTTCATGTCTTCTCCAAACTTTGATGTAATGCATGTAGCACTTGACTGTGTCTTTCGATCTCTTGCAGAGAGGACATTTCACTGCCCAACGTGGCGGCACCGGCACAACTCACACCAGACAGGCAGTCAAGACAGTGGCTGAACTGAAGCTAGCTGGCTGCGAAGCCATGGGGTCGGTGAACTACGACAGGTTGCAGATGTTGATCCCTCCTATCCCTCCCTGCGCTTACGAAAACTGCCCAAACATTCAAGTAGAGTATTATGTTGAGGTAAGAATGTGAAGAGGGTGATAGTCCTTTGTGAATGAAATTCTGTGTCACTTGAACTTTAAAGGGAGTGGATCGCCAGTTTCCATGTGCAGAAGGCCATAATTCGCTGACACCAGACTTGGTGGAAAAACCATTAATGGGGGTACAAATTTGCCCACAGCAAACCCATAGTCCAGTCAAGAATTACCCCTAATCTCTCGGAGAGCTCGAGAGTCTTCGGGCAAATCAAAGCATTACATAAGGTCCGATGGTCATAAAACTCAAGGCTAACCCTGGTGAGAGCTGACTACTCAGTGACTTTAACAACATGTAGAACTTGTTTATATTCATTTCCCCGGCTACCAATATTGAGAGAGTATGACCTGTAGGTATACATTGTAAACAACCAAAGTAGCCTAAATGTACATATACATGTATATTTCATGTACCATAAAAATTGAAGAAGTTGTTATTTAAAGGCCAATCCAACCTTTGTAATAAGTTCATTTTGAATGAAACAGAATTTCGAAAATTTGAAATAAATCGGACCAATAATAAGGAAGTTATGAATGTTTGAAATACGAGACCACTACATTTAGGCAAAAGTAGAGGGGGTAAGAGGACACATTTTTAAATTTTTTTTGGTCTCGAAATTTGAAAATTTGACATTTTGCTCCGTTGGGGAGGGGGAAGGGGGGGGGGGGTAAGGTCAGCTTTTTTAGGTCAACCATGGATTTTTTTTTTTTTTTTTTTTTTTAATAATAAAAAAAAAAAAAATCCAAAAGGGGGGGCGGGTGGGGGGGGGGGGGGTTTACACACAACCCCCCCCCCCTGTGTACGCTCCTGACTGTGATACACCAATCACCTAATTGATACTGAGACTAAACAGACAATGGAGAGAAATGGAGATATAAAAAAGATCAGGTAATGTTAACCAGTCTGGAAAAAATAACTACATGCTCTGTCAGGTTGAGTTTTCTTATTGACATATCAAGGGGTCAGTGACACAAAGACGTAACTCCATTTTAGCCATTTTGAGAAAAAGAGGTTTATTTGTCACTGAGCACTTGGGCCTTAAGGAGTTAAGTCTTTGTATTACTAGCCATTGACTTCAATGGGGTGTTAGGTGGAGTTAAGTCTTTGCGTTTCCTGGAAAGCCCACATTTTTCTGAACATTTTGATATCACTTAATACTCATGTTGAAAAAATATGGAGTTACCCGGTACGTCTTTGTGACACTGAACCTTCAATATATTGTACATATAGATGGAGGTGTTGCAAAAGGGGAGTGTAAAGGTGCCTTGCAGGTTTGTTGTTTGTGGTAATACCGGCATCTTTGGGTATGATTTCATCTGAGGTCACACAAGCAGTAAAGAACAAAGACATCGATGCAAATTTTCTCATCATTGTATTTTATGAAATCAGATTGAGGGAGATGTTGCAGGAACACCTAAGGATGCTGAAGTGAAGCTTCCACTTGTGATTGGCACAATTCCAGCCTTCCAGCACACCATAAAGGATCCTTCTCAAAACCCTTATGTGGTGCAACCCATCGCAGGCCAACCTGGGGCACCCCCAGGAGGGCAGCCAGGATTCCCTCCACAGGGGCAACAGGGATACCCTCCACAAGGGCAACAGGGCTATCCCCCATCAGGACAATCTGGAGCGCCTCCACCAGGACAAGGGTATCCCCCACCTGGGGCACCCCCACCAGGACAAGGGTATCCCCCACCTGGGGCACCCCCACCGGGACAAGGGTATCCTCCACCAGGGGCACCCCAACCAGGGCAACAGGGCTATCCCCCACCAGGACAACCTGGAAAGCCCTCACCAGGACAAGGGTATCCCCTACCCGGGCTAGCTGGGCCACCCCCACCAGGGGCAGAGGGATACCCTCCACCTGGACAACCAGGAATGCCAGGAGGAGTGTCTGGTGAAGAGGGTAAGAATTGGTATAAAGATGCTAAACAGATGGTACCTTGTGTATCTTTCTTTCTCTTTGAATTGTATTACATTTTTGATACACTCATGAAATATTTATGATTAATTTGATGCATCTTAAACATCGTGTTGTATTCCTGTAAAATATATTTGAACAATTATGTAATGTAAGATCTTGGCCCTGTTGCACAAAACTTACCATTGAAACTTTGATTTTGATTAGCTGTTGAGCCCTGTTACCATTGTAGTTGCCATTGATGGCAAAGTTACCATCAATGGTAAGTTTTATGCAACGAGCCCAGTTGATTTCATGAAAATGTTAATCCATTTGGGAGTCATTGTGTCAGAAGTACGGAAAATCTTCAAACCCAATTCAAACAGAAGTTGAAACAAGTTTTATTGCAATTTCTGTATAACTTTGAAAGTGATTATCTTGCTTCTGGTTTAAAGTTTAATGCAAAATTTACTGGAGAGATTCAAGACGTTGGTCCACTTGATAACAATTGAATTCCAACCAATGTAATCCACACATAGTTAAAGATAGAGTAGAGTTCTGGTCATGCGATTGCATGTGTAAGGCATAAATCGACTTTTTTTTTTTTACAGTAATTTTAAATTGTTACATGCCATATTTAGAATATGAAAGCATTTGAAGAGCCATGCTTTTTGGGGCACATTTTTTATCTGATGTTCTTCCACGCTTGCATAATAGCAATGATAGCGCTCACAAATTATTTTCCACCTCTTCCCAGAACTCAACCTTCTCTTTAAGTTCATCTAAGACTTCGATTTCCAAAGTATAAATGATAGCAATGTGTGTAACTTTTCTTTCTTCTATGCTTCATTGTGTAACTGCAGGTTTGCCCCCATCTCCAACATATACAGCTGCTGTTGGAGGGCCACAGGAGGTTTCAGGCAAGAAAGGTACTTTTGGCAAAATCTTTTATGCACCGCAGTACCCCTACTACGATCCAGACACGCTGTATGCCTCCATTGGTATTCCAGTGGGAGCGACCGCTTCATCAGCAGGCGGAGGGCAACCACCCCCAACAGTTATGCAGCCAATGAGCATTCAGCAGCCACCCCAGCAGACCTAACCAGCCTGTGGGCATTCAGCAACCATTCAACAAGTCTTTATTAAACACCAGGCATTGAGTAATGGTCTTGTAGAAATACTCGCCCATTGGGCATTTAGTAAACACCCTGCCATTCCTAACTAGCCTTTTCGACATACTGCAACAAGCTTACAAATATTTTTAAGACAATGAACTTTCAGCAATAGTCCTACAATGCCAATCAGCCGATGAGAATTCAGCAACCACCCTGCAACTGCTAACTAGCCAATGGACATTCAGCAACTGCCGTACCACTCCTCACCAGCTAATAAACATTCACTGACAGCAACACCATTCCTAGCCGGTCAGTGAGCATTCAGCTAGTTCTGTAAAATACCAAACCAGCCCAGACCAGACCCCACACTCCATGTAATTCTGCAAAATTTTCCAGGAAGACCGACCCATCTTATCCAGAAATGAAGGGCAACCACCACCAACGATCATTAGCCAACAACCATTCAGCAATTGAATGACCAATCATCATGCATTCAACAACTACCCTGCAGCCCCTAACCACCCACCATGCATTTAGCAACTTTCCTGTAGCAACCGTCTTAAAGAACTCTAGACGATTCGTCATGCATTCAGTAACTGTCCTGCAACCTCCCCAAACTATCCGCTAGGCATTTGAGTTTATTTTCAACAAAAAAAGTTTATCTCTTTGTTGGGCTTTGGTTGACCAATGGAACAAATAAGGACGGCCTCAATTGACTTTTATCACACACACACACACACGCACACAGTGCTCCTGGATACCATACTCCAAACAATGTGGTTTTCATCCATGAAACAGAAAGAGTTTAGCATACATTGTAAAAGTAGGTGGCAAATAATCTACAAGTATATCTCTATTAAAGCGGGACAGCACTACTTGCGCCCTCTATATAGCAAACAATGCCTAAGCGGTACCCGTTGGTCCCCCATGATCCCGCTTTTCTTATGTTAAGTGAGAGCTGATTTGATGAGATAATCACCTGTCAGTGACCATGCAGGGAGGGCTAATCCCTCCTGGCCAAACTAGTGCAGACGGGCCTTAAACAGCAGATGATGATAGAATGTATTACTGAGATAATTTGAGGTGGAAACGATTATGACTTCTCTGGTGAGCCTTTCTTCCAATTATAGCCATGATGCATATAGCAGGTACTGTACTTGCTGCTAGAAATCAGGGTTTTCTTATGTTAAGTGAGAGCTGATTTGATGAGATAATCACCTGTCAGTGACCATGCAGGGAGGGCTAATCCCTCCTGGCCAAACTAGTGCAGACGGGCCTTAAACAGCAGATGATGATAGAATGTATTACTGAGATAATTTGAGGTGGAAACGATTATGACTTCTCTGGTGAGCCTATCTTCCAATTACAGCCATGATGCATATAGCAGGTACTAAAATTGCTGCTAGAAATCAGGGTTTACATGGGCATGTAATTTGTTTAGAGTTTCTTCAACTTTGATTCTTAACAGATAATAGTTTGCATTATTCGATTACATTAGCATTTTGATCAATGTACAAACAAAATATATAAAAAAAAGTTTGACATGCAAAAGGAACATGGTATTTGATATCTTGTTTCTAAAAAGATAATGATGTTACTTGTAGTAACACTATCAAGAAACTTGTTGATCATCAAAAGAGGCATGTATGTATAAAAGCTGAAAGAGGAATTCAGAGTATGACAAATGTAAGTGTATTTACATATACATGTATTTATATTATAGTACGAGGTCGAAAGACTGCAAGCTGAGTTGATGAAAAGAGGTTTTATGTACAATTCATTAAATATTTTAAAATTTGAACTATAATGCTGATTTCTTATTTAATGTTACATTTAGTATGTCATAAAGCTGAAATATAATGTTGAACTGAAAGAGCTGACTTTTAAGAGATAGAGTAAAAAAACCAAAATATGAAGCTGAACTTTTAGGATAAGTTTTATATGTACAATATGTACAATTATTCTTGTAGTAAGAATTGTTATATTTAAAATGTTATGCTGAACTACAGTTTAAAAGAAATAATTTGTGTGTTGTCAGGTATGATGACAGTGTGAGCTTTACATGATATACAAGTTTTTATAATATATCAGGGTTAACCAATGATACTTAAGATTAAGCCATCCATTCAATTATTCACCAAATTTGACTGATGACACCAAGAGCTTTCAGATACTACAAAACAGTACTTTGGTCTGGGTCACGTCTGTATGTTTTTGCTGTTGTCTTTTGTACTTTGTTTATTGTTTTTTCATTGTAATTATTATTGTTTGTTCTTCGTCAACTCCAAGGACATACAAACGTTAATTATAATGTTACAATTTAAAAATGTGACAAATTATTTGTATCTTTGGATATATGTCCAGGATAATAATATATATATATCTGTAAAGCGCTTTGAGAGGGTCTTCAGTCTTAAAAGCGCGACATAAGAACTAGCTAATATTATTATTATTATTATGTCTATCCCACCACCAATCATATATGTTTTTTTCTTTTGTCTTTATTCAATATAGTTCTAATAAATTACCTCATCTTGATGAATATTAATTTAAAATGCGATATATTCTTTTCTTGATAGTTTAGTAATTATTCTGTGTTTTTATACCACTGTTCTGGGTGTGAACTTATTGTATGACTCATTATTTCCATCTTTGGATATATATATGCTTATCCCATCAGCATCATGCTTTCCCCCTTCCTTTCTCTTGTGTTCAATTTAGATGTACTTGTACTGGCTTGCTTGACCTTGATGTATGTTATTTCAAGATATGATATTATTTTCTTGATAGATTAGTCATTATTCTATGTTTTAATGAAGTATTGTATCGTTAATGTGAGATGATGAGGTAGATCAAAAACATGTTCATATTGTGAATCTTTATAAAAGGATAAATTGTTTTCAATCTTTTTTTCCAAAAAGTTTCAGAGAAGATCATCAGTGACAAAACCTTCAGAATAGGTATCTTGTAGATAGTCATGCTTTACTAGTCATTTACGTGAACACTCTTTCTTATATATTGATTGTGAATGTAAAGTTTTTACTTGTGATTTTACATTGCCTTATCTTGAATTTAATGTCCAAGAGTGGAATCATTGATTGTTGTTCAATTGATTTATAGCAAGTTTTACTTTTGTACTTACTGATAATTGATCTGAATCTTAACTCATTAACTGCCCTACTTTGCACAAAATGGTAATGATATGTAACGTACGTTTTTATTTCTTTTAAAAGGGACTGCTGATTTGACATAAGTATTGCAGGTTTATTTACAACAGAGAGATATCATATAATTATATAGAAAGAGTGAGAGAGAGGGAAAGAGAGAGGGAGAGAGAGAGAAAGAGGGAGAGAGGGGGTAGAAATATGTACATACCGGTACATGTCTATGTTCATGTACATCATTCGTCGGAAGCTGCATTTCTTTATTTATTAGTTATTTGTCATTAGTGTATTGTAGTGTTACACGGTTTGCATCCTGTATATTGAGTAACAATTATGGAGTCGTCTTACCCGCATTTATCTCATTACTATTTAATTCATGTGCGATCTATGATACCAAATATATTACCCTAATGCTCGGTGTACCTACATAAGTATTTATGTTGTATAACAGAGTCCAGAAGCCAATAAATAGTAACAAGAATGATACTATTTTGAACTGTTTGTTCAATGATTATTGTTCATTTCCTTTATATGATTCAATTAAATTGGTAAATACATGTGCATTCCATTGTGAAAATCTTCAGATTGTGTACATGTACATTAAGAATTGAAGTACGTCATGTTTGAGTTAGAATTTGAGTTTGAAGTTTATTATCCAAACAAAAGTACACTATATAACAATCAAATGTGAATAGTTAAAATTTAAAGGATACAGGTCGAGACCTACCTTTGATTGAATATTTGTAAAATAGAAAGCTTTTGCTAGCTGTGTTGAGATTTTACCACTTTCAACTGTGTGAAGGTATGATGCTGCCAAATGTTGTAGTTTTTCCCTTATAATTTTGTGCAGTTTCTTGCTGAAAAAAATGGGTATTTTTGCAATTTGTGAAAGATTTTGGATGTTGGATTTTGTTTCCATTATTATCATTGATGTAAAACAGTGTTAATGTTTTTGAAACCTTAGGTTTAGGAACCTTTGGGGTTGATGTATACACTGGATAGAAAAAGCTATAGTTGTAATTATACCTTGTTATAATGATTGACGATCGAGTTCAATACATCTGATTTGGAACATTATTCACTGTGTTAAATTTCTTTATTGAAGTAGTTAAGATTGCTTACATCTGTTTTTTATCTCTAGGTCTCTATTAAATTGATAGTAGTAAGAAAATATTATCATTTGTTCAGTGCATTTATACAAGTTTTTGCCTTCTTGTTTTTAGTTTTATTGAAGCATATATCCATGACGGATTATATCATAATTTGTATACATATGTGGTTTCGTGATGATATACCATTTGGGTATAAATGTATTCACTAGAATATAATATTCTTTCATCACATGTTTAACCAGGCATGTAGCCAGAGTTCGATGTTTGGGGGGCACTTACATGTAATCGATCGAGGTCAAAAAAAGGGGTCTAAAAAAAAAATCAACCGATCTTGGAAATTTTAGGGGGCACATGCCCCCGTGCCCCCCCCCCCCCCCCCCGTGGCTACGCGCCTGGTTATAACACAAAATGTGGTTCAGCTGTTAGGGACAGTTGAGCAGTTTCTTTTGTTAAGTGTTGAGAGCCCCAAATTCGCCAACAACTTGATGTCATTAATCTTAAGACTATATTCTGCAAAGATTGCCCCCTCCTCCCAAAGAAAAAATTAAATATTATTCAAAAATAACATATTTTGAGTTTCTGTTGTAATCATACAACCCAAGTTTTGTATTCTTTCATCAGCATTCGATCATTTTATTTATTCAAAGAATTCCCCATGGCAGCCCAGGGGTTGAATTGCATGGATTTTACAGGGAAAAATGACCAGACAAAATGATTTACAAATGTATACATATACAATACTCCATAGTAATATAATAGATATAATGACTGCTATGACAGGAATAGTTGTTTTAGAGGCTCAAGGGGACGTTTCATCCCGATATCACCCCGAGGCGTGCCGAGGGGCGATAGCAAAATGCAACGTCCCCGAGAGCCGATAAACAGGGATGCCAGTTTTCAGGCAATATCCTGAATTCAGGCCCTGGCGAGTTATTTTCAGCCCATTGTTTAGGCCTTTCTTGTGTACAAAATAGCTCATTCTAGGTGATTTTCAGGCCCTCTGAACAATTCTAACTGGTATCACTGTTATAAAACAACTACTCCTCGAATGTTAAAGCAGTCCTTATATCTTTTATATACCGGTACTGTAAAAAAAAAAGGGTCACAGAATACATGTGCGACTTACCAATCATGGGGATCTCACATCAGATTTAAGCTCCATTGCAGTAGAGCAGGAAAAGCAGAAGTAATGAATATCTAATCATGGGGTACTCATGATTATAAATCAGCATCAAACTGTGCTCCAGCAGAACAGGGAAAGCAGAAGTAATGAATATTTAATCATGGGGTGCTCACATTTAAAAACCAGCATCAAACTGTGCTCCAGTAGAACAGGGAAAACAGAAGTAATGAATAACAGTTACTTATGGCGTAAAACTCCAAATTCGCAACATATTTACACAGACTGCGAGAGTCTAGATTACTTGTAGATGTTTACAACGCAGTTCTGGATATTGAATGTAGGGACTTGCCTGCCGGCCGGCTTGAAACGAGGTGTTGATAACTTGCAGATAGTCTTCGAATATTTTTACGGAGAATTTCACGGATTTTGGTGTTCTTAATTGCTCTCCGCAGAATTAATAAAGTCTTTATTGGTTACAGGCGTGTACGGTATGCATAGGGGGGGGGGGTGTCTTACCCCCCTCAATTTTTTTGAGGGGTGTTTTTTGGAGGAACCCCCCCACTCATTTTTTTTTTAAAATAAACAAAAAAGTATATTATTTATAGTAATCGGTGACCCCAAAAAGGTGCTCTTACCCCACCCCCACCCCCCCCCCCCCGTTTTTTTAGCGGCTGGCTGAGTCGTTGCGAAATTTTCGGCGCGATTTTCTAATTTTAACCCCCCCCCCCCTCCCTCCCCTCCCCCCCCCCCCCCCTCCCCATTGAAAAAAATCCTGCGTACGCGCCTGATTGATCTTCATCAAGAAGTTCAAATCTAGCAAAAGTCTCTTCCGCCATTTTTACCTTATTCTTTGGACATAAAATAAAGTTTAGAAACTAAACAATCAGAGATTCGATGTAGGCCTATAAGATCTTTGGTCGTCTGCGCTGTGTGCAATTATAAAACCTAAAATGTAGCTACCAAATAAATCGCAGACAGAAAGCACTGTATGGTAGCCGCGGTCGCACAAACTAAGTTTTAACACGTAAACCGATGGGGATCGCAGCAACATTTTACTACTTTTCCGGTACCCGGAATCTTGCGGGAAACTCGACTCATGGACTATTGACCCGCACTGGCATTGTTTGTTTCTTTACGGGAATGGCTAAAATCACGCGACTGCAATTTCGACCAATCAGATGGCTAGATTTCTAAATAATAATACTAATCTTTTAGTCCACTCCGAATTTTATTAAACCGAAATGAAAATTCCTTTTCCCCAATTGATCGTGACCCCTGCAGCCGCTGAGCAGCGCCAGATCGACGTTGATAAGGTAATATAATAATAGGAAGGAAAGATATTGACAGACGAGACTGAAAGACTGTAAGAGTGTGCCTTAAATAAAAGCATCCTCAATGGGGAGCAGCAAAGTTGACAAGCAGACGATTTTGGTGATATGAAATGTATTATTACTGATTTGCAAACTTTCGCACACACCTATGACCTTATAAAACAATTAGAAGGCCATGATCTGTATCACCCCTGGGCGTTGTAACTCTGGAATATTATGAGGAAATAGGGGGAAACGGGACTTTAAATCACAACCCCAAAATCCAAAAATAACCTCTATCTGGTAATATCAACATGTTTTTCAAAATAAAATACATTTACAGTATACGAAACAACAACTTCCGAGTATAAGCCAGAACTGCACATCTATTTTCCATGATTTAGGCGAGTTATTATCTTCTGCGCATGTAGATTAACATGTGTAAAATCACTATCTTGATTCTGTCCCGGCTTTTTGGCAGTGACCATGATGAGATCAAAGTGTAGAAACATGTACGGAATGTTATTGAGACGACATTGACGAAGACAATCACAATGAATTCGTTAAGAAAACGATAAATGTCCACTCGTAATAGGTCCATGATTATCAAACAAAGACAGTCAAACAGACAGACAGACATACACACATACACGCACACACACGCACGCACACGCACGCACACACACGCACACACACAACACACAGGTGACAATTGTTTCATAATTTTCAACTTTCTGATTAAGCATTGATTTCTATCAAGATCGCTGAATGTTTAAGTGGCATAACCCTGACAATCTTTCCCTTTAGTACACATTCATTACCACCATAATATCATCATCATCATCTTAATCTTCATCATCTTCATCATTGTCATTATCATCATCATCATGAAGCACAACATCCGCCAATACGCACAGCGGCCACTCAACTTCTCGTACGAGAACAGGAATTGCCGACAAAAAGTAACAGTTTGGGTGGGCCTTGTCGGAAATGGAACACTCATTTGTGTGCGTGTGCGTGTTTTTTATGTGTGCGTGCGTGCGTGTGTGTGTGTGTATTTATGTCTGTCTGGCTGTCTTTTTTCAAACACTATTTCATTCCTCACCCAGCAACTTGGCGCAAGTGAGATCTGGCAGTCTTGTAAAGAATGTCTGATGTTCAGTCATGCATGCAGAGATTGAAATGAAAATGGTACCTAAATGTACTGGGAGGATACTTCTATCAAGACACATCATGAAACCCATGATTAGATATTCATACTTCAAACAATACAACTTATAAAAAGTGGGACACATTTTCTGACTCACCTTGTATAGAAACAATGATATGAAGGCAGAAATATGGGAATCTAGAAGAATCTCTCGTAGGCCTATATCCCAGATGCTATGGAGGTGGTTTTATTTGTATTTGTATAAATCACACAATATGTAGTTGACCTGAAACTTGACGATGGCCATCTGTTAGCTTACCACTTTTTAGTGATACGTTATTTGCCATATTTGTGATATTACTAACGGGATAATTATCGGAGGTGAAGGGGGCACATTTCAAAAGTAAAAAGGGCACTTACTAGAGATAAAAAGGTCACTTATGAAAATGTAAACTTATTGCAAAGGAAAATTGGGACTTGTCGAAGGAAAGGGGGCATGTGTTAATATAAAAGGGGCACATATCATAGATGAAAAGTAATAGGGGTACTTTCCAAAGTAAAATGAACACTTTTCATATGTAAAAAGGGGCACTTCTTACGAAGTTATATGGGCACTTCATACAAAGTTATATGGGCCCTTCTCCTAAGTAAAAAGGGGCATTTTGGGGAACTTGATAAAGTGCCCCTTGTGCCCCCCCCCCCACGGAGCACCGCCTCTGTCTCTGTGGAAAATAAGTCTTATTCGATTCGGATTGCTACTAAAATCTCTCCTACTTGGATTCTTCGTTTTGAGTGGGAAAGAAAAGCATTAAATATGCACTCAAAGACTCTCTGTCAATATTTGCTCACCCAATACCTACTTAATGATCTGTACCTCATGATAATTTGGGAGCTCAACCTCTCGAATTTGTCAAGGCTCTCAACAATTATTATTCTTGATGATAAACTTCAGAGAGGCACAATTCGAAAAAGGAATGCAAGAACCCCCCCTCCTCCCACACACACAAAAAAAAATCTTGTTGAACCTCACCTTCCCATCATTAAAGGTAATACAAAGTTTTGGGAAATTTTGAAAAGTGGTCGGATAGTGATTCTTAACAAATTTGATTTGTTTGGATGCCCCTGTGGGTGTATTATAAGCATTAGAAAATTTAGCCCCTAAAGCATTTCTGCTTTTAAGAAAAATCGAATATAAAAATTTACCGGTGCTCCCGGTAAATTTTGATAAATTTCAATTCTAGCGCCTACGGCCGTACAATGGTAGCTGCGACCATGAAAATCTCAGAATATGTAGTTGTGATATATAATTTCCAAACGGGAATAGCTAATCGGTCGATTTTAGTCAAGAAACATTGTTCTATAGCTTAATTGATATCTTGACCTTGAGAGGGAGCTACACAACATAAAGAGTTTATTATTTATAATTTCATAACTTTAGACTCGATTTCAACCGCTACAACGATCACTGAATATTAT